CCACCCACCACTACCACCACCACCCACCACTACTACCACCACCCACCATTACTAACACCACCACCCACCACTACTACCACCACCCACCACTACTAACACCACCCACCACTACCACCACCACCCACCACTACTACCACCACCACCCACCACTACTACCACCACCACCCACCACTACTACCACTACCACCCACCACTACTACCACCACCACCACCCACCACTACCACCACCCACCACTACTACCACCACCCACCACTACTACCACCACCCACCACTACCACCACCACTACTACCACCACCCACCATTACTAACACCACCACCCACCACTACTACAACCACCCACCACTACTACCACCACCCACCACTACTACCACCACCCACCACTACCACCACCACCCACCACTTCTACCACCACCACCCACCACTACTACCACCACCCACCACTACTACCACCACCCACCACTACTACCACTACTACCACCACCACCCACCACTACTACCACCACCACCACCCACCACCACCACCCACCACTACTACCACCACTACCACCCAGCCACCACCACCACCACCACCCACTACTACTACTACCCCTGTTAAATGGCTTCGATGATTGACGTCGTTTCGACATTCATCATCGTCGCACCTTTCAGGAACGCATCCCCGACGTACACTTTGGTACACTAACCCCCCCCCGCACTGACCAGCGTGGTGAAGTATGGTCGAGCAATCCCCCATGACCGACACAGCGTGGGGAGGGAGGCTTTCGTCCCGCAATAGTTCGCACCCCCGATTAGCACGGATGGCTACGTACGGTGTGAAAGAAGTTCAACATACACACAACTGATATAATAACAGTAATTGAACGTGTTCTTGCTTCTTTCGGTAAAATCACGTAGAAGGGAAACAATAACATAATTAAAATATAAAACAATAAAAATTGAACACGCACTACTTTTGTTTATTTTACCAGGTAAGGCCCACTGAGCTGTCCAACAATCTTTCAGAAGCTACCCTGGCCACAAATGGATAGTTCAATAAAATAGCGTATCGCATGGACATTCATAGCTGCATGTTTATAAATGTGGAGGGAAAACCCCAGAGAAAAATCCACGATACCACGGTGAGAGAGAAACACACACGCAAACTCCAAATATACAGCAGCAGGCGTCAGGGTCGGGATCGAACCCACGACCTCCTGTATACCAGGCGAGGTAGTTAACATCTCGCCACATACCAGGTACTCTGAAGTCACGCAACTCAAATACTCACGCGGGCTACCTTGAAGAGCGCTCGTCGTTTCAGGAGAGCCCTTCTCCACCGGGATGCTTGGCCAATTCCCGTGGGAGGACAAGCGGGAGTGAGAACCCCCACACGCGTGACACGTAAAAAGCTCCGGGTCGCGCAGATCGAGTCAAGAATCCAGTTTACAGTTTCATTTATTTGGTATAGCCCTGTGAGCCATTCGCCTCTTGAATCGGGTGCAACCGCAACATCGTCGCTGTGCCGACTGACATTTACCTGGCCCACCTGACATTTACCTGGCCCACCTGACATTTACCTGGCCCAACTGACATTTACCTGGCCCACCTGACATTTACCTGGCCCACCTGACATTTACCTGGCCCACCTGACATTTACCTGGCCCACCTGACATTTACCTGGCCCACCTGATATTTACCTGGCCCACCTGACATTTACCTGGCCCACCTGACATTTACCTGGCCCACCTGACATTTACCTGGCCCACCTGACATTTACCTGGCCCACCTGACGTTTACCTGGCCCACCTGACATTTACCTGGCCCACCTGATGTTTACCTGGCCCACCTGACGTTTACCTGGCCCACCTGACGTTTACCTGGCCCACCTGATGTTTACCTGGCCCACCTGACATTTACCTGGCCGACCTGACGGTTACCTGGCCCACCTGACGTTTACCTGGCCCACCTGACGGTTACCTGGCCCACCTGACGGTTACCTGGCCCACCTGGCCGGCAGCCACAAGCCTATAGCACCTGGTCCCGTCAGAAGCGATAACCAGCCTCGAATCTGTTCACCTTGTCCAGTCATTACCTTTTTAGGGATATTTTCAAGTTGGTTTTGTGAATGAGTGAGTGAATAATTGAGTGGGTGAATCCTTAGGTGGGTCGGAGAATGAGTGAATGAGTGGGCGAGTGGCAAGAGTGAGTGATTGGGTGTGTATGTATGTAGAACTTCTTTCGCACCGTGCAAATCGGAGGTTCGGGGTGAATGATTGGGTGGGAGAATGGATGAGTGCGTGTAAATAAGTGTGATTGGTGAGATGTTAACTACCTCGCCTGGTATACAGAAGGTCGTGGGACCGATCCTGGCCTTGACGCCTGCTGTATATTGGAGTTTGCTTGTTCTCACTCTCTCATCGTCACTGTGCCGAGATGTTAACTACCTGGCCTGGTATACGGGAGGTGGTTGGTCAGATCCTGGCCCTGACGCCTGCTGCTGTAAATTTGGAATCTGCGTCTCTCTCTCCCCGTGATCGCGTGGATTTTTCTCCGGGTCCTCCGGTTTTTTCCCTCCAACTTTAGAATCAACATCACGCGTTTAGAGTATTTGGCTGCTATAAATTTCCACGTGATAAGACATTTAGTTGAGCTATCATCTGTGGCCAGGTCGCTTCTGCAAAAGAGCTACGCAGTTTAGTGCGCCTTACCTGGTAAAATTTAAAAAAAGTTTACGGTTTAGTTTAGAGTTACAAGTTAATGTTGTTGACAACCGAGTGAGAGAGAACTCAAGATACCAGGATATGAGCCTCGTCTGCCAGTAGGGATGTGGAGTGGGCGATGATTGCCTTTTGCCGTGTCATCTCCACTGAACATTTGGGGTTTGAGTGTTCCAAGTTGGCAACTTCGGGACGGAGATCTTTAACCTCGCAGAGACCTTGAACCCCTCCCCCCCACCTTTACCCCTCCCCCCCCCACCTTTACCCCCACACCCTTACTCCCCCCACCTTTACCCCCCCCCCCCCACCCTGACCTCCTTCCACTTGCCCCCCACCCCGACCCCCCACCCTTACCCCCACCCAATTACACCCCTACCCCAACCTCCCTCCCCACCTTTACCCCCACCCCCACCCTCTTACCCCCCACCCTCTTACCCCCTCCACCCCGGCCCCCCACCCCTATCCTCAACCCCTATTAAATGCCCCCTCTGCCCCAACCCCCCCGACCCGCGTGTGCATGGTGCATGTTGTTTGAATGTAAAGTGGGGAGCGGTGGCGCAGCGGTTAGCGCCACGCTGCGCGAAGAACCCCGGCCACCCGAGTTGGATTCTCGCTCACAGCCACCAACATCGGTTGACTGTTACCTGAGCCGGTCCTGGGCCTCCCCTAGGTCGACTCAGACTCCAATGGGTACCTGGTGCGAATTGTAAACATCAGCACTGGGGAGACAAAGGCGGCCGGGGCGTGGTTCTGGTCACCCCCCCCCCCCCCCCTCGTGTGTAGGTGCCCGCAACAGTCTGTCAAGGCTATACGGGGGATCTTTGACATTGTGGGAGGACTTTAATGTACTGTATGGGGCCTTCCATAAATGACGTCACGCACCTAGGGGGGGGGGTCAGACATTTGTGACGATGTGTGACGAGGGGTGGGGGGGGGTTTGAGAAATGTGACGTCATCAATATGCGCAACTTTAAATAAATAGAGACAACACGTTCTAACTTAATAAAATAGACTTTTTAATAAATGTCTTCTCCTACAACATCAGAGTGCAGCGCCACATTAAATACGCACTACAATGACAATAGTTTAAAGCATGTTTTATATTGTTTTGGGGGGGGGGGGGGCAGAGCTTTGTGACGTCATATTTGAGGGGGGGGTCTGACTTTGTGACGTCGTGTGACGATGGAGGGGGTCAAAAATCGCGTGACGTCATTTATGGACGGCCCCTTGGTGTGTGGGAGTATGTGTGGGGGTATGTGCGGATTAGGGGGGTATGTGGGGGGGGGGGTATGTGGGGGAGGGGGGGGTATGTGGGGGGGGGGGGGGATGCGTTTTGCGCAGTAATCTGCTGATGGAGTCACTCCCCGAGATGGGGTTGGCGCGGGAAGAAATTGGCGGCCAAACCCCTGGGCACGTGACGCGAACAAGGGGGGTGAGGGGTGGTGTGTGTGTGGGGTGTGTGTGTGTGGTGTGTGTGTGATGTGTTGTGTGTGGTGTGTGTGTGGGGTGTGTGTGGTGTGTGTCTGTGGGGTGTGTGTGTGGGGTGTGTGGGGTGTGTGGGGTGTGTGTGGTGTGTGTGTGGGGTGTGGGGTGTGTGGGGTGTGTGTGTGGTGTGTGTGTGTGGGGTGTGTGTGGTGTGTGTGTGTGTGTGGGGTGTGTGTGGGGTGTGTGTGTGTGGGGTGTGTGTGTGGTGGGGTGTGTGTGTGGTGTGTGTGTGGGGTGTGTCTGTGGGGTGTGGTGTGTGTGGGGTGTGTGGTGTGTGTGTATGTGAGGTGTGTGTGTGTGGGGTGTGTGTGTGTGTGGGGTGTGTGTGTGTGTGGGGTGTGTGTGTGGGGTGTGTGTGTGGTGTGTGTGTGTGTGGTGAGTGTGTGGGGTGTGTGTGTGGTGTATGTGTGGTGTGTGTGGTGTGTGTGTGTGGGGTGTGGTGTGTGTGTGGTGTGTGTGGTGTGTGTGTGTGGGGTGAGTGCATGTTGTGGTGACCGTGGCGTGTGTGGTGTCACCCCGGCAGGTGCACGTGAACTCCGGGACCCTGCACTGCTACCCACACATACACACACACAGACACATACACTCGGACACACACAGAGATACACACAGATATACAGAGGTACAGACAGACACAGATACCCACAGATACAAAGCCAAAGATCCCCCGGAAAGCCTGAACAGAATTTCGGGGCAAGTGCTGTTGGCGAGTAGCGCCTGTTAAGACACACAGACACACACGCAGACACACAGGCAGACACACACAGACACAAGCAGACACACACAGACACACACAGACGCAACTGGGTACATTAATTGTGGGGGAGAGTGAGGAGAGAGGGGGGGGTGACAGAGCAAAGGGGGCGGTGAGGACCACGAGAGGGGCCTCCATCGGTCACCATGGAAACGGAGCCCGGGTCACTCCTAGTCGGGACCCTCATCGACCTTGACCCCGTCGATTCGGGGGTCCCCGGGGTCTCCGAGGTCACGGGGGTCTCCTCGGGGGACCTCCTGTCGCTCCCCACCGCGGGGGGCCCCGCGATCGACCTCCTGTGCGGCAGCCCCCGCGTGGAGAGCCTCGCTCTGCCAGGGGGCGAGCCTCTCCCCCCGAGCCTCGACCTCCTCTCGGGCAGCCCCCGGGACCCAGGGGGACCCATCCCCTCGGGCGGGGACCCGTGGGGTCCCGCGGGTGACGCGTGGGGTTCCAGCGCCGAGGGGACCACCGTCACAGATCCCTGGGGGCCCGCGAAAGGCCCCTGGGGCGACCAGGCCGAGGCCTCCACCGTCGAGGGGTTCGGGCCTCAGGAGGGAGGGGACGCGTGGGTCCTGTCGGAGACCCCCTCCAAGGGGGTCCCCGAGGGGGTCTCCGAGGGTGTCGGCGGGCACCAGAAGCGCGGCGCCGGCGAGGAGTCTCCCACGGCGAGCGAAGCGACGGAGTCGGCGGATTCGTCCGAGGCGGAGGGGGATGAGGAGGGCGCGGGGCCTGGCCTGGGCCCCAGAGACGAGGAGCAGCAGCAGCAGCAGCGAGGGGACGGGGAGGATGCCGGGGATGGCCCCGAGGAGGAGAGACCCCTGGTCGGCTCGGGGTCCGCGGGGTCCCTCGGGGCCCCCGAAGGAGGGGATGAGGGGACCCCAACCGGGGGCAGGACGTTCGTGAGGAACTTGGCAGCGAAGATTGTCGACCAAACGTGAGGAGCCTTGATCATCATCATCGTCATCACCGTTACCATTATCGCAGTCAACAACAACAACATCATCACCACAGTCAACATCACCAAGATCACGAGTTACACAATGCATCATCATCACCAATCGTAACTTTTCATTCACGATCATCTTTAATCACCATCTACACGAGCATCATCAGTACAAGCATTATCAACAGTCGTTATCATTAACACCACCATCATCATCATCTACAGATTTTATACTGTATTGTACAATCATCAAACACAACCATCATCGCCATCAATACAACCATCGTCATTAATCATTATCATCATCACCAACACCACCACCACCACGCTTGTTTAAACATGAAAGCCTCAACTGGGTCTAATAACTCTTTTTTTTCAGGAGGTGTCATGCCAAGCTTTTTGCCGTAGAAGCCTCTGTTTGCAATGTGTGTGGTGTGTTTGTGATCACAATTTATTACATTTGCGGTGTATTTAAAAAAAAAGATTATTTAGGCAAATGTGTATCGCGACGCTGGCACGCAATGATGGCCTTTACTCTTGCGAATGATGCCACGTCATCCGTAACATCGCCTGTCAAGCTGGAAATATGGAATCGCTCCTCCCTGCATTCACGACCTCCTTCAGCCACGTTTATTCCACCAAAGATCATGAAGATCCTCAGATGGGGCATTGCTCACTGCCGCCACGGTCACGAAGCGTCACACTCGGGGGTGCTCATGAAGGTGGTACACGGTGGTGACTTTGCTAATTGCATGCCACCTAAACTCTGGAATTCCTTGCCCCTTCGAGGTCAGGGGGACTTCCGAGACAATTACACATATTTCCAATCTCGACTCAAAATGTCATCTGTTTAAAATGTATATTTTTTTCTGTTTGGTAACTTTCAAACGTCTTCTTTCCTTGGTTGATGTTTAAACTATTTCCCTCTTTTCCATTGCGCCCTGAGAACGATTGTTTAAGGGCGTTTTATAAATGTAAATTATTATTAGTAGTATTTGTCGTGGTTAATTCATTCGCAGTATTAACCAGGGCGGCCGCTGGATACGAATTGCAAACCTCCACGATGGTGGAGATGGTGGTGGTGACGATTGCAATGATTGATACTGGAAGCGATGATGATGTTGGTGGTTGTGTTGTAGTTTTCATTTGTGCCAATAATTGTGACGGTTTTAGTGATGGTTATTATGGTGGTGATTGTTACTTGTGATTTTTGTGATGTGTCGGTGCTGATGATGATTGCGGTTCTGATGTTAATAATTTATCACGAAAGTAATTTGATGGTTTTGGTGATGGCAATTATGGTGTTGGTGGTGATGGCATATATGGTGGTGATCACGTTAATTATTGTTGATTATTGTGATGTGTTGGGGCTGATGATGTGTGCACGAGGCGGTCGCAAGAGGCGACTTTATTCATTACTCCCGTGATGCCAGATGACCTTCAGTGACCTCCACTGTGTATGCGTGTGTGCAGTATCTGTGTGCGTGTGTACGTATCTGTGTATGTTGCTATATGTTGAACTTCTTTCGCACCGTACGTAGTCAACCGTGCTCATCGGAGGTATATTTGTGGGGCGTGGTGTCGCAATGCTTAGCCACAAACCACGGAGACCTGAGTTAGAATCCCGCTCACGACCAATAACAGTGGCGGATAATTCAACCAGTCCTGGGCCTCCCCTCCCTTCGTCGACTCAGCCTCAAATGAGTACCTGGTGCGGTGTGTAAGCAACATTAGCGCTGGGGAGACAAAGGCGGCCTTGGCGTAGCGTTGGCCACACCACTGTTTCCGTGTGCCGTGTTCGCTAACATAATTTAATCCTGGTGGCAGTACCCCAGGGTACCAAATAATACAAAATGGGCCGAGGCAATTCAATGTTTTATTTCTGGGACACTTTTTTTTACAGGGGTGGACTTAACTCCGCGACTGGGTTAGCAATCAATCCGAAGTCAGTGCCACACTCCGCGATGTCGAAACGCCGAACATCAGCATAACAAAATCCGTTATCGAAAGAATTCTACTTTGAATGGTTGCATCGTGTACTACAGCTCGTCGAGATGAGTCGATTGCCGAATCGCCGACCATCGACAGACTAAAAATGACTGCATCACGGACATTGTGCGAGAGCCGGGCTACTAAGGTACCCCGTGGTCCCCGTGGTACCATAGTACTATGGTCACCCAGGGTACCGCCATAAGGTTCATTTGCCCTAAGAAGGGCCGTCCCTGGCGGGAGGTGGGGGGGGGGCTGTGGGACCCGGGGCAATCCCCATTGAGTGCCCCCCCCCACCATCGCCCCGACGCATTCGAACTAAACGAGAAGTATTAGATCTGACACCGTGACGTCGAAGCGCGGGTACCCCCCACCTCCCTGCACCCCCCCCCCACCGCGCGGGGACCAGAGCGGTCGCCCCGAATCGCCGTACCCTAGGGACGCCTCTGGCCTCAGGAGCCCGTTAAAGGCGAGACACGGGGTGTCGATAGATATATACACACGCGTCTGTGTGTGAACTGTTACGTTACAAGGATCGTTATGTCGATGTCGGTCTCAGTTGGGGGGTAGTAATTCGGTCTGGGCTAAGATTAAGGCGGCCGGTGTTAGCGATGGACCGAGAAGGCATGCGGATTAGAGGACACACGGTGGGGTGGGGGGTCTCGTGAAGACGCAGTTCAAACAACGTGGGGGGGCGGTGGGGGTCTTGGGGACAGGACACGCGGCTTCGTGGGGAGCTGAGGGTCAAGAGAGTAGTGACGGAGTGGAACGAAAAGGGTTACGCCGAACCCGTGGAGATGGAGCGACGATGAATAACCAAACGCGCCTTCGTGTCGAGAGAGAGAGAAGAGAGAGCATTCGGCTGCTATAAATGTCCACGCGATGGGTAAGCGACTTCGTTGCACCTTCATTCGTGATGGCCAGGTCGCTTCTGAAAAAGAAGCTCATAGCTCAGCCGGATTTTTACCTGGTCCAATAATGATTATTTTTTTTAAAAACGTTGTTTAGTTTAAAATAGTTTGGTTCAGCTCGGGTTGTAGGTGCCCAGCGCAATGATTTGTCACATCGCTAAGCCTTGGGTCGATGTACCCGATGGCAGCGGGAGCTTGTAGGATGCCTTCATCCATCCAGCAGCGGATCGACCTCGACGATGATGATTTATGTTAGGGGCGAGTGACTAAGGTTAATGGGGGTCGAGGTTTAGGGTTAACTTTAAGGAGCGCGGCTCCGCCATAAACCACGGTTAGGGTAAGGGAATGGGGGGGGGGGTGAGCAAGTTCCCACTCCGTTATAAAGCGGCGGCGAGGGGGATCCTATTAGGCTGGTAAACAGATAGGGAGAGAGCCCCCCTGGGGAGAGGGGGATACGCGGTGCCGATGGGATGGGCGCAGGCTTGTGGGGAGGGGCACGTGTATCCCCTTGCCCTCTAATTCCCGCTGAGTCAGTGCCGTGGTTGGATGGAGGGTGGTGGTGGTGGGGGTGGTGGGGAAGAGATTATTCTCGGTAGATGGGGGGCGGGAATTAGAAATCCGCGGCAGCCCCCCCCGCCCGCCCGCCCGCACTGCAGCTTGCACACGTGACGTTTGTTGTTGTTTTCACCGATCTCCTTTGGGACTGAAAGCGCGGCAGCTCGTCCCGGTGGTAGCGGATGAGAGAGAGGGGTGGGGGGGCACTTCCGCGGATTTATTTGCTTAGAACATAAAGCGACAAATTTGATTCCAGCTGCGCGGCTGTCGGCCATCCGCGTCTTGGTGGCACGGGTTGGAGACAATTTGCATCCCCCAATTATTATTATTGCCGCATCTTGGTGGCACGGGTTGGAGACAATTTTCAACCCCAAATTATTATTGTCTCGTCTTGGTGGCACGGGTTGGAGACGATTTGCATCCCCCAATTATTATTATTGCCGCATCTTGGTGGCACGGGTTGGAGACAATTTTCAACCCCCAATTATTATTGCCGCATCTTGGTGGCATGGGTTGGAGATAATTTTCAACCCCAAATTATTATTATTGCCGAATCTTGGTGGTACGGGTTGCAGACAATTTGCACCCCCCCCCCCCCCAATTATTATTATTGTCTCGTCTTGGTGGCACGCAAGATATCCGTGGGTTCGATGCCGGACGCTGGCGATGCCTCTTGTATATTTGGAGTTTCCAGGTTCTCCCTGTGGACGTGTGGTGGTCTCGTGGATTTTTCTCCGCGTTCTTCCGATTTTTGCCCGACTCCATCCACGTTGAGAAAACAACGCTGGTTTAGATTAATTTGTGATGGTCTTGATGCTTGCGTGATGGTGGCGATGGTGCTGTGATGGTGGTCTTGTGTCGATGGACCCTTGATGGTGTGTGATGGCGCGGTGATGGGAGGATGTCTCACCTGCGCCACGATGTTGCGGGCGAACCAATCGCTCACCTCCTCTCTGCGACGCACATGTGATGATGATGATGACTACATCCATGATGAGCTATCATCGCGTGTGGCCAGGTCGCCTCTGAAATAGTGTCCATAGCTCAGTGGGCTTTACCTGGTAAGAAAAGAGTGCCATCAGAAACACTGCTTCTGCCTCTTATCCACACATGAGGCATGCGTTTTGTGTTCTTCAGTGGCAATCACACCGATATATTAAAAACAAATATATATTCTCAAAACCTTGAATTTGGCCAAATTAATGAACGGCTAAATTCATTATTTAACACGTAGGCTTTCGCGACCATAATATAGGTTTCTTTTGGGTTAGATCACCTAAATATAAATGTGTCGTTAAATCCTCCAACTCGCTACACCCGAGAACCTGGTTTAATCACGATTGCGTCTGTGTGAGTTTGTGGGTCTCGATGCAACTCAAGAGGGTGTCTGTCTCGATGGCAGTTGATGGTGACCAGGCCGAGTCCATCAACTCACCACACTTAGAGAACCCCAGCTTAATCACATCCATGCGGCCAACACCTGGGGATTGGAATTCGAGGTCCCAGCGTTGCCGGTTCAGCGTCTTTGACTGCTCAGCCACCCGACCGCCTCCTCTGCTTCCGCAGATTTCTGTTTGCCCACTGGAGCAGAGACGGATTTATTGAGTGGCGTAAAAGGAGCGCACGCGGGAGGAGAGGGAGATTGGGGGAGGGGTGGTGGGGGAAGGGGTGGGGGTGGTGGGGGGGGAAGGGGTGGGGGGCGGGGTTCAGAGGAAGAGATTGGGGGGTGGGGGGGGTCAGGCGATGAGATTGGGGGCCTCGGGACATGGGGGGGGGGGACATCCACCTATGTCCTCGTGATATAATGACCCTGTGATCCGATGTTGAATGATGGTGGTGGTGGTAATTATGATGATGATGATGATGGTAGTTATGGTGATGATGGTGGTGATGTAAATATCGCCGTCAGGGAGACAAAGGCGGTCGGGCGTGTAGCTGGCCACCCACCCCTTTGTGTGCTGTGCCGGCCTTCATAGGTGCTCACTAACAGCACTTACCCCAACAGTCTGTTAAGGCTATACAGTGGATCCTTGTCTTCGTGGTGTTGATAATGATGATAATAATGATATTGCTGACGACGATGATGGTGGTGGTGATGGCAGCGATAGCTATGAGGATGTTGACGGTAGTGACAGTGATGATGTTGTTGGTGATGATGTGTCGCAGAGAGGAGGTGAGCGAGGAGGAGCGAGCTGCATTTGCCGAGGCCTTGTCGGGGGAGGGAGGCAAGGGACGCGATTGGTTCGCCCGCTACATCGTGGCGCAGGTGAGACATCCTCCCATCACAGCGCCATCACACACCGTCATTCATCACGCAAACATCAAGACCATCACAGCACCATCGACGCCACCACAGGAACATCAACACCATCACGGCGACATCCACACAGGACGATCGCCAACACCACCACCACCACCGCCGCCATCGTGATCACAGCTCCATTCATTCCAATCACAGAGAGACAGAGGGAGCAATGGTGGGAGAGCGGTGGAGGAAAGATGACAACGTGGAGAGGGCGATAGACAGGGGAGGGAGAGGGGGATGATAAAGGAGAGGGGGGGGGAGCAGGAGGGAGGGAGAGGGAGGCTGTTGTTGCTCTGCTCCCGTCTATTGCCCACGGCAAAGCATCATCCCTGATCAGTGTCAACTCGCGTGTTAGTCGGTGTGAGTCAGTGCGTGCTTGTGTGTGTGTGTGTGTGAGCGAGTGTGAGTCAATGTGCATGTGAGTCCACGTGTGTGGTTAGCGGGGGTGTAGCGGTTAGCGCTACGCAGCGCTACGAACCCGGCTATCCGGGTTCGATTCCCACTCACGGCCAACACCGGTGGCGATTACTTGAACCGGTACTGGGCCTCCTCTAGGTACCTGGCGCAGAGTGTAAAAACATCGTCACTGGGGAGACAAAGGCGGTCGGGCGTGGTGCTGGCCACCCACCCGCTCGTGTACTGTTTCAGCCTTCATAGGTGCTCGCTAACAGCACTTGCCCCAACAGTTTATTCAGGTTATCGGGGGGATTTTTGTCTTTGTGTACGTATGCGAGGGCATGTGTGTGAGCGTGCATTTGTGTGTGTGTGAGCGTGCGTGTCTGTGCGTGCGTGCATGCATAAGAGCGTGTGTGTCACGATCATTCAAGGCCTTCACGAGCTCCTAATTCATCGTTAAACTTGACCTCCCCCCCCCAATTTCAACCGCCGCACCCTGAGATCGTCGTCGAATCAGCACCGTCCGTATCGTGGTGGCGAGATGTTACCGTCTTTGCCTCGTATGGAGGAGGTCGTGGGTTCGACCCTGACGATGCCTGTGTGTATGCGAGAGTTTGCGTGTTCCCGCCCCCCACTCCCCCCCCCCCCCACAGGGGTCGCGTGCGTTTATCTCCGGCCCCTCCGGTTTCCCCGTCCGCCCCGTCGCGTTTAGAACCGGAGCCACGCGTTCGGAGTCGTTTTTTGGCCGCCGTACATTTCCACTCGACGACGCTGAAGGCGCCGATGAGCCGCTTGGTCGAGCTGTCATTTGCGATGTGCCAGGTCGCTTCTGACAAACTAAAGAGCTGCGTAGCTCCGAGGGGCCTAACCTGGTCAAATAATACGCAGAAAAAGGGAGGCTTTGGTGAGTGCACCGCTAACCATTGCAAACGCCGTTGGGAGCTCCCACCGTGGAGCTGTCCGATGAATTCTGCTGCTCCGCGTTGCGGCGGTGGAGTGGACGAGAGACGCAAGTAAGGGCGCAGCCAGAACAGAGCGTCTGGGGGCGATTAAAGTCGATTTTTCTGTTAATTCCTTTCAAGCGGAAAAAGGGGATACTTTATGTTTACAATGCGGTATGTAAAATGTTATTTATTTCGGAATCGGATTCTTTATTTACACTGGAGGAATCCGGTGGGCTATGAAGCTAGGTTTTTTTTTTCCCCACAGATGTTCGCAGACGTCCATTTATTTATATTTTTAGATTCCCAACAGCAGCAGCAGCAGTAGCAAAACACCACTTGGCAGTCAGATCCGCGAAGCACATTTCCATTGTTCACGTCGTTTTTATTGCATAACCGGTAACCGAATGAAACTAAGCGATTACAACCGGTTCAACACGAAGGCAGCCGCCACGGTGGCCAGCAGCGCGTGACTGGACTCGCAGTCCACAGGGGTCACCGGGGGTTCGATTCCATCCGCCGGCGCCGCAGTTCAAGCGACGGGGGCAGGTTTCTTATGTAGCCCCCACTGTTAGCCAGAGCTTAGGTTTCCCTGTGTGTTCTAACCTGCGTGTGTGTGTGTCCATGTCCCCGTGTCTCCACATGTCCCCCTGGTGCCCCCTCCACGTCATCCCCTGTGTCTCCCCATGGTCTCCTCATGTCGCCTTTCGTCTCCACGGCATCCCCCGGTGTCGCCGTATTTCCCTGTTGTCCGTGTTCCCTGTTGTCCCCACCGTGTCCCGTCCCCCCCCCCCCCCATGTCTCCCTGGCACCCCCCGGTGTCCCTGTGTCTCCCTGTTTGTCCCCATGTCCCCCGGTGTTCCCCGTTTCCTATCCACATCTCACTGTTGTCCCTCTATCCCCCCGTGTACCCACCACCCCCCCACCTCCCCCCTCCCCCCACCATCCCGCCCCCTACCCCTCCCCCCCCCACAGGGAGGCCCCCGCTGTGTATCGGCCCTCGTCTTCTCCAAGCTGACAGAGGCCTTCTCAGCGCTTCTCACCGAGTGAGTCCAGTCGCCCGGAAAAATGTCGTGGCGATGACGACGATTGTGATGTAGATGATGACGATGTTGATGAAGATGGTGATGGTGATGATCGTGGTGGTGACGATGATTGTGGTGGTGACAATGAAGATGATGACGATGGTGATGAAGATGGTAATGGTGATGACGCTGATCGTGGTGGTGACGATAATGATGATGACGATGACATACTTCAGATTCACTGTAGATTCGAAACCGCAGATCCAGATTTGGCGAAAATTCCGTCTCCCCCCCCCTCCCTCCCCTCCTCCTCTCCCTCCCCCCTCTGTTGAACCCCTCCCCTCCTCCTCTCCCTCCCCCCTCTGTTTAACCCAGGGTAATCCTAGTCCCGTGACCTTCACAAAATGGCAGATGTCACGGTGCAGTGCTCGGCTCTGACGGCCATTGGTGGGAGGAGTGGGGAGATAGTGGGGGGTAGAGGTAGCGAGAGGGGGGAGAGAGAGAGGGGGGGGGGAGAGAGAGGTGGGGGGGAGAGAGGGGGGGGGGAGGGGGGGTTAGCGGGGAGGAGAGGGAGGAGGAGAGGGATGGGACGTGAGATGGGAGAGGGAGTGAGTGAATTAACGAAGATGAGGGGGAGGATGCAGACAAAGCATGAGGAGGTGGAGCAGAGAAAGGAGGGTTGGAGGAGATGGACGTGGGGAGGGAGGAGGGAGGAGGGGAGCAGAGTAGAGAGGTGGTGGGAGAGATGGCGATGAGAAGGGAGGTTGCACTGGGGGTGAGAAACTGAATGAAGATGAGGAGGGAGAGGTGGGAGGTTGTACAATTGGTGGGAGGAAGGTAGAGAGGGGGGAGAGGTAGAGAAGGTGGTGGGGGGAGAGGTGAAGCGGGAGGGCGAGAGAGGGGGAGGTGGTGGGGATGAGGGAGGGAGGAGGGAGGGATGAGGGAGGGAGGAGGGAGGGAGGGTTCCTTTCTACCCTGCACCCTGACCATGACCCGAGCTGTGTGGTCACGTGATCACGCTCACCCTGCCCTGTCCCTCTCCACGGCACCCGCCCCACTCTCCCGCCCCCCCCCCCCCCCCCCCCCCCCCCCCCGGGGCTGGTGTTCACAGAGCCACCATGCTTATTCTAACAGCAGGACCGAATTAATGCTCTTTTCTACCTTGTCTTCGTGTCTCTGTGTCTGCCTCTCTCCCCGTCTCCGTGTCGCTGTATTCCTGTCTCCATGTCCCCGTGTCCCCGTGTCCCCGTGTCTCCGTGTCTCCGTGTCTCCGTGTCTCTTGTGTCCCCGTGTCCCCGTGTCTCCGTGTCTCCGTGTCTCTTGTGTCCCCGTGTCTCTTGTGTCCCCGTGTCTCCGTGTCCCCGTGTCTCTGTGTCCCTGTGTCTCTTGTGTCTCCGTGTCTCCGTGTCCCCGTGTCTCTGTGTCCCCGTGTCTCTTGTGTCCCCGTGTCTCCGTGTCCCCGTGTCTCTTGTGTCCCCGTGTCCCCGTGTCCCCGTGTCTCCGTGTCTCTTGTGTCCCCGTGTCTCTTGTGTCTCCGTGTCCCCGTGTCCCCGTGTCCCCGTGTCTCCGTGTCCCCGTGTCTCCGTGTCCCCGTGTCTCTTGTGTCCCCGTGTCTCCGTGTCTCCGTGTCCCCTTGTCCCCGTGTCCCCGTGTCTCCGTGTCTCTTGTGTCCCCGTGTCTCCGTGTCTCCGTGTCCCCGTGTCTCTTGTGTCCCCGTGTCCCCGTGTCTCCGTGTCTCCGTGTCTCCGTGTCCCCGTGTCTCTTGTGTCCCCGTGTCTCCGTGTCTCCGTGTCCCCGTGTCCCCGTGTCTCCGTGTCTCTTGTGTCCCCGTGTCTCCGTGTCCCCGTGTCTCTTTTGTCCCCGTGTCTCCGTGTCTCCGTGTCCCCTTGTCCCCGTGTCCCCGTGTCTCCGTGTCTCTTGTGTCCCCGTGTCTCTTGTGTCCCCGTGTCTCCGTGTCTCCGTGTCCCCATGTCTCTTGTGTCCCTGTGTCTCTTGTGTCTCCGTGTCTCTTGTGTCCCCGTGTCTCCGTGTCTCCGTGTCCCCGTGTCTCCGTGTCTCCGTGTCTCCGTGTCCCCGTGTCCCCGTGTCTCCGTGTCCCCGTGTCCCCGTGTCTCCGTGTCCTCAGGTGTCACCGTCACGATGATTTCCTCCCGGCCGCTCGGATTCTCCCTCTGTGCTTCGAGTTCCACTGCCTCGGTGAGGTCATTGACCCTGTGATGGTGACCTTCACAGTGAATCTTGACCTTTACTCTGCCCATGTGACCCTGACCTTCAAACTAATCCATAAACCTCATTAACCTTTTTACGCTGACCCAGACACCTGACTGACCCTCACAATAACCCTTGACTCCTAAGCTGTGTACCCAGCAACCCATCGCTGAGTCTCAAGCCTCTTTTTCAGGAGGGTCCGGCCAAGTGTTCACAGTCGAGGGTGGATGGAGGATTGCCACTGTGTTTTCCAATCAAGTAGTTTGCGAGTAATTGAATTATTATAATATTTGTTTTTAATTCGCCAAATTTTTGACCTTTGAGGCTTATAACATGATGGCCCGCTCCTTTTTGCACGATGTCACGGGATCTTTAACGTCCGTTGTGAAGCAGACGGACGCATGGTATCATTATTACAATTATTATTACTGAAGTTGATACCGCAGGATTAACCAGGGCGGTCCGCCAGATTCTAACCGCGAACCCCTGCGGCAAACGCGCTACCCCCGGGTCACGTGACTGACCCACGGACATCGCGAACGCCTGACCCTTACGCTGACCCTGACGCGAAAGACTGAACCTTGTCTCTAACCTTAGCCCTGACCCTGATTGTGACCGTAACGGCACGCCAATCGTGAACGCTGCCACCATTTACGCACACAGAATCAGAATCTTTGATTTACGGGGGGGGGGAAATGTGATGAGCCGTTAAGGTCTGTTTTTGCACGGATGTCCAGTCGGGGCGTGTCAACAAGTTACAAGAAACAATCAATACAACAAAAACGATAGGAGTGCAAAGTGTACGAAAGATAAGCAAAGTTCTGAAAGTAAATAAATATATAGTACATAAGTTCAAATAAAGTATATTAATTCCCAAGCTTAGGCAAGGCAGCAAAACAACAGCAAAAAAGTCCCAGACCACACCAAGACAACGCAGAGTCCGTCAATAAATGTGAACTATCGACACACGGGGTAAGGATCAAAGCTACAAAACCACATGTTTGTTTTTATGTGGCTGCTGTATCCAGCGCTAATTTTCTGCCCCAGGATATTTTCTGAAGCAAGATTTACGATGTGAAGGGAGGAAACTCTCACTCTCTCACACACTCTCACCCACACGCTCCCACTGCCGCACGTACTCACTCACTCTGTGCCACTCTCACACACACTCGCGCACACACTCATCCCCTCACACACTCAGCCCCTCACATTCTCACTCACCACCTTACACACTCACACACTCACATTCTCACTAACCCCCTCACACACTCACCCCCTCACACACTCACCCCCTCACACACTCACCACCTTACACACTCACACACTCACATTCTCACTCACCCCCTCACACACTCACCCCCTCACACACTCACCCCCTCTCACCCTCACCCCCTCACACACTCACCCCCTCACACACTCACCACCTTACACACTCACTCACCACCTCACACACTCACACACTCACCCCCTCACACACTCACACACTCACCCCCTAACGCACTCAGCCCCTCACACACTCGCCACCTTACACACTCACACACTCACATCCTCACACACTCACCACCTTACACACTCACTCACTCACCACCTCACACACTCACACACTCACCCCCTAACGCACTCAGCCCCTCACACACTCGCCACCTTACACACTCACACAACAACAACCGCCATTCGCCACTAAGTGGCGGTGACGTCACCACGACGCTTGTGCCAGGCTATGTGCACCCTGAGGCCACGTGAAGTGTCGAACGACCGCTGGCAGGAGGTCACGGGGCAGACCCAGGTGCCACGGGTCGACTGACTGAGATGACTGGCTGATGCACCACCTGTACCCCCTACTGAGCCAACCTGCTGCGCTTTAGCCACCCGACGCTCCGCTCGTTGTTGTGAGCGTCGCTCCTCCGCCCTCCGTTGTTGTTGGAGGGCGACTGCCTCCAACTGCCCAGTAGCATCCTTCACGAGCCTCCTCCACAGAGGCCGATCTTGACACCGCTGGTACCAGTCATCGGCAAGTCCACTCAGCTCCACGTCCTCCTGTACCACATCACTCCATCTCTTCTCTAGCCCGTGCCGCGCCCGCTTAGCCCCCTCAATCCGGCCAAACAAAAGCTGTTTCGGCATGCGGTGGCTGGGCATGCGGGCTACATGACCCAGCCATCGCAGCCTTGCCTCCCGGAGGAGCTCACCGATGGGACCCTGCCCAGATCTTTCAAGGATTTGTGAGCTCCTCACACAATCCAGTCTGGTTAAACCCAGGATGGATCGTAGGCAGGCGAGCCTAAATGTTTCTAACCGGCGAAGATGTTCCATTAGGGGGGTCCACGTTTCGCAAGCGTAGAGAAGGGAGGGAATGACCGTGGCCGAGAAGACCTGAAGCTTAGTGCGGAGCGACAGACCAGGTAGCTTCCACACAGCGTTACGCAACCGATGAAAAGATATTGCCGCTCGACTGATTCGGAGTGAGACCTCTGCTGTTAAACTGGAGCCAGTCATAAGCACACTGCCCAGGTATGGGAAACTCTCCACTCTCCACCTTTCAATTAATTACCACGAAACCACGAATTAAACACTCACACACTCACATCCTCACACACTCACCACCTTACACACTCACTCGCTCACCACCTCACACACTCACACACTCATCCCCTCACACACTCACACACTCACCCCCTAACGCACACTCACATCCTCACACACTCACCACCTTACACACACTCACATCCTCACACACCACCTTACACACTCACTCACTCATTACCTCACACACTCACCACCTAACGCACTCACACACTCACCCCCTAACGCACTCAGCCCCTCACACACTCACCACCTTACACACACTCACATCCTCACACACTCACCACCTTACACACTCACACACTCACCACCTCACACACTCACATTCTCACTCACCCCCTCACACTCTCGCCCCCTCACACACTTACACACTCACCACCTCACACACTCACCACCTCACACACTCACACACTCACCACCTCACACACTCACATTCTCACTCACCCCCTCACACTCTCGCCCCCTCACACACTCACACACTCACCACCTCACACACTCACACACTCACATCCTCACACACTCACCACCTCACACACTCACACACTCACCACCTCACACACTCACATTCTCACTCACCCCCTCACACTCTCGCCCCCTCGCCCCCTCACCCCCACCCCCCACAATCACCCCCCTTGCGTGCCGCCTCCTCCCCCGTGAGGTCGTCAGCCTCTCACCAGGGTCCATAATGGCCGGAACAGCTAAATGCGGGGGGCTGGCGACCCCATCGCTATCCCCCCTAATTACCTCACCCCATAATTAACCTCCTAATTAACCCTCATCATCACCTTGCTCACGCCCCTCACTCCCACCCATGTGTGCGGGGTGGGGGGGCGGAAAGCGGGGCAAGGGGGGATTGGATTACGAGAAAAGACAAAGACCCCCCGTGTAGCCCACACAGACCGTTGGGGCAAGTGCCGTTAGCGAGCACCTGTGAAGGCCGGAACGCCGCACGAGGGGGTGGGTGGCCCAGCAACCACGCCCGGCCGCCTTTGTCTCCCCCCGTGGCGATGTTTACACACCGCACCAGGTACTCATTTGAGGCTGAGTCGACCTAGGGGAGGCCCAGTACCGGTTCAGGTAATCGTCACCGGTGTTGGCCGTGAACGGGAATTGAACCCGGGTCGCCGGGTTCGTAGCGCAGCGTAGCGCTAACCGCCACGACACTACCACTCCCCACACTCAGACATACACACACGCACACACCCGTATACACACGCACACATACACACGTACACACACGTGCACACACACACGTGCACACACACACGCACACACCCGTACACACACGCACACATACACACGTACACACACACACACGTACACACACACACGTACACACACGTACACACACACACGTACACACACACGTACACACACACGTACACACACGTACACACTTGCACACACACACACATGTACACACACACACGTACACACACACACGTACACACGTACACACACACACGTACACACACGTGCGTTCCCCAACACCCTCTCACGGTTCGTGCGTGCAACCCCTCCACCAACCTGCCTTGCCTCACCACCCCCCCCCTCACCTCATCCCTCTCCGCCCACCCCCCCCCATCCCACGCTCTCACCCTGACCCCTCGCAGGGGACGTGACTCTCGGCAGGGGGCCCTCGGGTGAGCGCCGGGACCCCGGCGAGGGGTCCCTGGACTCGTACTTCCGCTCGGCCAACTCGTGGCTGGCCGACAAGAAGGGCAAAGCCGGCCGGCTGCTCCGGGCCGCCCCCCTCGCGCCCCCCAACATCCGCGGCCTCCTCGGGGGGTTCCGGACCCCCTTCGGCCGCCGAGCGGAGACCCCCGTGCCCAGCAGTCCCCCCGACGAGGGAACCGAGGAGAACCCCGAGGGAGCTCCCGGCGGAGACGCCGAGGAAGAGGGGGGGGTGTCTGCGGAGGCAGCGGGGGCCACGTGAGTGTCGGGGGTGGGGGGGGGAGGGAGCGGCGGCGCAGCGGTTAGCACGCCGCCGCTACGAACCCGCCGACCCGAGTTCGAATCCCCGCTCACGACGCAACAGGCGACGGTTAATCCTACGTGTGAAACGTGGCGCTGTGCGTAGTGAACACCGCCACACTGGGAGGCAAAGGCGGGGTCGACCCAGTCCGCCGATTGGAGTGGGTGACACGTGACTGACACGTGACTGAGCGAGAGGTAGACTGGACGTGGTGGGGGGGGGGGGCAGCCAACGGCGCGCGGTGGTCCTGCGGACAGACTCGCCGCCCCCCGTCGTGGGAATGTGGAATTTCCATCGCCCCTAGGCTCTGTGGCAGGGCCGTAAGTGAACAGGAGATGAGCACCACTGCCGAGTGATCACTTTCAGTTGTTTCACAATGGGGGGCAGAGGTGAGCGGGAGGGGGGGGGGATTGGGGTAGACATTGGTGGGGGGGGGGGGTAAATCCCAATGGGGAGGTGGTGGTGGTGCTCGCTTGCAGCCTCAGCGGCTGTTGTCAGCCAGCAGTGCCGTCCTCGGGGTCGTTGTTCACGAGCCCAGGGTCTGGATCATCGGGGGAACTTTTGTCGGCCGAGGGTTGTCAGGGTATCTATCCCCTTTTGTTGGGCGTAAGAATTCATGGGAGGGGGGGGGGTGGGGGTGGGGGCGAGGGGTGAGTCCCGGGTGGGGTCACGCCTTACAGGGTGTCGATGAGTCGGGGGTTTGTCGGAGGCTTCGGGGAGACCCCTGAAAATGGGACCTGAATTGCGTTTTGGGGTCCACTACACAAGGGGTGGGGGGCGGTGTTGGGTGCGTCACGTGTGTTAGGCATGTGCCAGGTGTATCATGTGTGGGGTTGTGTCACGTGTGCTGCTCGAGAGCTCATCAGACTCCTCACCATCCCCCCCGCCCCTCCCTGCCCCCCCCCCCCACAACACCACTTTGTTGCCATGGCAACGCAGCCAGCAATTAACTCTAATGATCGGATGAGGTGGCGGCGGAAAGGGGGCCCGTGGCTGTGGGCCGTGCGTGGGGAGCGGCGGCGCAGCGGTTAGCGCACTGCGCTACGAACCCCCCCCCGCGACCCGAGTTCGATCGCCGCTCGCGGCCAAACCTCGGTGACAATTATCCGAACTGGTCCGGGGCCTCGCCTAGGTCAACGGGGCCTTAAATCGGTGCCTTGTGCGGCGTGTGCACATCAGTGCTGGGGACGACGACGACGGCGGACATGTGTGTCGGCGCTGGCCACCCACCCTCTTCGTGTGCCGTGCCGGGCTCAAATACGAGTATGTGCTCGCGACCGGCACTTGCCCCAACAGCCCGTGCGGGATCTTTGTCTCTGTGGGGGGAGATCCGTCGGAGCTGTCCAATCGTAAGGCTGCGATTTGGTCACGGAAAGTCCACGGAGGGTGGCGGTGGATCGTGATTTCCAAATAAACTCTCCGGTGGGTGTCTGGGGCGCGGATCGCGACAGGCAAACACGGGATCTTGGAAGATTCCTTTTGTTTCCTCGCGAAATGATAAAGGGGGGTGGGGGGGGGGGGGGGGCGGTGGTGGTGGTGGTGGTGGCATCGCCGCATCTGACTCCGTGACCTCTCCGGGGAAGTACCGACTCTGTTTTGCCCGGACCTTGGCCGTGAGATTCCCACCAACCTTGATCTCACCACCTTTGCAGTCGCTGGAATGATCGTTACCGCCATCACCATCACCGTTGTCATCCTCATCACCACCGGTATCATCACTGACCGCCATCAGCACCATCATCATCATCATCATCCTCACCAACATCACTATCATCATCACCACCACCATCACCAATATCACCATCACCACCACCATCACCACTATCACCACCATAATCACCAGCAACGCCACGACTATCATCACCATCATCACCATCATGATCACCATCATCATCACCACCACCATCATCACCATCATCACCATGGTCGCCCGCTATCGCGTTCTGAGTTTATCCGCCCTTGCTCTTTGTGTGCACGCTGCCGCCGCCCGGAGCAGCGAGGAGCAAGCGACAGACTCCGGTACGGGGCATGGGTCGGGATCGGGTCAAGTCTAATTGGGTCAAATCAGGGGCAGGGCACATATAATTGGGTCAAGTCAGGTCAAGTCTAATTGGGTCAGGTCAGGTCAAGTGTAATTGGGTCAGGTCAGGTCAAATCTAATTGGGTCAGGTCCAGTCTAATTGGGTCAGGTCAAGTGTAATTTGGTCGGGCCAGGTCAAGTGTAATTGGATCAGGTCAAGTCTAATTGGGTCAGGTCAAGTCTAATTGGGTCAGGTCGGGTCAAGTCTAATTGGGCCAGGTCAAGTCTAATTGGGTCAGGTCAAGTCTAATTGGGTCAGGTCAAGTCTAATTGGGTCAGGTCAAGTCTAATTGGGTCAGGTCAGGTCAAGTGTAATTGGGTTAGGTCAGGTCAAATCTAATTGGGTCAGGTCAAGTCTAATTGGGTCAGGTCAAGTGTAATTGGGTCAAGTCAGGTCGTCTAATTGGGTCAAGTCAGATTAAGTCTAATTGGGTCAGGTCAGGTCAAGTCTAATTGGGTCAGGATCAGGTAAAATCTAATTGGGTCGGGTCAGGTCAAATCTAATTGGGTCAGGTCAAGTCTAATTGGGTCAAGTCAGGTCAAGTCTCATTGGGTCAAGTCAGGTCAAGTCTCATTGGGTCAAGTCAGGTCAAGTCTAATTGGGTCAGGTCAAGTCTAATGGGGTCAGGTCAAGTCTAATTGGATCAAGTCAGGTCAAGTCTAATTGAGTCGGATCTTGTATAGTTTGATCAAGTCTACTTTGGTCAGGTGTAATTGGGTCAGGTCATCTGGGCATCTCCTAGGTCGACTCAGCCTCAAACCTGGTACGATGTGCAAACATCAACACTGGGGAGACAAAGGCGGTCGGGTGTGGTGCTGGTCACCCACCCCCTCGTGTGCCGTGACGGCCTGTGTAGGTGCTACTCACTAACAGCACTTGCTCCAACAGTCTGTCGAGGCTATATGGGGGATCTTTGTCTTTGTGCGACTACAGAAGTGCGAGGATCCGCCGAGGGGGGAGGGGTGGCGGGGGAGGAGGGGGAGGCGGTGACCCCACGCACGTTCCTGTACACTCACCTTAAAGATCAACCCATCTGGTGAGTGTACACCTCACCCCACACACCTCACCCCACACACCTCAACCCACACACCTCACCCCACACACCTCACCCCACACACCTCACACACCTCACCCCACACACCTCACTCCACACACCTCAACCCACACACCTCACCCCACACACCTCACCCCACACACCTCACCCAACACACCTCACCCCACACACCTCACCCCACACACCTCAACCCACACACCTCAACCCACACTCCTCACCCCACACACCTCACCCCACACACCTCACCCCGCACACCCCACACACCCCACACACCCCACACACCGCACCCCACACACCCCACACACCTCACCCCACACACCTCACCCCGCACACCTCACCCCACACACCTCACCCCACACACCCCACACACCTCAACCCACACACCTCAACCCACACACCTCACCCCACACACCTCACCCACCTCACCCCACACACCTCAACCCACACACCTCACCCCGCACACCTCACCCCGCACACCCCACACACCCCACACACCTCACCCCACACACCTCACCCCACACACCTCACCCCACACACCTCACCCCACACACCTCACCCCACACACCCAACACACCTCACCCCACACAGCTCACCCCACACACCCCACACACCCCACACATCTCACCCCGCACACCTCACCCCACACACCTCACCCCACACACCTCACCCCACACACCTCACCCCACACACCCCACACACCCCACACATCTCACCCCGCACACCTCACCATACACACCTCACTCCACACACCTCACCCCACACACCTCACCCCACACACCTCACCCCACACACCTCACCCCGCACACCTCACCCCACACACCTCAACCCACACACCTCACCCCACACACCTCACCCCACACACCTCACCCCGCACACCTCACCCCACACACCTCACCCCGCACACCTCACCCCACACACCCCACACACCTCACCCCACACACCTCATCATGTTGATGATGATGCAACATAATGATTCATGATAAGATGATTATGAAGAGGAGGGGTTTTTCCGTAGTGGTGAGTGATGATGACACGTTGTGACGATGATGGCTGTGGTGGTGATGATGACACGTTGTGACGATGATGGCTGTGGTGGTGGTGGTGAGTGATGATGACACGTTGTGACAATGATGGCTGTGGTGATGGTGGTGGTGATGATGATGACACGTTGTGACGATGATGGCTGTGGTGGTGGTGGTGAGTGATGATGATGATGACACGTTGTGACGATGATGGCTGTGGTGGTGGTGAGTGATGATGATGACACGTTGTGACGATGATGGCTGTGGTGGTGGTGGTGATGATGATGACACGTTGTGACGATGATGGCTGTGGTGGTGATGATGACACGTTGTGACGATGATGGCTGCGGTGGTGGTGGTGGTGGTGATGAGCCGTAATGACTGACGATAGACTCACAATGATGATCGTCACCATCATTGGCGATGACGACGATCATGAATAAAGTGACAAAGAAGAGGATGATAATGAAATGAGTCGTAACGATGATGATAACGATGTAGCGATGATGACGATGACGAGGATGACGAGGATGAGGCTGTTTGGGAATTGACCCCACGGCTGCGACTCCGGCCCCCTTCCCCGGCCCAGGCAGACTCTACGCTTCTGGAACGCGGCGCTCTTCCAGGCGCTGCACGTCGAGCGGCAGAAACACGAGCTCCCCCACAGCGGGTGGGCACACCTGGGGGCTCGTCAACACCTGGGGGCTCATCCACACCTGGGGGCTCGTCAACACCTGGGGGCTCGTCAACACCTGGGGGCTCATCAACACCTGGGGGCTCATCCACACCTGGGGGCTCGTCAACACCTGGGGGCTCGTCAACACCTGGGGGCTCATCAACACCTGGGGGCTCATCCACACCTGGGGGCTCATCCACACCTGGGGGCTCATCCACACCTGGGGGCTCGTCAACACCTGGGGGCTCGTCAACACCTGGGGGCTCCTCAACACCTGGGGGCTCATCCACACCTGGGGGCTCGTCAACACCTGGGGGCTCATCAACACCTAGGGGCTCATCAACACCTGGGGGCTCATCCACACCTGGGGGCTCAACGACACCTGGGGGCTCATCAACACCTGGGGGCTCATCCACACCTGGGGGCTCATCAACACCTAGGGGCTCATCAACACCTGGGGGCTCATCAACACCTGGGGGCTCATCAACACCTGGGGGCTCATCCACACCTGGGGGCTCATCCACACCTGGGGGCTCATCCACACCTGGGGGCTCGTCAACACCTGGGGGCTCATCAACCCCTAGGGGCTCATCAACACCTGGGGGCTCATCAACACCTGGGGGCTCATCAACACCTAGGGGCTCATCAACACCTGGGGGCTCATCAACACCTGGGGGCTCATCAACACCTGGGGGCTCATCCACACCTGGGGGCTCGTCAACACCTGGGGGCTCATCAACACCTGGGGGCTCCACACCTGGGAAACATCTGGGCACTCCTCCACACCTGGGCACTCCACACCTTGACACTCCACACTTGGGGAACATCCGGGCACTCCACACCTGGGCACTCCTCCACACCTGGGCACTCCTCCACACCTGGGAAACACCTGAGCACACGTAAGTCCACGTTTACACACCTGAATGCCTCCTCACACACATGCACACCTCAGCATTCGAGATGACTGGGGAGGGGTAATTGTGTGTGTTTGTCTGTGTATATAGATAGTATATAGATACACACAGTGTAGCGGTTAGCGCTACGCTGCACCACGAACCTGGCCACTCAGGTTCGATTCCCGCTCACGGCCAACAACACCGGTGACGATTATCTGAACTGATCCTGGGTCTCCCCTCAGTCGATTCAGGCTCAAATGAGTACCTGGTGCGGTGTGTAAACATCGTCACTGGGGAGACAAAGGCGGTCGGGCGTGGTGCTGGCCACCCACCGCCTGGTGTGCCGTTCCGGCCCTTATAGGTGCTCGCTAACAGCACTTGCTCCTACAGTCTGTTACAGGCTATACGGGGGATCTTTATCTTTGTATATAGATACGTATGTGTGTTTGTGTGGTGAGCGGTATTGCAGTGGTTAGCACACTACGTTACAAACCCAGCGATCCGAGTTCGATTCCCGCTCACAGCCAACATCAGTGACGATTCATTGAACCTGAACCTGCGCCTCCCCTAGATTGACTCAGACTGAAATGAGTACCTGGTGCGGTGTGCAAACATTGCCACTGGGGAGAGCAAGGCGGCCGAGTGTGGTGTTGGCCATCCACCGCCTGGTGTGCCGTGCCGGCCTTTGAAGGTACTCGCTAACAGCACTTGAATCGATTGGCGGTGGGCCTGGGTCACCGCAAAATATTGGTGGGCCGGGCAGAGTTTAAGGTTTTTTTTTTTTCTGGGAGCATCGCTGGTACCACCACCCTGTCCTGCCGGAGGGCGACGCTGGGAGCGATGACGACGACGATGTCGATCCCGCCGACACGACCGTGACCGCCGGCCGTACCAAGAGAGCGCCTGGTGCGCCATTGCCTCTGAGTGGTCTCGCTCACAAAGACAAGGAGGGTGTTGCCGCCCCCGTAAGAAGCAGAACTTGCTGCGGAATGACCAGACCAGCATCCCGATGTACTTTCACAACAAGCGATTAACAGCCGTTGCCACGCACAAATCCCCAGCAGCCCCCCTTTTTAATGGGTGTTTTGCGTGTTTTTTATTTCCATATTTGGCGTGCGTATCGGGTTCAGTGACATCTCCCCTCTTCATAGGCCTTCTGGTTTCGGAGTTACGGAGGTTTTGGCACCCCCAGGTCACGATGGTGACCCGGGTCACCGCCAATCGATTCACTTGTCCCAAGAGTCTGTCCAGGCTATAGGGGTGATCTTTGTCTTTGCAGGTCTCAACGCAAGGAGCTGTGCACAGCAGTGGACAGCAGTAGGGAGGTGACGGAGAGCATCACATTCAACCTCCTGGGGTACTACTCCTTGGTTATACACACGCCTCTATACACACGTCTCTGTACACACGTCTCTGTACACACGCCTCTGTACACACGCCTCTATACACACGTCTCTGTACACACGTCTCTGTACACACGTCTCTATACACACGCCTCTGTACGCGCGTCTCTGTACACACGTCTCTGTACACACGTCTCTTTACGCGCGCCTCTGTACACACGTCTCTGTACGCACGTCTCTGTACACACGCCTTTATAACATCTCTAATACACACATCTATACACACATCTCTAGACACAAGACATTTATTCAAAGACAAAGATCCCCCGTATAGCCTTAACAGGCTGCAGGGGCAAGTGCTGTTAGCGAGCACCTATGAAGGCCAGCACGGCAGACGAGGGGGTGGGTGGCCAACACCACGCCCGACCGCCTTTACCCCTACACACATCTACACACACACACATCTATACACACATTTATACACACACAATCTATACACAACAACAACCGCCATTCGCCACTAAGTGGCGGTGACGTCACCATGACGCTTGTGCCAGGACATGTGCACCTTGAGGCCACGTGAAGTGTCGAACGCCCGCTGGCAGGAGGTCACGAGGCAGACCCAGGTGCCACGGGTCGACTGACTGAGATGACTGGCTGATGCACCACTTGTGCCCCCTACTGTGCCAATCTGCTGTGCTTTAGCCCCCCGGTGCTCCGCTCGTTGTTGTGAGCGTCGCTCTTCCGCCCTCCGTTGTTGTTGGAGGGCGACTGCCTCCAACTGCCCAGTAGCGTCCTTCACGAGCCTCCTCCACAGAGGCCGATCTTGACACCGCTGGTGCCAGTCATCGGCAAGTCCACTCAGCTCCACGTCCTCCTGTACCACATCACTCCATCTCTTCTCTAGCCCGTGCCATGCCAGTTTAGCCCCCTCGATCCGGCCAAACAAAAGCTGTTTCGGCATGCGGTGGCTGGGCATGGGGGCTACATGACCCAGCCACACACATCTATACACACACATCTATACATCTATACACAATCTATACACCACGACACCTACACACATCTATACACACACATCTATACATCTATACACACACAATCTATACACCACGACACCTACACAATCTATGCACACACACACCTATAAACACCTGCACATATCCAACAACAACAACAACAACCGCCATTCGCCACTAAGTGGCGGTGACGTCACCACGACGCTTGTGCCAGGCTATGTGCACCCTGAGGCCACGTGAAGTGTCGAACGCCCGCTGGCAGGAGGTCACGGGGCAGACCCAGGTGCCACGGGTCGACTGACTGAGATGACTGGCTGATGCACCACCTGTGCCCCCTACTGTGCCAACCTGCTGTGCTTTAGCCACCCGGCGCTCCGCTCGCTGTTGTGAGCGTCGCTCCTCCGCCCTCCGTTGTTGTTGGAGGGCGACTGCCTCCAACTGCCCAGTAGCATCCTTCACGAGCCTCCTCCACAGAGGCCGATCTTGACACCGCTGGTACCAGTCATCGGCAAGTCCACTCAGCTCCACGTCCTCCTGTACCACATCACTCCATCTCTTCTCTAGCCCGTGCCGCGCCCGCTTAGCCCCCTCAATCCGGCCAAACAAAAGCTGTTTCGGCATGCGGTGGCTGGGCATGCGGGCTACATGACCCAGCCATCGCAGCCTTGCCTGCCGGAGGAGCTCACCGATGGGACCCTGCCCAGATCTTTCAAGGATTTGTGAGCTCCTCACACAATCCAGTCTGGTTAAACCCAGGATGGATCGTAGGCAGGTCAGCCTAAATGTTTCTAACCGGCGAAGATGTTCCATTAGGGGGGTCCACGTTTCGCAAGCGTAGAGAAGGGAGGGAATGACCGTGGCCGAGAAGACCTGAAGCTTAGTGCGGAGCGACAGACCAGGTAGCTTCCACACAGCGTTACGCAACCGATGAAAAGATATTGCCGCTCGACTGATTCGGAGTGAGACCTCTGCTGTTAAACTGGAGCCAGTCATAAGCACACTGCCCAGGTATGGGAAACTCTCCACTCTCTCCACAACTGCCCCATCACCGATTGGGAGTTGTGGGGGTGGAGTGTCCGATGGTACAAAATACCCAGGCAGGTGCTTAGTTTTGGTGGGGCTGATGGTAAGGCCCCACCTCTTAGTGGCACGCTCCAGTCTCAGCAGCAGCGTCTCCAACTCCTCCTCTGACTGAGCAGCTATTACCAAGTCATCAGCATACATAACGTGGTTGAGCAATAGGGAGCCATCCCTTGACCGCACCCGGGCATCGATTAGCCTCCCATTATATCTGTACCATATGGAGATTCCCCCGGTACAGCTATTGAAGGCTTCACGAACTACGTGGTCAAAATAGATGTTAAATAATGTGGGAGCCAGAGGACATCCCTGTCGCACCCCAAGGTGTACAGGGAATGGCTCTGACTCCCGGCCACGTAGTTTTACCCGGGCCCGCTCACCATCATGAAGGTCCTTAATGATCGTGAGCAGAGGGTCAGGTACTCCAAAAGCACGAAGAACGACCCAGAGCCCAGGCCTACTGATGGTATCATAGGCCTTGACCAGGTCAATAAAGCAGAGATGTAGGTCTTGTTGGAATTCCCTACACCTCTGCTGTAGCAGACGGACAGAAAATATGGCATCTGTGCAGGACCGCCCTTTCCTGAAACCGCATTGGGGCTCCGCAAGCCTCTCCTCAGCGTGCCTGGCAAGGCGATGCTGAATAATCCTTGCCAGGACCTTTCCCGGCACGCTGAGGAGTGAGATGCCCCTGTAGTTGTTACAGTCTGTGCGGTCCCCCTTCTTAAAAAGGGGGACCACCAGGGCATCCTTCCAATCCTGCGGAACCCGTCCAGTGGTCCAGACTGTTGTTATGATGTCATATAGGGCAGTCTGTGCACAAACGCCACCCTCCCTCAGCATTTCGCTTGGGAGATCATCTCTGCCCGCTGCCTTTCCTGGTCTCAGACTCCGGATCGCCTTCAATACTTCCTCAGCAGATGGCACCTCAGCCAGCCACTCACAGGGGGTGACTTCATCCAATATTTGAGGCACCGCAGCCTCAGCAGGGTCATCCTCACTTTGTGCCACGATGTTTTCCTGGCTGTGGGATTTTCCCTCCCCCAGGACCTCACAGAAATGCTCAGCAAATCTGCGAACCTGTTCCTGGGGGTCGGAAATTGGATCACCATTTTTTCCCCTAATGATGGTAATAGGTGTGGCGCTGCAGGTTACTTTTTTGATGGAGTTAAATAGCGATTTGTGATCACGGGCCACTGAGGCAGACTCCATCTCCTCAGCAACCCGCGACCACCACCCATCCTTGCAGCGCCTCACGGCTCTCCGAACCTCCGAGCGAAGGCTGCGGTAAGCCTCCTCATTCTCTGACGTGGGATTCTGTAGCCGATGACAGTGGGCCTGTCGCTTTTTCTCAACCATCCTGAACAACTCCTCTGTCATCCAGGGTGTCTGGGGAGGTCTGGACCGCGTACCCAAAGCAGCCATTGCAGCTGCATGAGTCACAGTCCTAAACCTCGCCCATTTACCCTCGACATCAGGAGGAGTCGGGGACGATGCCAATCCCAGCCGCAAGCGATGATGAAATTCTCGCTTGCAACTTTCATCAGATAACTGAGACCAGGCCACTTTAGGTTGGAATGGGGTCCTGGGTGTACACCCACCACCGGAGTGGAAGAATGGCAGGCGCATCTTACAGATGACTAGTCGATGGTCAGAGGGCAGATCAGCTCCACGGTAGGTCCTGGTGTCAAGGACATGGGCTCGCATTCGCTGGTCCGTCACTATGTAGTCCAGCAGATGTTCTTGCTTGGACCCGGCATGCATCCATGATGTTGTGTGGATGCGCCGATGCCGGAACAGCGTGTTGGTAATTACAAGCCCATGGGCTGCACAAAAATCTAGCAGCCTCCTACCGTTGTTATTGAGCTGATCTGGCCCATGCCCTCCAATCACTCCAGACCAGGTGCCAGTATCATGACCAACTCGGGCATTGAAGTCACCCAACATGATGACTCTATCCCGAGGGGCCACTTTAGCCAGCACCTGTGACAGGAGGTCATAGAAGGCATCTGACTCATCGGCTTTGCCTGCATCCCTCCACGGATGTTCATCTTCGGTGGGGGCATAAGTAACCACGACCACCATTCCTCGCCTCCGGTTGATGGGAAGGCGAGCCCAAAGTAGCCTGGGGCTTACAGCTTCCCACACCTCACCGCCACGCTCCCACGCCCCCTTCATTCTTTTGTTCAAAAGAAGACCCACACCCTGTTGTTTGGCAGTCTGCTGCCCCGAGTAGAGGACTGTCCACCCCTCATGGTGGCAGGAGCCAGAGCCGGTCCACCGGACCTCCTGAATGCCGCATAGATCCAGGCGGGTACCGGTCCAGCTCCCGACAGAGGAGTGGCAGCCTCTCCTCTGCAGTGAGCGTTCGAACATTCCACGTGGCCACCCGTAGTGGCTTTTCGTTGTTTCTGGAGTAGCCCCGAGGGTAGGTATTCAATCTCCTGGCTCCGCCAATTGGGGTTTGGCCAGGAGACGTCATAGACGCCTGGCCCCCCGGGGCCTCCGGCACAAGCTTAGTTGTTACATATTTCACTTTAATTCGTGGTTTTGTGGTAATTAATTGAAGGTGGAGGGGTTACCAGCCCCTCGCACCCGTCCAGAGCCCCCGTTTAGCCCCTGTGGTGGACACATATGCCATGAGGGGAGGAGCCAATCAAAATTGGAACTCCCCCCACAGCACTGTCCACGACAGAGTTGCCCGTCCGGCACCACCAGGTGTGATCTCCGCAAGTGAGTCAGTCAGGTGAGTCCCCCTTTATTTAACCAGGATATGAGATTGCCCCATCGAGACCCAGGTGAACAACTTTGCCTCTGGCGAGTGCCATCTGGGTCACATCCAACTCAATTTAAATGCGCAGCGTCTTTTAAAACTTCCACGATCGGTGACCGTGCCATATGCGGCGTGCCGTACTCTGCTCTCCGTGTCCCGCGTGCCGTGTGCCACAGCTGCCTGTCGGGGCGGATGCTGTCCCTGGGTCTCAGTCGCCGGGCCTGCGCCGAGTTCCTGAGGAGGCAGTGCGACACGGGGGGGCTCGCCGAAGGTGAGGGGGGTGGTCATAGAGCGGGGGAGGGGAGGGGGGGGTCAGTGGGGGGCTGGAGGGAGTGTCGCGTCCAGGATGGTAAGGGCTCTGCGGTCAAGGATGCAGGGGGTCAGAGGTCGAGTGCGTGGTCCGTTGACCGAATCCCGCAGGCCGCCATGGTTAATGCCGTACGTGCGTACGTACGTACGTACGTGCGTGTGTGTGCGTTCTTCCGCACCGTACGTAGGCAAGCGCGCTATAGTTGGAGTGTGCGCCGTTTGGCGTCACGGTGGACGACGCGAGAGGGATCCCGCAATGTTGGGGGGGGGGGGGCGGGGGGATAGAAGCAATTGAAAACCCTGTGCGAGCATAAATCGCATATTCAATGAACGTCGATTTCGTTGGACGAAATTTTTGTCTGGGGAGAAATTTATTTTGGGATGCGGGGTCAGGGGTCCGTGGCCTAGGGCAGTGGCTCTTATCCTGGGGTGTACGTGCCGCCTGGGGGTGCGAGATGCCCTGTCTAGGGGGCGGTGGGGGTGGGTAGCGAGACATGGCCAGATGTTTTTTTTAGAAGGTTAATAATCGAAAGCACAAATTAAGCACGGGCACGTGAGTTACAACTTACTTTGTTTCATCAAACCTATTTATTTATTAACATTATATATATTTTAAAAAAATTACGATCGAGAGCCAAAGGGGTGCAGGGCTGCGGTGCAGATTAAAAACCACTCGTCTAGGGGGCTTGTGCGATCCAGGAAGGTGGTGAGGTCTGCGGTGTTATGGAGCAATGGGACGTTCAGGTAGTCGGTGGGGGGGGGGGGGGTAGAGGGTCAAAGATCCTGGGTCTGGTACCCAGGGGTCTGAGGTTCGGGGATCAAGGCTAGGTCAGGGGTCGGGAACCTGCGGCTTCAAGAGTCCCTCGCGCCTCTTCAAGGGACCGCTCCGTGACGTCGTTTGTGATTGATGTTGAGTTGTCGTTTTTGTTGCTTTTACCGAATTCGATTCCCGACCGTCTGGGCTAGGGGATCGGGCTCCCTGGTGCACCGTGAGGTCAAGTAACGGCGGGGGGTGGGGGCGGGCCCTGTCGTCTGTGCTTGTGTCTCAGAACAACTGGAGGCGCTGGTGGCAAACATGGAGCGACTGGAATCAGCAGCAGCGGCAGCAGCGGAATAAACCACGCTCGCCACACCCCTACTCACCACATCACACCACGCCATCGTACTCGCCACACCAATACTCGCTGCATCACACCACGTCTTCAGCATACTCACCACATCATCACACCACTCCGTACTCGGCACACACCCATACTCTCTGTCATCACCTTGCGTCTCACATCACACGTCATCACACCATGCATGCACAGCCGCGACCGCGCACCCATAAGCACACACTGCACACACACACTACAAACACACATTGCACACACACTGCACACACACACTGCACACAAACACTCTGCACGCACACACACACTGCACACACACACACACAGCACACACACACTGTCCACACCACACACACACACACGCAAAGCATATGCAACACTGGTTGCTGACCTCTCACTCACACCTTACTCGCCTGCCTCTCCACCCACCCAGGTGTGGCTGCCTGACTCACTGGCCTGCAAGTTCAATTCCGGAGCGACGATAATAAGAATCTCTCTGATTGAGTGAGTCGGCGAATTATAACACTAGGCCTGTTCCATGGTTGGGGTGAGGGTAGGGGAGTCACGTGGTGTGTGGTGGCACCAGAGAGAAGTTAGGGCCTTGATACCACGTGAGATGAACCTCACCTGGTGATGCCTCACCTGGTGAGGCCTCGCCTAGAGGGTCCTCAGCAGGAGCAGGGTCACCCAGGTGAGGTGAGGTGGGGCCTGGCCAGTGCCATCCCTAGGGTAACGGTGAATCGGGGGGCGACCGCCCTGGGCCCCGCGATTTGGGGAGCCCCCCCCGCGTTTCTACGTCACTGCGTCGGGGAGGGGGGGGGGGGCGCACCACCACCTCCCCCCCTCACTCTGGACGACCCTGGGCCTGCTAAACTTCGGTTGCAAACTCTCCCATGATCCGCGACTCGGGTCTGGCACTTTATCCACTCGCAGGCCAAGCCCCGGTCGAATGTCGACATTGCAAGTCGTTCACTACCCGTGGTGATCTGTGGCCGTGATCTTTACTAATTTTCAGCGGGGGGGGGGGGGGGGGGGAGCACGTTGGCCGATTAGACGTCCCCAGTGTCAGGGTGCCGCTACACTTGTGAAACCATTGGGGGGTTTGTGTGTTCACGTAGCCCCGCGGGGCCTTGCAACGAAGAACGCGAAAATGAATCCTCGTAACGCCGCCAGACCTCCGTGGGCAGCGGTGGCGGCGGTGGTGGCTACGCCGCTGCTGCTGCACGTGGCCGCCGCTGCTGCTGCTGCACATGGCCGCCGCTGCTGCTGCTGCACGTGGCCGCCGCTGCTGCTGCTGCACGTGGCCGCCGCTGCTGCTGCTGCACGTGGCCGCCGCCGCCGCTGCTGCACGTGGCCGCCGCCGCTGCTGCACGTGGCCGCCGCCGCTGCTGCACGTGGCCGCCGCCGCTGCTGCACGTGGCCGCCGCCGCTGCTGCACGTGGCCGCCGCCGCTGCTGCACGTGGCCGCCGCCGCTGCTGCACGTGGCCGCCGCCGCTGCTGCGGCACGTGGCCGCCGCTGCTGCTGCACGTGGCTGCTGCTGCTGCACGTGGCCGCCGCTGCTGCTGCACGTGGCCGCCGCTGCTTGGTCTCCTCTGGCTGCTCCGCATTCCGCTAAAAAGTCATGAATTGTCCGATGACCGAAAACAATTTCGAGGACCGCAGAGCTTGGGCAGTTGTTGAGGTCGTCGGCTCGGCAGCTGCTGCCTTCCCGCACGTTAGTGGTTCCTCATCGCGCCTCCGAGTCATCCTTTACATCTCTCTCTCCGAGTCGTCCTCTCTCTGAGTCATCCTCTCCCCGAGTCGTTCTCTTGAGTCGTACTCTCTCTGAGTCATCCTCTCCCCGAGTCGTTCTCTCTCTCTGAGTCGTCCTCTCTCTGAGTCATCCTCTCCCCGGGTCGTTCTCTCTCTCTGAGTCGTACTCTCTCTGAGTCATCCTCTCCCCGAGTCGTTCTCTTTCTCCGAGTCGTCCTCTCTCTGAGTCATCGTCTCCCCGAGTCGTTCCCTCTCTCCGAGTCGTCCTCTCTCTGAGTCATCCTCTCCCCGAGTCGTTCTCTCTCTCTGAGTCGTCCTGTCTCTCTCTCCGAGTCGTCCTCTCGTCGCCCTGTCTCCCTCCTCTGAGCGAGCGAGCGACGCAGCAGCGTCACAAGTCGACATTCTCCATATCGCTCTCTCGGTCAATAACACATTCCGGCCCACCGAGGTCAGGAGCCGCAAATCCGCGTGCAGGTGGCAGCCCTAAACCGCGACCCACGTGGCGCCATCATCCCCTCCCGTCTGCACCCTACACAAAGCAAAAGATCGATACCCCCCCCCCCCCCCGTATAGCCTTTGACAACGTTGGGGCAGGCGCTGTTTGCGAGTAGCACGGGGGGGGGGGAGGGCAAACGTCACGGTCCCCAGCCGAACTTCGGCTCCCCAGTGTGGACGGTTACTACACATCGCATCGGATCACCATTTGAGGCCGAGTCGACCTAGGGGAGGCCCGGGACCGGTTCATATGTTCGCCGCGTTCATGGTCGCGAGAGGGAATCGAACTCGGGTTCACCGGGTTCGGAGCGCAGTGAGACAACCGCGACTATGCCGCTCGAGAACAATAACCAGCGAGTGGCGGTGACGTCGCGACGGCGCTTGTGCCAGGCTAGGTGCACTTTGAGGCCACGTTCAGTGTCGAAGGCTCGCTGGCAGGAGGGTCACGGAACAGACCCCAGGGTGCCATGGGTGGAGTGACTGAGATGACTGCCGCTCTGTAACACACGTACACACACACATACGTACACACAACAACAACAACCGCCATTCGCCACTAAGTGGCGGTGACGTCACCACGACGCTTGTGCCAGGCCATGTGCACCTTGAGGCCACGTGAAGTGTCGAACGCCCGCTGGCAGGAGGTCACGGGGCAGACCCAGGTGCCACGGCTCGACTGAGATGACTGGCTGATGCACCACCTGTGCCCCCTACTGTGCCAACTTGCTGTGCTTTAGCCACCCGGCGCTCCGCTCATTGTGAGCGTCGCTCCTCCGCCCTCCGTTGTTGGAGGGCGACTGCCTCCAACTGCCCAGTAGCGTCCTTCACGAGCCTCCTCCACAGAAGCCGATCTTGACACCGCTGGTAGCAGTCATCGGCAAGTCCACTCAGCTCCACGTCCTCCTGTACCACATCACTCCATGTCTTCTCTAGCCCGTGCCGCGCCCGTTTAGCCCCCTCGATCCGGCCGAACAAAAGCTATTTCGGCATGCGGTGGCTGGGCATGCGAGCTACATGACCGAGCCAACGCAGCCTTGCCTGCCGGAGGAGCTCACCGATGGGACCCTGCCCAGATCTTTCAAGGATTTGTGAGCTCACACAATCCAGCCTGGTTAAACCCAGGATGGATCGTAGGCAGGCTAGCCTAAATGTTTCTAACCGGCGAAGATGCTCCATTAAGGGGGTCCACGTTTCGCAAGTGTAGAGAAGGGAGGGAATGACCGTGGCCGAGAAGACCTGAAGCTTAGTGCGGAGCGACAGAGCAGGTAGCTTCCACACAGCGTTACGCAACCGATGAAAAGATATTGTCGCTCAACTGATTCGGAGTGAGACCTCTGCTGTTAAACTGGGGCCGGTCATAAGCACACTGCCCAGGTATGGGAAACTCTCCACTCTCTCCACAACTGCCTCATCACCGATTGGGAGTTGTGGGGTGGAGTGTCCGATGGTACAAAACACCCAGGCACGTACGCACATGTACGTACACGTACACACACGTACACACATGTACACACACACGTACACACGCGCGCACACACGTACACACGTACACACACAAAGACACAGTCGTGGCATATCACTCCCAATCTACCACGTAAGTTTTACACGCGCTTGCAATCTGTGATTTATCTGATTCCCCCCTCCCTCGCCTCCATCTCTCTCTCCCCCCTCCGTATCCCATTGATCTCCGGTCTCTGCATCCCCCATCACCTCCCTTGTCCTCATCGTGCAATAGGAACACCACCCCCCCCGTCTCCCCCACTCTGCCTTCTCTCTCCCAGTCTCTGCTGCTCCACCAATCGTTTTTTCTCAGCCCCCCCAGCCCCCAAATCTTCTCCAATCTCTCCTCTTCGCTGCTTCATCTGCTGCCCGAGTGTCTGGTCTTTATTGATCCCCCCCACCCCGTCATCCGCCAATCCCCGTATCCTTCATGCTCCCCGTGTCTCCCACCCACCGCCTTTCCCCTCTCGCGACCGCTCCCGTTAATTATCGGTGCTCGTCAATTGTGGTCACGTGCCGTGTCTCCCCGTGTCTCATTACAAGTCGCCCTGTTCCTTTCCGAGTTCGGGGCTTCGTCACGAGTTCCTATCCGGGGTCCCTGGGGTCTCCGAATGCCCCTGGGGTCTTGGGTGTCTGGATTCAGGTGCCCTGCGTCCCTGAGTCTCTGGGCAACTCGATTCAGGACCCCGAGTCTCTGGGAACCTCGATTCAGGTCCCTGGGTCTCTGCCCTCCCCCCCCCCCCCCGGGTTCGTGCAAGTCGACGAGCGAACCCACGCGGCAGGGTCCCCAAGTAGCTCGACCCGTGGGCTGTGTCACGGAGACCTTTGACCTTCCACGCGCCGCGCGCATTTCACACGCATGGGGAAACGGACGGGCGCGGCCACGCGCAGCCCTGGTGGTGGTGTCACTCCACTGCTGGATGATGGCCTCGCCCCTCCGTGCCGGGTTGGTGATGGACGGGGGGGGGCGCGGTTATATTTGACCATACTTCACCACACCACGCTGGTCAGTGCGGGTTGTTGGTGGTGGGGAAGGCGGGGAGCCATCGAAGTGCGGCAAAGTGGATTTTGCCGCACAGTCTGCTGCCTAAACCGCAAAGCCCCGCCGCAAGCCTATAGCACCTGCTGCGCATGGCGGCCGTTTCCATCCAAGCAGCCAACCAGGCTCGGGGCCTGCTGAGCCTCACGAAGCTCGGGAGCATTCCGGGTGATTTTGGGCATGGGTGCGAATCGTCTTGTCATTAAAAACTCTACCGCCCCCGCCCTCGGAATACGTTAAGAACCGAGCAGGTTGGGTTGGGATGGGTCTCACGCTGGGACTTGGCAATCTCACGTTGGGCCTAGGCAATCTTACGCTGGGACTGGGCAATCTCACCCTGGGACTTGTCTATCTCACGTTGGGCCTAGGCAATCTCACTCTGGGACTTGGCAATCTCACGCTGGGACTTGTCTATCTCACGTTGGGCCTAGGCAATCTCACGCTGGGACTGGGCAATTTCACACCCCGAGCCTGGACAATCTCACGCAATGGGCGTCCTCCAATCTTGAGAGCTCTGCATGGAGTCACATTGTGCATGTGTAATTGTCAATCCTGGAAGACCCTCTCACACCCCCCACCCCGTTGTATAGGTCAACGCAGGGCTTAATTTCAGCCGGAGCTGTTCGGGGCTGATCTCCGGGAAATATTTCTGCGGTGTGATTTGGTTGTGGTGGTGGTGGTGGGGGAGAAAAGAAGGGTTCGGAGAGGTTGGGTTGGTGATAATGTAAGCCCTGGCTTGGTGCAACTGTTTGTTCAGAAAATTATAATGCTGTGGAATTTAAATATAATACAGAATATTATTACCACGTCTAGCTGTCAATGTCGTGTTGTCCCATTGTACTGGATTATTCAACGAGAGTGTTGCTGCACACGTTCGTGCCACCGTCCGCTTGTCAATCCACCGCTGGACGAGGACCTCCCGTCCACCGCCGAGGCTGTGACGGCCACGTGGGTTTATTCTGACCACACGTCACCACGGTGGTCAGTGACGAGTTGGTGAAGAACTGAATGATTGTACACCTTGTGCTGCCACTGGAAGATGTTCCACGGTGGTTGTGAGATGTTAACTACCTCGCCTGGTATACAGGAGGTCGTGGGTTCTATCACGACCCTGACACCTCTCGCGCGCGCCCCCCCCCCCACCCCCGTGGTCCCGCTCCTCCGGATTTTCCCTCCACATTGAGAATCAACGTGCGTTTGGAGTATTTGGCTGCTATACATTTCCACATGATAAGTCATTTCGTTGAGCTATCATTTGCGACCAGGTCGCTTCTGAAACAGCTACATAGCTCAGTGATAAAATAAAATCTGGTTATAGTTTTTAGTTCCAATGTGTTGAGATGGGATGGTGACGTAAGCCACTTAAAGATACATAGATTATTATTCAAGTCCCAAAGTTTCATTCGCAGTCCTGAATGGAATAGGCAGCCGGGTGATTTCAGCGGTAAAGTTCACTTGGGGCTACTAATCTCAAGTTTCAAACAAGACACAAACACTTGTACACAAAGCACATCTCTGTGGCATTATGCAACAACACAACCATCAGCAGTTCCTGTAGAACTGCATCGTGGACCCCACCCCACATCGCGTCTCAAGGGGTCACCATCAAAATCAAGTTGAGCGAATGTGGCCGGCCAACAGCGATGAGCCACACGTGGACGAGTTTCGTTCCGACAGTGACTCATCAGCATAGAGGTAGTCGCCAAATGCCCACCGCTGCCTCAATTACAGCCGTGGGGTGGCCCCACCATTCCACAGTCTTCGACTTCTTTCGTACGGCTGCTGACGTTGCAGAGAAGTGACGACATATAGAAATAGGTTTTACCCTTTTAACTGGCACAAAAAACTGACACCTTTATTCAAGGCATCATGTTTGCAATAACCACAACACAAACAGTCAAAATGCAATCAAAAGAGACAACTCTGATAATATGCACTGTCCTTGAATTTGATTGGTCCACACCCGAGCCGGCTTTTCTTAGAGCCTAGTCTCCACTGGTGTTGGACCAGAAGACGCCAAAAGGCGTACGTCTTATTATCAGAGTTGTCTCTTTTGTTTGCATTTTGACTGCTTGTGTTGTGGTTATTGCAAACATGCCTTGAATAAAGGTGTCAGTTTTTGAGCCAGTTAAAAGGGTAAAACCTATTTCTATATCTTGTTACTGGCAAAGGAGGTCTCATAATGTAAAAGCGACAACTTCACATTCAGGCGGTCAAGGCCAGACAACCGCGTCGGGAGCAACGGAGTGTCACTGCGACTCCTCCTTCGTTATTGTGGATCGGGGCGTGGCGTCGTTACACGTTTGCATGGTCAGTCGTGGGTGACCTCAAGTCGCACGCACTGGCTGGAGAAGTTTTGAACTTTTGCATTTGTGCGTCTACTGCCCACGGTTTGTGCAGTGGATGCGATTTAGTGTGGATCATGAGCAGCTTCGTGGACGATCAAGTCCCCTGAGATCGTGCGCTTTGGGTCTTTCACAGCCCCGGGTGTTTTATTTCGCGAGTTCTCTGGAACGTCCACTCGGCACCGTACGCGCGCAATGTGCCGGAGTGCTTTGAGTGGCAACGTGTTTGTGTCGACAAATCGCGGGACGTGTCCTGCGGCCTGCAGCATTCATCATCGACATAAGGGGGGGGGGGGGGGGGGGTTTCTGGACAGTTTCATAAATCGCGAGCTGCGTTGGCATTAATTCGAGAGCGTAGATCCACAAGTGGAGTGGTGGATTAATTACCCCCCCCCTCACCCCATTCCCCTATCGATAAAAGTTGCCGATTGTATTCGGTCCAAGAGGGGTTTTAGGGTCAAGGCAATCGGGACCGTGTTCATCGATGCAGAGGGGTTGTGGGCATGAGCGCCTTCACTCTGGGCACTGCAGCATCGAGTCTCGGGTGGGGAGCCCGGCATAGTGCCATGGAATTCCTGAAGCTCGCCGTGCCAAGCGTGGCACCCTGCTGACGAACATTCCGCGGTGGGTCGACGGTGTTGCATCTTCCTCACCTTGTCACTGCTGCGGATGAGAAGTCAGCTGCTCGTGCAGTCAGACGGAGAGAGACCTGGCGAGGTGTTAACTACCTCGCCTGGTATGCAGGAGGTCGTGGGTTGAATCCGGACCCCTGCTGTATATTTGGGAGTCTGCGTGTCTCTCTCTCTCTCGCTCTCCGCGGTGGTCGCGTGGATTTTTCTCAGCGTCCTCCGGGTTTTCACCTCCACATTAAGAATCAACATCAAGCCGTTTGGAGCGTTTGGCTGCTACACATTTCCACATGGGCTATCATTTGTGGCCAGGTCGCTTCTGAAAAAGAGCTACATAACTCGGTGAACCTTACCCGGTAAAATAAAAAAAACACATCTCGGTTGTTTTAAATAGACTGAGAGACGGACAGAGACGGGGAGAAAGACGGTGGGGGGGGGGGGAGACAGACACGAAGAGGGACAGTCACAGACGGTGTTTGGACATCGATGCTTATAAATCTTGTAGAAATCGCGTAAGTTGAGATAAATATTAAAGTTGTCGAGTTAAGATTCGTCTGAACTTACGCCTCTCCGCTTGACTCGGGTTGCCCCTCCCCCCACCCCCCCACCCCCCGACCCCCCCCCCGGGTCTCCCCCAAAAAGCCTCTCCGCTCTGCTGGCTCGCGACACGGGCGCGGCACGCGCGCGGCGCGGCACGCGCGTCAGTACAAAGTTAAGAGAAAGTGCTCCGCTTTATTCACCATAAACGACAGAAGGAACAATTTGCCACTGCGAACCGGGCGACTCGCGGGAGCCGAGGGATGGGGGGGGGGGCAAGGGGAAAGAGGTGGGGGGCGAGGGGAGAGGGGGGCGAAGAGAGGGTGGGGAAGGGGTGGGGGGGCGAGGGGGGAAAGGGGTGGGGAAGGGGTGGGTGGGGGAGTAAAACACGACAGCAGTCGAGAGGAAGGCAGGGACCACCTCCACTCCCCCGCGCCCTCGGGGCCTCACCGGCCACCGACGACTCGTTCGTCTTCCCACAAGAACCCGGCACAGATCGCCCGAGGGTTCTCGGCACAGCCGTTAGGCCCAAAAGCCTCCTGCTGCTACCGCTGCTGCTGCTGCCGCCGCTGCTGCCACGTTGCAAGCCAGAGCACGACCATCCCGGGCCACAACTTGGGTCACACGCAATCCCGGTCACTTCACCCACGCACCTCTGGTCCTCTCCCTCCACACCCCCGGTCCGTCTCCACTACACTTGCGCACCGACCCACAAATCGCTCGCACGCAAACGCAATCTCTCACGCGGCCAGAAATACAAACGCTCACCACTCCCACCATCTCTAAGGAAGACTCACATCATGCACGCCAGCTGTGGTGACACACACCCTGACACACACACACACAGCTACACTCTCCGCGACACACGCACAAATACAAAGCTCCCCCGTATAGCCTTAACAGACCGTAGGGGCAAGTGCTGTTAGCGAGCACTTATGAAGGCCGGAACGGTACACGAGGGGGTGGGTGGTCAGCACCACGCCCGACCGCCTTTGTCTCCCTAGTGCCAATGTTTACACACCGCACCAGGTACTTATTTGAGGCTGAGTCGACCTATGGGAGGCCCAGGACCGGTTCAGATAATCGTCACCGGTGTTGGCCGTGAGCGGGAATCGAACCCGGGTCGCCAGGTTCGTAACGCAGCGCGCTAACCGCTACACTATCGCTCCCCGCGACACACACACACGCAGACACACAGACACACAGTTATACACACAACATCGCATGGCCTGGCCATGCGACCCTGACCTCACGACACAAACAAAGGGGGTCACAACCCTGACCTAATCAGACTGGGGTCACAACCCTGACCTCAGTCAGGGCAACCGTCCTGACCTCATCAGAGGGGTAACGACCTCGTCGCACAAGCAGGGGGTCCACGACCCTGACCTATTCAGCACAGAGTCACGACCTTGACCTTTTCAGCGCGGAGTCACGACCTTGACCCTGACCTATTCAGCACGGAGTCACGACCTTGACCTTTTCAGCGCGGAGTCACGACCTTGACCCTGACCTATTCAGCGCGGAGTCACGACCTTGACCTATTCAGCGTGGGGTCACGACCCTGACCTATCCAGCTCGGGAGTCACGACCTTGACCTATTCAACGCGGAGTCACGACCTTGACCCTGACCCATTCATCGCGGGGTCACGACCTTGACCTATTCAGCGCGGGGTCACGACCCTGACCTATTCAGCACGGAGTCACGACCTTGACCTATTCAGCGCGGAGTCACGACCTTGACCCCGGAGTCGCGGTGCCTCGACCTCGAGATACCCCGACGCTCGCCCTCAGCCTGGTCACTCTCGGCCTCGTCTCACAACAAATAAATATGGGTGGGGGGGTTGGGGTTTGGGGGGCGGGGGGGGGGGGCCGGGTCTAAACCCGCACCCCCTAAACATCCTCATGTCGGTCCGGTGCAGATTTACACACACAGCGCTCACTCGCGCGCGCGTGTGTGTGTATGTGTTATTGAGTGTCTCGGTGTGTGGGTACGTATGTGTGTGTGTATGTGTTGTTGAGTGTCTCGGTGTGTGGGTACGTGTGTGTGTGTGTTATTGAGTGTTTCGGTGTGTGGGTACATGTGTGTGTGTTATTGAGTGTCTCGGTGTGTGTGTGTGTTATTGAGTGTCTCGGTGTGTCTGTGTGTGTGTGTGTTATTGAGTGTCTCGGTGTGTGTGTGTGTGTTATTTAGTGTCTCGGTGTCTGTGTGCGTGTTATTGAGTGTCTCGGTGTGTGTTATTTAGTGTCTCGGTGTGTGTGTGTGTGTTATTTAGTGTCTCGGTGTCTGTGTGCGTCTTTGTGCCAATGTCCCCCGTGTGTGTGCTTGTGCGTGTTCGGCGGACGCGCGTGTATCTGCGCGTACTAATTTCTACGCGTGCGCGCGCTTGTACGTACGCGCGAGTTTCCCTATCTTCTCGTGGTGCGTTTGTGCGTTTGTCTGTCTGTGTGCGTGCGTGCGTGCGCGCACCAAGTATCGGGCAGTGCCATGCTGACGGAGCGGCGAGCGAACTCGCGCACACGCATGCACATACATGCAGACACACTCGCACGCATCTCGCACTTTGCGGTGGGCGCGCACTCCCTGGCGGGCAGCGCCGCTCACTCCACGGGCGCCACGGTGGCGGCCGTCCGTGCCGGTCCCCGCGAGTTCCGACCCGGGCGGCGAAGGTGGCGCTACCCCACCGGACACCGCCGCCGCCGCCGCCGCCGCGCTTCTCCGCTTGTCCATTTTTGATTCTTCGGCCGGCGACGGTCGCAGTGGCCGCGTCGGCCCACGTCCATCAACATCGGCGGAACTCGTCACCGTCGTCGCCGTCTTTGATTTCTCCGCTTTGCCGACGCCAACCCCCGGCGCCGCCGCCGCCGCCGCCTACACCTCCTTGATGGGCGTCTCGCGCGGCACAGCGAGGTGGAACCCGCGGTTCACGCCGGGGGGGGCCGCGGACGTGGCGGCCGCCAGCCCTTCCCCGCCGCCGGCGTCGCCGCTGCCGCCCGCCAACTTCCGGGCGCCGGCGCCGGGCTCCAGCGAGCGAGTCTTGTAGCGGCGCAGCCAGGGCGGCCGCCGGTCGCCATGGAAGGGGTTGCGGCTCGAGCGGATGATGTCGGCCACGAAGCGCCGGCAGTCGACGCAGACGTCCACGCAGCCCCAGTCGGCCGTGCTGCGCGTCGGCAGCGCCGGCTCCCAGCCGCCGCCGCCGCCGGGCGCGGTGCTGCCCACGGACGACGGTCGGAGGAGGAGAGAAACGGTTGTTGTTGTTGTTGACATCATCATCATTATTATTTTGTTATTAGTCCGCTGGTATACCCGGGAAAGTCTCACCGAGTCTCAAGCACACCCCCCGCCCCCCCACACCACACTTTAAACAAGGTCCCCACGCTCCAGGGATGCCGCGAAGGATCTCCCCTCATGATTGCCCACCTCTGGTGTAGCGGCGCCACCTAGTGGGGTAACGGCGCCACCTAGTGGGGTAACGTCACCACCTAGAGGGGTAACGGCGCCACCTAGTGGGGTAACGTCACCACCTAGTGGGGTAACGGTGTCACCTAGCGGGGTAACGTCACCACCTAGTGGGGTAACGGCGTCACCTAGAGGGGTAACGTCACCACCTAGAGGGGTAACGGCGCCACCTAGTGGGGTAACGGCGTCACCTAGAGGGGTAACGGTGTCACCTAGTGGGGTAATGTCACCACCTAGTGGAGTAACGGCGTCACCTAGAGGGGTAACGGCGTCACCTAGAGGGGTAACGGCGTCACCTAGAGGGGTAACGTCGCCACCTAGAGGGGTAACGGCGTCACCTAGAGGGGTAACGGCGTCACCTAGAGGGGTAACGCCGCCACCTAGTGGGGTAACGGCGCCACCTAGTGGGGTAACGGCGCCACCTAGTGGGGTAAGGAGTGCCACCTAGTGGGGTAACGGCGCCACCTAGTGGGGTAAGGAGTGACACCTGGTGGGGTAAGGAGTGCCACCTAGTGGGGTAACGTCACCACCTAGAGGGGTAACGGCACCACCTAGTGGGGTAACGACGCCACCTAGTGGGGTAAGGAGTGCCACCTAGTGGGGTAACGGCGCCACCTAGTGGGGTAAGGAGTGCCACCTAGTGGGGTAACGGCACCACCTAGTGGGGTAACGACGCCACCTAGTGGGGTAACGACGCCACCTAGTGGGGTAAGGAGTGCCACCTAGTGGGGTAACGGCGCCACCTAGTGGGGTAAGGAGTGACACCTAGAGGGGTAAGGAGTGACACCTAGTGGGGTAAGGAGTGACACCTAGAGGGGTAAGGAGTGACACCTAGTGGGGTAAGGAGTGACACCTAGAGGGGTAAGGAGTGACACCTAGTGGGGTAACGGTGCCACCTAGTGGGGTAACGGCGCCACCTAGTGGGGTAAGGAGTGCCACCTAGTGGGGTAACAGCACCACCACCTAGTGGGGTAAGGACGCCACCTAGTGGGGTAACGGCACCACCACCTAGAGGGGTAAGGAGTGCCACCTAGTGGGGTAACGGCACCACCACCGAGAGGGGTAAGGAGTGCCACCTAGAGGGGTAACGGCACCACCATCTAGTGGGGTAACGGCACCACCACCTAGTGGGGTAACGGCACCACCACCTAGAGGGGTAATGGCACCACCACCTAGTGGGGTAATGGCACCACCACCTAGTAGGGTAAGGAGTGCCACATGGGGGTGGTGCATGGGGCGCCACCACGAGGGCACCCCAGGTCCTTGTAACCCGCATGGGACGAATCTCACCTGGCGAGGCCTCTTCTGCAGGCTGCTCACCTGGAGACACCTCACCTGAAGACCCCCCCCCCCCCAATCCCTCACCGCCCCCCCGCCCCCCCCGCCCCCCCCGGCCCACCTGGGTGTCGCCCTCTCGCGCATGGACACGGTGCGACGTGGTGCGGGGGTGCTGCGGGAGGACGACGACGCTGCAGGGGGGGGGCCGGGCGCCGTGGGGCTGCTGGCACCAGAGAGGCCGGCGGCGCCCAGCGAGTAGATGGGGATGTGGCCGATGTGCTTGGTGGGGAAACGCATCTGGACGGCCACAACGACGACGACAACGATGGCGATGATAAACAACAACAAGGACGACAACGATGACAACAACGACAACAACAACGATGATAAACAACAACGATGACGACAACGATGACGACAACAACGGTGACAACAACGACGACAACGATGACAACAACAACAACGATGACAACAATGACGACAACAAGAACGACGACAACGATGACAACAACGACAACAACAACGACGACAACGATGACGACAACGACAACAACGATGGCGATGACAACGATGACAACAACGACGACGACAACGATGACGACGACAACGATGACGATGATAAACAACAAGGACGACAACGATGACGACAACAACAAAGGCCACAATAACAATGACGACAACAACAATGACGAGAATGACTACGACAACAACGACAATAACCACGACAAGGGGTGGGCGGGGGATGCGTTTGTCCTTCCCCCGCACCTCCGATAATTAGTGCAGTTGGCTACGTATGGTGCGAAAGAAGTTCAACGTACGTACTCATACACAACAAATTAAAATAATAACAGTAACTGAACACCTACTGCTACTATTTGTATTTTACCAGCTAAGGCCCAACTGAGCTCTACAGCTGTTTGTCAGAAGCCACCTGGCCACGAACACACTTGCACAGACGCCAGCTTCCACCACACGAATGCGACTGCATTGCGGCTGCGTGGTTGTGGTGATAACGCACGCACGCAACGGTGGACTTCATGCGCACCGTACGTAGCCAATCGGAGGTGCAGTCGCACGTTATTATGGCTGCGGAATCGTATCGAGGCATCGGCCGTGCTCGTGTGACAATTGTGGTTGCAGTAGTGGTTACAGTGGTTGTGGTCCGAGCTGTTACCTTTTTGCAGCACTGCGAGCAGACAGGCCTGTTGCACAGGAGACAAAACAACGACATCATCATCATCATCATCGACAGAGCCACCGATGCCATCACCACTACCACTGCCGCCGCCGCCGCACCTCGTGGTCGCGGCCACCGCTCCCTGGTCCCCGCCAGAAGCAGCGACCTCCACGGCCTGACCCCGGGCAGTCGCCCGGAGCGTGGTCTTAGACTCATTCAGAGACCCACAGACTCACACAGAGACCCACAGACTCACACAGAGACCCACAGACTCACACAGAGACCCACAGACTCGCACAGAGACCCACAGACTCGCACAGAGACCCACAGACTCGCAGAGACCCACAGAGTCGCACAGAGACCCACAGACTCTCACAGAGACCCACAGACTCTCACAGAGACCCACAGACTCTCACAGAGACCCACAGACTCACACAGAGACCCACAGACTCACACAGAGACCCACAGAGTCTCACAGAGACCCACAGACTCGCACAGAGACCCACAGACTCGCACAGAGACCCACAGACTCGCACAGAGACCCACAGACTCGCAGAGACCCACAGAGTCGCACAGAGACCCACAGACACACACAGAGACCCACAGACTCACACAGACCCACAGAGTCTCACAGAGACCCACAGACTCGCACAGAGACCCACAGACTCGCACAGAGACCCACAGACTCGCACAGAGACCCACAGACTCGCACAGAGACCCACAGACTCGCAGAGACCCACAGAGTCGCACAGAGACCCACAGACTCACACAGAGACCCACAGACTCACACAGAGACCCACAGACTCACACAGAGACCCACAGACTCGCAGAGACCCACAGACTCGCACAGAGACCCACAGACTCACACAGAGACCCACAGACTCACACATAGACCCACAGACTCACACAGAAACCCACAGACTCACACATAGACCCACAGACTCACACAGAGACCCATAGGGTCATACAGAGACCCATAGATCTGCCCTGACAGTCTCCCAGTGTTCACTCTGAGGTTTCCTCTTCCCCGTGGGCACCAGACTCGTAGTGACCGCTCCCAATGCCGGTCTTGGCTATCGGCTCTCAGCCCCCCCCAATCCTGCACACGCGTCCCACCCAGCACGGCCGTCCCCACCATCACACTAAACACCACCACCACCACCCCAACCATCGCAACCACCACAAGGACAACCACCACGGCACATCTCAAACATCTAACTCCGGTCAAGAAACGGGGGCCGCAGAGCGGAGCTCAGGGATCACCGCCTCCGCCACCCCCCCCACCCCCCCCTCCCTGTGCCCCGCCCCCCACGGAGGAAACCCCCCCCACCTCTTGCAGAAGTGGCAGGTGTAGGCCCAGGTGAAGAGCGAGAATCGCTTCGAGCGGCAGCAGAAGCACATCTGTGGGCGACACGACGCTCACGCTCGGCACACTCCCTACTCGCTCTCGTCACGCCGCCGAGCCAACCCCAGCCCCCCCCCCGGCCCCACCCCGGCCTGCCCCAAGCTCCCCCAGCTACCCCCCAGCTGCCGCCCAGCCTCCCCGCACACTAGAGGGCAGCGTCGGCGCGATGGGCGAGCACCTTGCCCTTCTTGAGCGCCGTGTAGATCTCCTTGTACTGCTGGAACTTCTCCAGCTCGGCCTTGACCAGCACCTGGCGGATGTGCATCACCTCCTCCACCGTGAGTGCGAGGCTCTCCACCGGGAAGCTGAACTCGTCCTGCCGCACGCGCGGACAGACGCACGCACGCAGGCACGCACGTACAAGCAGACGCGCACGCAGGCAGACGTACGTGCGTGCAGACGCAAGTACACACGCACACAGACGCATGCACACACACGCACGCACACAGACGCACGCAAGCATGCACACACACGCACGCACGCAGGCGCGAGCAGAAGACGCACACACACACACACACACGTGCATCACCACTAGCCCCAAACCAGGCGCCGTAAGCAGTCGGAGGTCGGGGGATGGCAAGTGGCGGCGGTGGTGGCGGCGGTACGTTGTCCAATCGGGGTTGAGCCGGTCGCCACCCAGGAGGGGTGCGGGGGGAGGGGCAGCGAGCCGTCGACGATGCTCGGTGATCGAACCCCAACCCCGCTCGTTAGCGGCCAGAGTACGGAGCGCGACAGCGGCACCGTGGCGACGTCTTCACGGTCGCTTCACGTACGGCGACGCCGAGGGCGTCACGCCGGCCACGTGGGATGCTCGTTGCTGGCAGCCGATTGGCTGGTGCAGCGAGCGCGGGCGTGATGATGTCATCGTCCGGCAATGTCTCTTACGGGAGCGAGAGCTACGAGGTTTGACCTTACGTGTCTGGCAAAGGGGATCTAGCAATGGGGATCTAGCAAAGGGGATCTAGCAAAGGGGATCTAGCAAAGGGGATCTAGCAAAGGGGCCTGGCAAAGGGGATCTAGCAAAGGGGATCTAGCAAAGGGGCCTGGCAAAAGCGGGTCTGGTATAGGGGATCTCGAAAACGGGGTCTGACAGGAGGGGTCTGACAGGAGGGGTCTGGCAAAGGGGGCCTGGCATAGGGGGTCTGGCATAGGGGGTCTGACACCTTAGAGGAGGTGTTCCATGGGGTGGCAGGGATGTGGCGCACTGGTAACTCTCGAGCCTCGCAGTCACAAGGGGCCTGGGTTCGATTCCTGACTCGGGTGCCTTTCTGCGTGGAGTTTGTGTGTTCTTCCCCTGTTCTGCAGTTTGAGTGTGTAAGTGCGGAGTGTGTGTAAGTGTGGAGTGTGTGGGAGTGTGGAGTGTGTGTAAGTGTGGAGTTTGTGTAAGTGTGGAGTGTGTGTAAGGGTGGAGTGTGTGTGTAAGTGTGGAGTTTGTGTAAGTGTGGAGTGTGTGTGTAAGTGTGGAGTGTGTGTGTAAGTGTGTGTGTGTAAGTGTGGAGTGTGTGTGTGTAAGTGTGGAGTTTGTGTAAGTAAGGAGTTTGTGTGTTCTCTCCCTGTTCTGTAATGTGACTGTGTAAGTGTGGAGTTTGTGTAAGTGTGTAGTGTGTGTGTAAGTGTGGAGTTTGTGTGTAAGTGTGGAGTATGTGTAAGTGTGGAGTGTGTGTGTAAGTGTGGAGTTTGTGTAAGTGTGAAGTGTGTGTAAGTGTGGAGTTTGTGTAAGTGTGGAGTGTAAGTGTGGAGTGTGTGTAAGTGTGGCGTTTGTGTGTTCTTCCCCTGTTCTGCAGTGTGAGTGTGTAAGTGTGGAGTGTGTGTGTAAGTGTGGAGTGTGTGTGTAAGTGTGGAGTGTGTGTAAGTGTGGAGTGTGTGTAAGTGTGGAGTTTGTGGGAGTGTGTAAGTGTGGAGTGTGTGTGTAAGTGTGGAGTTTGTGGGAGTGTGTAAGTGTGGAGTGTGTGTAAGTGTGGAGTGTGTGTACGTGTGGAGTTTGTGGGAGTGTGTAAGTGTGGAGTGTGTGTAAGTGTGGAGTGTGACTGTGTAAGTCTGGAGTGTGTGTAAGTGTGGAGTTTGTGTAAGTGTGGAGTTTGTGTAAGTGTGGAGTTTGTGTGTTATCTCCCTGTTCTGTAGTGTGACTGTGTAAGTGTGGAGTTTGTGTAAGTATGGAATGTGTGTAAGTGTGGAGTGTGTGTAAGTGTGGAGTTTGTGTAAGTGTGGAGTGTGTGTGTAAGTGTGGAGTTTGTGTAAGTGTGGAGTGTGTGTGTAAGTGTGGAGTGTGTGTGTAAGTGTGGAGTTTGTGTAAGTGTGGAGTGTGTGTAAGTGTGGAGTGTGTGTAAGTGTGGAGTTTGTGTAAGTGTGGAGTGTGTGTAAGTGTGGAGTTTGTGTAAGTGTGGAGTGTGTGTAAGTGTGGAGTTTGTGTAAGTGTGGAGTGTGTGTGTAAGTGTGGAGTTTGTGTAAGTGTGGCATGTGTGTAAGTGTGTAAGTGTGGAGTGTGTGTAAGTGTGGCGTGTGTGTAAGTGTGTAAGTGTGGAGTGTGTGTAAGTGTGGAGTGTGTGTAAGTGTGGAGTTTGTGTAAGTGTGGAGTTTGTGTGTTCTCTCCCTGTTCTGTAGTGTGACTGTGTAAGTGTGGAGTTTGTCTAAGTATGGAGTGTGTGTAAGTGTGGCGTGTGTGTAAGTGTGGCGTGTGTGCAAGTGTGGCGTGTAAGTGTGGCGTGTGTGTAAGTGTGGCGAGTGTGTAAGTGTAGAGTTTGTGTGTTCTCTCCCTGTTCTGCGTGGGTTTTCTCCGGGTTCTCTGGTTGCCTTCCACAGCTACCCACACACAATGTCAGAGGTGTTGGCCAAACGACGTAGCGGGCAGGACTCTCCTAAAAAAATGCTTCTTCGGACTCAAGTTAGTGTGGTTTTCCCCGAGTGAAATAAGTGAATATTTCTGCTGCATTAACGTCGTTAGGACCGGCTCAATCGCATTGGACAATGTGCGATCACCACCATCACCACCACCATCACCACCACCATCACCACCACCACCGCCACCATCGCTGGCGCAATCAGTGCAGCGGTGTGCAGGGCGCAGCTGGCGCGACGAGCGAATTGCGCGACCAATTGATCGCTCGGCTGAAGCGATTGCGTGATCGTGGGATTTGTTTGTTGTTGCGCGGACGGACAGATGGAAGGACGCACAGATGGACGGACGGACGCACAGATGGACGGACGGATGGACACAGAGAGACATTGGCGGGGGGAAGGGGAGGTGGAGGGGGGAGGTGCGTTGATCGGATCCCAAGACGCCCGCAAATCGCACCCCTTACCATGATCAACATTCCGTCGGCACGGTGCAGGACCGGCGGTCGCGGTCCGACTTCCTGCATTGATTAGCAGCGTGCCAAGAGAAAAGGCGGCAGGGAAACGGGGGTGGGGGGTGGGGGGTGGAAGAAAAAAGATCGCCAGAACACAAAACGCAAAATGCGAACGGGGAAAGGAACAGAGCAAAAAATAATGACACAGCAGCGGGCGGCGTCGGGTTAGAGGGGGATCACACGTGTCACGCGTGCGGACGCCGCAACGGCTAAATCACCCGGGGGGTTAAAGGGGGCGCGGGCGAGAGCGAAGCGGGCGAGCCAAGCGGGGGTGGTGGGGCGAGCACGGGGGACGAGAGGGCGAGAGCAAGCGTTGTCCACCCTCGGTTGATTGGGGCGCTGGGTGGCAAAGGAGGGAGAGGGATCAGGGGGTATGGGGGGGGGGGGGCGGGGGTCGCGGGGGTCGCGGGGGCGGCTCGCAGGACGTACCGGCACCCTCGGAGCCCCGACTCCGGGCGCAGCGCGGGGCTAACGTGAGGGCAACCGCTGTGCTTCACAGACAAGTAGAGCCTACCACTGGATGGGGGGCGGTGCTCTGTGGCTTTACCTATTCGAGCTACCATTTGCGATCGCTAGGTCACTTCTGACAAAGAAGCTGGTAGCTCAGCGGGCTTCACCTGCTCAAATTAAAACGGGTTCATTGTTGCCGATTTTACTTAATGCGCTTACCATTCCTATACTTTGCACTCCGATCGTCTTTTCGCCGCATTGCTTGTTTTCGTAGCTTTATGACACGCCCCTACTGTAACATGTGACAAAGAGCTTTTGAGCTTGTCGGATTCCTCCAGCATAAAATAAATATTCTGATTGCGAGTAGCTTGCCGGTTCACCATATATTAAATATGCAGGCGGTCCCCGGGTTACGGAAAGGGTTCCGCAGAACGAGCCGTAACACGAATTCTCCGTACGTCGGAAACTGACCAATTTTCCGACCAGAATCAACAATAAAATCCCATAGCCAGAAATAGTTGTGCCTCACCCTACCCGGTTTGTTGTGCCTTAGTTGTGCTGCCTCTACCCAGTTTGTTGTGCCTTAGTTGTGCCTCACCCTAGCCGGTTTGTTGTGCCTTAGTTGTGCTGCCTCTACCCGGTTTGTTGTGCCTTAGTTGTGCCTCACCCTACCCGGTTTGTTGTGCCTTAGTTGTGCTGCCTCTACCCAGTTTGTTGTGCCTTAGTTGTGCTGCCTCTACCCAGTTTGTTGTGCCTTAGTTGTGCCTCACCCTACCCGGTTTGTTGTGCCTTAGTTGTGTTGCCTCTACCCAGTTTGTTGTGCCTTAGTTGTGCCTCCCGTACCCGGTTTGTTGTGCCTTAGTTGTGCTGCCTTTACCCGGGTTCGTTTTCTCTGAGTTCTCTCAGCACTCTGGCAAGCTTCAAAAGGAAATTAATTACATAACGCATTTTCCATTTGCCGTAATCCTCGTGGAGTTCGGGCTCGGTGAAGGTGGCGTGAGAGCTGGCTTCTCGCCTTACGCCCCGCGCCGCCATATTCATCCGCAACCTCACCGCGCTGCACCACTTGTGCTTAAACGTAACTAAACGCAAACATTTCCGCAAATTTAATTTAAAAAAAGAAATTCAAACGCGAGTCGCGGGAGCGTTCCGTCTTGATTTGAAGCTTTCGTGACTGCAGGAATCCATACTCTCCGGCTCTTTCGGTAAAGTCATCACGTAGGGAGAAGAAAAAATAATAAAATAAAACACGGCGTTTCGGTCGCAACACGAGCGTCAGTCTTCGCCTGAAGGCAGCCGCTTGTGTTCTATCTACAGCCTCCGCACAATGCCAGATTCATACGATGCCGCTACGGCGACCTCGAAAACACATTGTGCCCTAACCTTCTCTCAACCCCCCCGGTTCGTCCTGAATGCCGACCCCCACGGGGGAACAGTGGGGAGAGTGGGGGGGGAGGGATTCGGGGGAGGGGGGGGGCTGGTGGGGTCCAGGAAGGGTGGGGGGGGGGGGCACACCTGCAGGGGGGCCCACTGGGGGGCGTCCGAACAAACCAAGTGCAGGGCTCTGCAGAGGAACCCGGCCGCACACAGCAGCGAGACCTCCAGGGGCCATGAGAAGGTTCCCAGGGCCCCCATCGCGGGGGGGGCCCTCCACAGACTGCTGGCCAGCAGCGGGCCCCCCACAGCCGCCACGGGGGGGGAGGACTACGGTGTCACCGGTAGGGGGAGGGGGTGGGTGGGGGAGGAGGGGAGGGGGGCCGGCGGTCAATGGGGTTAGAGGTCGCCGGACGTTGACGCTGGCGGCGGTGCAGGCCGGCGGGCGGGGGCCATGTGCCCCGGCCATCTCGGGTCGATCGCCGCCGCTCACCGCCACTCACCGCCGGCGGTGAGCGTAGCCCGGAGGTTGGGCTCGGTAGGAGGGGCGGGGGTGGGGGGGCAGGGAGGGGTGGCGATGAAGCATGGAATGGGACGCAAGCGCGCGGCGCGGTTGTGACGGTCGTGGCACCGCGGAGAGAACCGCGTGGAACCCGAGCCTCGCTCCTAGTCTCACCGGGCGGCTACAAACCTTGGGCGTGGGTGGTGATAGCGGTGGTGGCGATTGGGCGGCGGTCGTGGAGTGGTGGCGGTGGTCGTGGGTGGTGGTGATCATGTGGTCGTGGGTGGCGGTGATGGCGGTGATAGCGGTGGTGGCGATGGCGAAGGTCGTGGAGTGGTGGCGGTGGTCGTGGGTGGTGGTGTTCATGTGGTCGTGGGTGGCGGTGATGGCGGTGAGAGCGGTGGTGGCGATGGCGAAGGTCGTGGAGTGGTGGCGGTGGTCGTGGGTGGTGGTGTTCATGTGGTCGTGGGTGGCGGTGATCGTGGTGATAGCGGCGGTGGCGATGGCGAAGGTCGTGGAGTGGTGGCGGCGGTGGCTTTACCGTGGTAGGTGACGACGAGGAGCTGACGGTGGCGACTCGCGAGGAAGGCCAACGGGGCGGAGGACACGACAACGATGATGGAACACGACACGAGGGACACACACGCACGGGGACGCGCTCCGGGGAGCTCACGGCACACGGCGATCTCTCAAATCGTCAAGCGCCGGCAACGCCACCCGGTGGTTGTGCCGGTGCGGGCGGCGACGGCAGTGGGGCCGACTGTGACGGTTGTAGTACTGGCTGGTGGTGGCTGCGTTGGTGGTGTTGTAGGTAGCCCGTGCAATGGTTGCCGTGGTGGTGATGGCGATGCCGGTGGTTGCGGTGGTTGCGGTGGTTGTGGTGGTACTAGTTGCACTGGCGATGCCGATTGTCGTCGCAGAGGCGTTGTGGCCGTGGTGCCGGTGTTGTAGCGGTGACCCTGTTGTGCTGGTGGTGACCCCGATGTGACGGTGGTGTTGGTGTTGCGATGGCGATGGTGAAGTTTCGACGGTGGCCGTGTGGTGGCGGTGGTGTTGCGACGGTGGCCGGCGTCGGTGGCGCCGTCTCTCACCAGCGAGCGCGAGTCCTGGCGCACGGCACGTGGGAACTCTCGCGCCGCCGTGCTGGTCGGCGTCTCCTTCTCGATGGAGTGTCGCCGCGGTCCTGGCACGCGGCGCTCCGGCTGCGGCGTCGACGACACCGGCATGAAGCTCAGGTGCAGCGAGCGCCGGTCTGTGGGCGCTGGCAGTGCGGGGGGAGGGACGGGGGTGGGGGGGGAGCGGGTGAGGCGGGTGGTGGGGGGGGATCCCAATGTTTATACCGCGGCACCGCCCCCGCTCCGTGTTGTACTTCGGTTGGTTTGGCGGCCGCCCCGGTCAAGGCCACAAGTCCCCGGGGGCCTCCGTTCCCCCCCCGAGCCCACCTCCAACCCCCCCCACCGCACCTCTCCTCCCAAACCTCATGCATCCCGGCGTGGTTGTGGCCTCGCGCACACGCGACCTGGCGCCGCGGTGGTGCTCACCCCGGGGCCCCGCGTCGCGCAGGAGAGGCGCGATGTCGCCCAGGTAGTCCGGTGTCCCGGCGCCGTCTAGGTTGCCCTCCTCCTGCTCCTCCTGCACGCACGCACACACACGCACGCACACACGCACGCGCACGCACGCGCACGCACACACAGGCACACGCACGCACACACAGGCACACGCACGCACACACAGACACAAAGACAAATATCCCCCATATAGCCTTAACAGACTGTAGGGGCAAGTGCTGTTAGCGAGCACCTATGAAGGCCGGAACGGTACACGAGGGGGTGGGTGGCCAGCACCACGCCCGACCGCCTTTGTCTCCCTAGTGCCAATGTTTACACACCGCACCAGGTACTCATTTGAGGCTGAGTCGACCTAGGGGAGGCCCGGGACCGGTTCAGATAATCGTCACTGGTGTTGCCCGTGAGCGGGAATCGAACCCGGGTCGCCGGGTTTGTAGCGCAGCGCGCTAACCGCTACACTACCGCTCCCCCCAACACACACAGGCACACGCACGCAAGCAAGCAAGCACGCAAGCAAGCATGCGCACGCACAGTCGCAGCGCTCACCAAAGCGCACAGACTGGCAACCAACTCATGCTGCTGGTGCTACTGCTGGTGGTAGTGGTGCTGGTGCTGGTACTGGTGGTGCTTTTGGTGGTGGTGGTGTGGTGGTGGTGCTGCTGGTGCTGCCGGTACCACCGCACCTCAAACTCTGCCTCCATCTCCGCCAGCGTTGGCGCCTTCAGCAGCAGCTTCTTCTTGCGGACGCAGCGCCCTTCCGGAGTGTCGATGTCTGCCCACGACACACACGCACACACCCGCACACCCACACGCACGCACACACACACACGCACACACACACACACCCACACGCACGAACACACACGCACACACCCACACGCACGAACACACACACGCACGAACACTGCTACAGCAACACCGCTATGGTAACACCACTATGGTAACACCAATACGGTAACACCACTGGTAACATCACTATGGTAACATCACTATGGCAACGCAGCGGCAACACCACTACGGCAACACCGGCAACACGGCGGCATCACCACGACGGCACAGAAGCGTGGGATGGTGGGGTGGGGGGAGCGCGCCTCGGTGTCACCGCGGGATGGTCACGGCACAGGGAAATTTCAGGCTCGGCCGACAGATCTGGGCCTTGTAGCACCAAGGTCTGGCCTGGGCGTTCCGCGGCCGTGACGGCTCCACTGCCAACTGTCCCACCCTCGCTCGCGTACGCACAGACACAGCCAGGAACGAGGCACAGACACGGCCAGGAACGAGGCACAGACACGGCCAGGAACGAGGCACAGCCACGGCCAGGAACGAGGCACAGACACAGCCAGGAACGAGGCACAGACACAGCCAAACACGAGGCACAGACACAGCCAAACACGACGCACAGACACAGCCAGGAACGAAGCACAGACACAGCCAGGAACGAGGCACAGACACAGCCAGGAACGAGGCACAGACACAGCCAGGAATGAGGCACAGGCACAGCCAGGAACGAGGCACAGACACAGCCAAACACGACGCACAGGCACAGCCACAGCCAGGAATGAGGCACAGACACAGCCAGTAGCGAGGCACAGGCACAGCCAGGAACGAGGCACAGACACAGCCAGGAACGAGGCACAGACACAGCCAGGAATGAGACACAGACACAGCCAGTAGCGAGACACAGACACAGCCAGTAGCGAGGCACAGATACAGCCAGTAGCCAGGCACAGACACAGCCAGGAACGAGGCACAGACACAGCCAGTAGCCAGGCACAGACACAGCCAGGAACGAGGCACAGACACAGCCAGGAACGAGGCACAGACACAGCCAGGAACGAGGCACAGACACAGCCAGTAGCCAGGCACAGACACAGCCAGTAACGAGGCACAGACACGGCCAGTAGCGAGGTAAGACACGGCCATGCCGACACACACGGAAGCCAGGCGAATATTGGTTTCCTTGAAGATTTGTTTCATCACAGGAATTCAAATTAGTTCAACCTGCAAACATTTGTTCCCCTGACCCTATGTGTACCCCTGGGGTCGGGGTTAGGGGTCGGTGTTAGGGGTCGGTGTTAGGGGTCGGGGTTCGTGTTTGGGGTGAGGCTGGTGGAGGAGCGATCGGGTTGTCCAGGCGGTTGCTGGGGCCGCCACCTTCCCTAATGCAGACCAAACTTTGGCCGTGTCCCTCCTCTAACTCAGCGCTGGGCCTCCCCCTCCTCCTCATCATCGCCCCGTCACCGCAGCGAAGCTCAACTCAGCCAGACCGGTACCAGACCTGGGTAACAACGGCGGGCAACCCGTCCTCACCGCCTTCAACAACCCCGCGCCGACTAGCGTGGTGAAGTATGGCTGAACAACCCCCTACGACCCGACAGGGCGCCCGTCGTGGCGGCGGGGGCGGGACCTTCATCCAGCAGTGGATTGCCAACAGGATGCGTACAGTAGTATTCATCTATTTATTTGTGGCCTTCAAGGAGAGAACCGGTATTCGGAGGGCGCACACAATCACGATTGCGTCGGCGCAAGCGGAGGGCGGGCGTGCATGTGGAGAGAGAGCAAAGCGAGGGAGCGAGCAAGCGGGGTCGGCCGGTGACGAAGGGGTCACGTGGCGGGGGGGAGGGGGGGGTCAGCTGGTACTGTACCTGCCAGGTCAAAGCTCTGTGACATGCTAAGGGGTCTCAGGGCTGGGGAGGGGGCAGGGGTGTACCGGGTCACACACACACACGCACGCGCACACACGCACACACATGCACGCACACACACGCACACGGACACGCAGGGACAAAAAATAGAACCAAGGATGACAACGGTCGTCAAAGTAAACGAAGACGCGTGGGATGGGAGGCGGGCGCAGAGGGATTGTAAGGATGGTGGGGGGGAGGGGTGTTGATGGTGGGAGTGAGTGGGCGGCGGAGTGAGCGCGGGGGTGAGCGAGCGAGTGGTGAGCGAGTAGTAAGTGAGTGGTGAGCGAGTGAGTGGTGAGCGAGCGAGTGGTGAGCGAGTAGTAAGCGAGTGGTGAGCGAGCGAGTGGTGAGCGAGTAGTAAGTGAGTGGTGAGCGAGTGAGTGGTGAGCGAGTGAGCGGTGAGCGAGTAGTAAGTGAGTGGTGAGCGAGCGAGCGGTGAGCGAGTAGTAAGTGAGTGGTGAGCGAGTGAGTGGTGAGCGAGCGAGTGGTGAGCGAGTAGTAAGCGAGTGGTGAGCGAGCGAGTGGTGAGCGAGTAGTAAGTGAGTGGTGAGCGAGTGAGTGGTGAGCGAGTGAGCGGTGAGCGAGTAGTAAGCGAGTGGTGAGCGAGCGAGTGGTGAGCGAGTAGTAAGTGAGTGGTGAGCGAGTGAGTGGTGAGCGAGTGAGTGGTGAGCGAGTAGTAAGTGAGTGGTGAGCGAGCGAGCGGTGAGCGAGTAGTAAGTGAGTGGTGAGCGAGTGAGTGGTGAGCGAGCGAGTGGTGAGCGAGTAGTAAGCGAGTGGTGAGCGAGCGAGTGGTGAGCGAGTAGTAAGTGAGTGGTGAGCGAGTGAGTGGTGAGCGAGTGAGCGGTGAGCGAGTAGTAAGTGAGTGGTGAGCGAGCGAGTAGTAAGCGAGTGGTGAGCGAGTAGTAAGCGAGTGGTGAGCGAGCGAGCGGTGAGCGAGCGAGTGGTGAGCGAGTGGTGAGCGAGTGGTGAGCGAGTGAGTGGTGAGCGAGTAGTAAGTGAGTGGTGAGCGAGTAGTAAGTGAGTAGTAAACGAGTAGTAAGCGAGTGAGCGAGCGAGTGGTGAGCGAGTGGTGAGCGAGTGGTGAGTGGTGAGCGAGTGGTGAGTGGTGAGCGAGCGAGTGGTGAGCGAGTGGCGAGTGGTGAGCGAGTGGTGAGCGAGTGGTGAGCGAGTGGTGAGCGAGTGGTGAGTGGTGAGCGAGCGAGTGGAGAGCGAGTGGTGAGCGAGTGGTGAGCGAGTGGTGAGCGAGTGGTGAGCGAGTGGTGAGTGCGCGCACCGATCCGGCAGGGCTGTGGCGGGACGGGCGAGACGGACCGCAGCTTGCGGTCCGTGCGGATCTCGTCCAGCATCTGCTCGTGGAGACTGCGGGGTCGCTCCGGGGTCTCGCGTAGCTTCCGGAACGCGACCTACGAGCACAAACAAAAAGACAAAGATCCCCCGTAAAGCCTTAACATTTTCTCGGGGCAAGCGCTGTTAGCGAGCACCTACGAAGGCCGGCACGGCACACGAGGGGGTGGGTGGCCAGCACCACGCCCGACCGCCTTTGTCTCCCTAGTGACGATGTTTACACACAGCACCAGGTACTCATTTGAGGCCGAGTCGACCCAGGGGAGGCCCAGGACCGGTTCAAACAATCGTCACTGGTGTTGGCCGTGAGCAGGAATCGAACCCGGTTCGCGAGGTTCATAGCGCTGGTGTACAGACACACACTAGCGTGTACACTAGTGTGCATCTGTACACTAGTATGTGTGTGTACACTGGTGTGTGTATGTGTACACTAGGGTGTGTGTGTATACACTGGTGTACAGACACACACACTAGCATGTACACTAGTGTATGTACACTATTGTGTGTGTACACTGGTGTGTGTGTGTGTGTACACTAGTGTGTGTGTGTACACTGGTGTGTGTGTGTGCGTGTGTACACTGGTGTGTGTGTGTGCGTGTGTACACTGGTGTGTGTGTGTGCGTTTGTACACTGGTGTGTGTACACTGGTGTGTGTGTGTACACTGGTGTACAGACTAGGTTGCTGCGGGGAGGGGGAGTCAGAGGTGGTAGTCGGAGTGGGAGGTGGGGGGGTCAGAACGTTCGGTTTGTTCTCCTTCCCCCCCGCACCTCCGATTAGCCCGCGGTGCGACAGCGGTTTAACACTCACGTACACACACGGAGGGCCAACTCACGGGGTTAAGTGGCGGCCGCGAGCGGATGAACTCCAGGATGACGTCGTGCGCGCTCTTCCGCACCCGTGAGGGGATGTCTCCGTTCACCTGGCGGCGGTGACGGCAAGGGACGTGGGGTGGGGGAGGGAAGAGCGCGGGCACACACGGTGAGCGCACAGAGCAACAAGCAAGGAAGAAGAACCATGCACACGCTGCGGGATGGCCCGAGACGTACCGTACGGGAGGCGCGGTGTGAAAAACAAACGACAATGATGGTGGTGGTGGTGGTGGCGGCGATCCGGTGAGGACGCTCCCCCTCGGGAGCGTCGCCTTAAAATCAGCCGTGCAGCGGTGTAACGTTACGCTCCAAGATGCACGGCGAGATGGCGTGTGACGCCGCGCATCACAACGCCATCGGGAAACCGTTTAGTATACTGCAGTGCCTCTGGGCTCCATCGCTTCACCGAAACGAGGGAGACGGGTGAATTAACCCAGCCATACCTGGCGAGGGGGTGGGTGGACAGTCAAATGTGGGAGTCTGGCCGTGCCATTATTATCCACCTTCCTTCCCGCTCATGTAGGAATGGATGAACAGATGAGGTTAAACGGGCCATACCATTTTCTTCCCCAGGAGGTAAAAAGATGGGGTAGTTGGCCCCTACCAATTTATTCCCCCCCAATGCAACAACGGATGGATGGGGTACTTGGGCCTCACCATTTTACCCTTCCCTCAGGGGCAGGCGTGGATAGGTGGGGTAAGTTGGCCCCTACCAATTTATCGATCCCCCGAGGCAGCAATGCAGGAATGGATGGATGAATGGGGTAATCGGGCCATACCATTCCACCCTCCCTGTGAGGGGGCGTAGGGGTGGGTGGTTGGGGTGGTGGATGAATGGGGTAATCGGGCCATACCATTCCACCCTCCCCGTGAGGGGGCGTAGGGGTGGTTGGGGGTGGTGGATGGATGGGGTAGTCAGGCCGTACCATGTCCCCTACCATGACCTTGCGCAGGTTGTATCGCTTGGCGCGGATGTCGTCCATGAGCATCTCGTAGGGCGTGAACTGGAACTCGATGGGCAGGCCGCTGTAGGGACGCATGGCCGCCACCTTCTTGAGCTTCACGCCGTGACGGAGCTCGCGCATCACCTGGCCCCACAGGCGCGCCTACAGGAGGGGGCCGCGGGGGGTGGGTGGGGGAGGCGGCAAACCGGGGGTCAGGGGTCAGCACATGGTGGAGGGGGCACATGGAGGTCAGAGGGGGTTACTTGGTGGGAGGAGAGGGTCAGGGGGGTGGCGGCACACCTGGGTTAGAAGGGGTGGCACGTGGGGGTCGGGGGTCACAGGGGGTGGCACGTGGGGGTCGGGGGTCACAGGGGGTGGTATATGGAAGGTTCAAAGAGGGTGGCACATGCTAGTCAGGGGGGGGGATTACATGGTGCGGGTGTTAGAGAAGGGCACATGGGGTTCAGGGGTCAGAGGTGGTGTTGGGGAGGGGGGTCCTGGAGGTTGTGGGCGATTGGGGTCGAGCGAAGAGCCGCTGGCAGTGGAACCCCGACGCTCTGTTAATCCACGGCGAGGTCAAACCCCGAGCCAGCTCAGGGATTCCACGACCCCACTGCGGCCCCAACTACGACCCCACGGCTTTGACTACCGCGTGACCCCCCCCCCCACCAACCCCCCTCCCCTCACCCCGTAACGACCCCTAGCGGCGAGCCTCTCACCCAGTCCAGGTGCTGCAGCTCGTTGAGCTCGCAGGAGGTGGGCGACGCTTGATTTCCGTCGCCGCCGCCACCGCCCTGCATCTTCTTCAGCGCCTGCGGGGGGAGTGGCAGAGGCGGCGGTGTCAACAACGCCACCGTTCATCCTCGCAGCAGTGGCAGCAGCAGCAGCAGCGGGAGCGGCAATTGGCTCAGCCATCGAACAAAGACGGTCACCCGCATCGAGCGGCGCGTTCAGATGCGCTTCTGCGGCCGTCTGGAACGCTCTTCCTTCCCATATTAGGAAGCCACTGGATCTATGCACTTTTAAATCGTCTAGATTTTTTACTAATTTCTGTAGAAATTAGTATTGTGTTTAGTTTGTTGTCCTTCCCCCCGCACCTCTGATTAGCACGGTTTGGCTACCTACGGCGCGTAAGAAGTTCGACATACAAGTCGTCGCGTCGGACGGCACAGTAGGCATCCTGCCCCCGGTGGGTGGCGGCAAGGGGAACACAAGAGGCGGGAGCATAGAAGTACAGGACAGCTCTGGAGCTTGGGGCGGGCGGGGGGAGGGGGTGGGCGGGCGGGCGGGCCGGCGGGCGGGCGGGGGAGCGATTCGTCGGAGCTCTCGGCTGGTCGATTCAAAATCATAAAGCGGTTACTCGGGACCCCCTTTGAAAAACAAACACGGCAGCTGCCCTCCCTCATCCTGCATCTCACGAAGGCTGGAAACCCCCCCCCCCAACTCCCCCTCCCCCACAGGCCACGGGCGAAGTGGCGCTCGATGCCTGTGGGGCGACTTCACCGAGCCCCACTGCAGCACCAAAAGAAACCGCTGGGATTCGAGCGCAGGTGTCGGGGGGATTCCCGTGGCAAGAAGACAGGAGAGAGAGAGAGAGGCGTCGGGGAGAGAACGTGGGCTCGGGATGCCGAATGTTGTGGATGTGATCAGCCAAAACGGTTGCGCTGGGCGGGACGCGTGTGCAGGATAGGGCGGTGGGGCGGGGTGTCTTTGGGTCTCTGTGTGAGTTTGCGGGTCTCTGTTCGAGTCTGTGGGTCTCTGTACGAGTCTCTGAGTGAGTTTGTGTCTCTCTGAGCGAGTCTGTGGCTCTCCGAGCGAGTCTGTCTAACACCACGTGCCGGGAGACTGCCGGGGTCAGACCGTGGCAGTCGCTGCTTCCACCGCGCAGCGGCCGTGGGATTTGGTGGAGGGCAGGGAGCGGTGGTAGCGATGACGAGATGCGGCGAGACGGTGCCGGTGGCGGCATCGGTGGCTTTGTCCACGGTGGCATCTTGATGGACGGTGAATCCATTCCCACGACGCCGTCACGTCGCGCGGCCGCCAAAACAAACACGGCGACGGGCGCGGAGAGGCGTCTCCCGGCAGACGGCGCGCGGATGCCGCGAGATCTACCGCCACGCTCCGGTGTGCGTGCGTGTGGAGGTATTCACGCGCGTGTGTGTGTGTGTGTGGCGGGGAGCGGTAGTGTAGCGGTTAGCGCGCTGCGCTGTGAACCTGGCGACCCGGGTTCGATTCCCGCTCACGGCCAACACCAGTGACGATTATCTGAACCGGTCCCGGGCCTCCCCTAGGTCGACTCAGCCTCAAATGAGTACCTGGTGCGGTGTGTAAACATTGCCACTAGGGAGACAAAGGCGGTCGGGCGTGGTGCTGGCCACCCACCCCCTCGTGTACCGTTCCGGCCTTTATAGGTGCTCGCTAACAGCACTTGCCCCTACAGTCTGTTCAGGCTATATGGGGGATCTTTGATCTTTGTGGCGGCCAAAACCAGTGACGATTAACTAAATCGCTCCTGGGCCTCCCCAGGTCGACTCAGCCTCAAATGAGTACCTGGTATAGCCTCAACGGACCTTTGGGGCTAAGTGCTGTTAGCGAGCAGCACCGATGAAGGCCCGGCACGGCACACGAGGGGGGCGGGGTGGCCAGCAACCACGCCCGGCCGTTTTTGTCTCCCCGAGTGGCGATGTTTACTACGCGCCGCACACCAGGTACTCATTTGAAGCAGAGTCAACCGAGGGGAGGCCCCGAGATCGGTTCAGAAAATCGTCACCGGTGTTGGTGTAGCGCAGCGTGGCGCTGACCGCCGAGCCACCGCTCAGCTACAACACAAACACACCGAATCACAGTCCGTACACGCTGTGTGTGTGTGTTCACACACAAGCACACACGCACGCACGAACACGCACCGACGCACACATTCTCTCACGCACTTACACATGCGCTCATTACCACGCTGTGCTCATTATCGTGTTTTTCAAGAGTCGACGTGATAATGAACGTGAAAAGCCCTGCCAAGATTCCCATTACGACTGTGCGGAGCGAGGCCTTTGTCAGGACAGACACTGGGCTCGCATTCCCAAATGCCGGAACGTCACGACCACTGGTCAATAGCCCGCGCACACACGCGCGCGTCTGTGTATGTGGCAACCCACCCCCTCGTGTGCCGTGCCAGCATTCATAGGTGCTCGCTAACAGCAATTGCCACAACAGTCTGTTTAGGCTATACGGGAGATCTTTGTCTTTGTACGTGAGCGAGCGAGTGAGTGTTCGTAGGTGCTCGCGAACACACACTTGCCCCTAAAAGCCTGTTAAGGCTATACCGGGAGATCTTTGCCTTTGTGTAGTCTAGTGGCTAGCACGCTGCGCTTCGAACCTTAGCAGTACGAGTTCAATTCCCGCTCACGGCCAAAACCAGTGACAATTATCCGAATCTGTCCCCTTGGCCGACTCGGCCTCAAATGAGTACCTGGTGCGGTGTGTAAACATCGCCACTGGGGAGACAAAGGTGGCCAGGCGTGGCTCTGGCCACCCACCCCCTCGTGTGCCGTGCCGATCTTCGTAGGTGCTACTTGCTAACAGCACTTACCCTAAGAGTCTAAGACGAAACGGGGATCTTTGTCTTTGTGTGTGTGAGTGAGTCCGAGTCCCCTAGGTCGACTCAGCCTCAAACGAGTATCTGGTGCAACGTGAGTAATCATCGCCGCTAGGATCTTTTTCTTTGTGCGCGTGCGCGAGTGCTGGCGCCTAGCCTGGCACAAAGCACTGCGGTGATGTCACCGCCACTTAGTGGCGAATAACGGTTGTTGTTGTTGTTTGTTGTGAGCCTTCGTCTTTGATTGGGTTAATTGTGTGTGTGTAAGCACTTGCCCCAACAGTATTTTAAAGGCTACATGGGGGATCTTCGTCTTTTTTTGTGTATGTCTGTGTGTGTATGTTTGTGTGGGCAGTTGGAGGCGGTCGCCCTACAACAATAACGGAGGGCGGAGGAGCGACGCTCACAACAACGAGCGGAGCGCCGGGTGGCTAAAGCACAGCAGGTTGGCACAGTAGGGGTCACAGGTGGTGCACCAGCCAGTCGCCTCAGTCAGTCGACCCGTGGCACCTGCTGGGTCTGCCCCGTGACCTCCTACCAGCGGGCGTTCGACACTTCACGTGGCCTCAAGGTGCACATAGCCTGGCACAAGCGTCGTGGTGACGTCACCGCCACTTAGTGGCGAATGGCGGTTGTTGTTGTGTGTGTGTGCGGGGTGGTAGTGTATTAGTTAGCGCACTTCACTATGAAGCCAGAGACCCGAGTTCGATTCCCACTCGTGGGCACCAGTGACGGCGTGTGTGAGTGTATGCGAGTGAGTGAGCGAGCGAGCAAACGAATTTTTGAGCAGGTATGTGAGCGAGTGTGAGCATGTAAGTGAGTGAGTAAGTAAGCATGTGAGTGAGTGAGCCAGCAAGTGAGTGGGCAAGTAAGCATGCGTGTATGTCAGTTTGTGAGTGAGCGTGTATATGAGTGAACGGGTATGCGGGTGAGAGAGCGGGTGAGAGAGCGAGTGAGCGAGCAGTTGCGCGTGCGTGTGTGCGAGTGAGTGAGAGATTGAGCGAGTGAGTGAGCGAATGAGTAAGTGAGCAAGTGAGTGGGTGAGTAAGCATGCGTGTGTATGAGTGAGTGAGCGAGTGAGCGAACGAGTGGGCAAGTGAGGAGGTGAGCGAGATAGCGAGCGAGCGAGTAAGCGTGTGTGTGTGTGAGTGAACGAGCGTGTGAGGGAGCGAGCATGTGGACGAGTAAGCGTGAGTGTGTGTGTGAGCAAGCAAGTGTCTGAGTGAGCGAGCGAGCATCTGAGTGTCCGAGTGAGCGAGCGAGCGTCTGAGTGAGCCAGTGAGTGAGCGAGTAAGCGTGTGTGCGAGTGAACGAGTGAGCGAGCGAATGAGCGAACAAGCGTGTGGGCGAGTGAGTAAGCGTGCGTGTGTGTGAGCGAGTGAGTGAGCGAGCGTCTGAGTGAGCCAGTGAGTGAGCGAGTAAGCGTGTGTGCGAGTGAACGAGTGAGCGAGCGAGTGAGCGAACAAGCGTGTGGGCGAGTGAGTAAGCGTGCGTGTGTGTGAGCGAGTGAGTGAGCGCGCGTCTGAGTGAGCCAGTGAGTGAGCGAGTAAGCGTGTGTGCGAGTGAACGAGTGAGCGAGCGAATGAGCGAACAAGCGTGTGTGTGTGTGTGAGCGAGCGAGTGAGCGTGTGTGTGAGCGAGCGAGTGAGCAAGCGAGTGTCTGAGTGAGCAAGCAGGCGAGCACCTCCTTGGCGCTCTGGATCTTCTCGAGGAACGTGCGCAGCTCCATGGCCTCGGCGTAGAGCGCGCGGCACACGGCCTGGTAGTGCGACGCGGCTTCACGAGTCGTCCGCAGGTGTGACGTGCACATCTACCACAAAGACAAAAACAAAGATCCCCTGTGTAGCCTGTACAAACTATTGTGGCAAGTGATGTTAGTGAGCACCTATGAAGGCTGGAACGGTACACCAGGGGGTGGGTCGCCAGCACCACGCCCGGCCGCCTTTGTCTCCCTGGTGGCGATGTTTACACACTGCACCCAGGTACTCATTTGAGACCGAGTCGATCAAGGGGAGGCCCAGGACCGTTTCAGATAATCGTCACTGATGTTGGCCGTGAGCGGGAATCGAAATCAGGTCGCTGGGTTTGAAGCGCAGCGCGCTAACCGCTACACTACCGCTCACGCACACACACACACTCACACAAAGATACCCCCTGTAGCCTTGTCACACCGTTGGGGCAAGTGCTGTTAGCGAGCACAAACGTATGTCTGTATGTTTAAACTGTTTCGCACCGCACGTAGCCAACCGTGATAACCGGAGGTGTGGGGGAAGGACAAACAAAACTAAACACAAAAAGAAATGACCTTTCAATGTAAATTGCAAAGTGCATAGCTCCAATGGCTTCCTAATATCGGAAGGAAGAGTATGCCAGAGACAGCCGTAGGAACGCTTCTCAAAGCACGCGTATGCAGTGGCCATCTATGAAGGCCAGGCATGGCACACGAGGGGGTGATGTGGTCAGGACCACGCCCAGCCACCTTCCCAGGGCATATATATGTATATACACATACAAAGATCCCCCGTGTAGCCTATCCAGACTGTTGGAGCAAGTGCTGTTAGCAAGCAACTATGAAGGCCGGCACGGTACACCTATTCGGTGGTATGGTCAGCACCACACTTGGCCTCCTTTGTCTCTCCAGCACTTATGTTTTACACAATGCATCAGGCACTCGTTTAAGGCCGAGTCGACCTAGGGAAGGCATAGGACCGGTTCAGATTTCCATCACCGATGTGTGTCGCGAGCGGGAATGGAACTCGAGTCGCTGGGTTCGCAGCGCTGTGCGCTTAATCACCGCACCACCTGTGAAGGCTATGTGGGAGATCTTTGTCTCTATGTATGAACATATCACGCTGGACGTGCGTGTTCATTCATTGCCACTAAAACACTGCCTGCCCTTTTCTTTATCAGCGCCCGTCCTGGCACAGACACCACAGTGACATCACCACCACTTAGCTGCGGTTGCTGTGGTTGTTGGAATAGTGGTTGTGGGTGGGTGTGTGGGTGGGTGTGTGCGTGCGTGGAGAGTGGTGGTCCAGTGGCGAGTGCACTGCGCTAACCACTGGGCAGGCAAGCGACGCTCGCAATAATGAGTGGAGCGGCGGGCGGCTAAAATGCACAGTGGGTGGGAGTGCAGGTGGTGCATCTGCCAGTCAACCAACCCATGGTATCTGGGTCTGTCCCGTGACCTCCTGCACCTAACCTGGCACAGCAGTCAACTCAAAACATCTGGGTCTGTCCCGTGACCTCCTGGCAACAGTGAACATTCCACACTTCACGTGATATTCTCAGGTGCACATAGCCTGGCACAAGTGCTGCGGTGACATCACCCCCACTTACTGGTGAATGGCGGCTGTTGTTGTTGTGCTGCGTGGGCAATGCACTGAGAATCATCAGAGTTCCATTCCCCCACCCCACCCACCGAATGAACACAACGCATCCTGTTTTCCTGTTTTCTCTTACGAGCCCAAGCAGCGTAAACACAACAAATCTCAGGCACTCGCCAAAGCACATCGCACAAAAGCTCCAACGGACGTAAGAGCCGGCACATTTAAGAGCCAAAAGCGGACTGAATTGGAGCCTTTTGGACCAAAGCCCAGGTTTTTCCAACGCCAGGAAAACACGCGCCCAGCTGCGAGAAAACCAATCGCTCATTCATTCGCCCTGTGACTCGCTCACTCATTCACTCACCCACTCTACGCTGGTTTCACAAAATAAGCTGGAACTCACTCGCTCACGCTCATTCATTAATTCACGCACTCATTCACTCATCATCTAACTCACCAGCTCACTCACCCACTCATTCATCATCTGACTAACCCACTCACTCATTCACCCACCCATCCACTCACTCATCCACCCATTCGCCCACTCTTGCAGACTGAGACACATCCTGGTCTCTGGAGAGTTCTCACCTCGGTCAACAAAATAAATTTGAACCCGCTCGCACACACCCATTCCTTCACACACTAATCAATTCACACATTCATTCACCATCTCACTCACCCACTCATTCGTCATATTACTTTCCCACTCGCTCACTCATTTATTCACCCACCCACCCACTCACCCATCCACTCACCCTTGCAAATCCCCAGTCTCTCGACAGGTCACAATCAGAATCTTTATCTGGAATGGATTAATCCGATGAGTTACAAAGCTATGAAGCTCTCTTTCAGAGATGTCCAGGATGGTGCGGGTCAGCGACTTGCCCCCCAAATCATTGGCACCCAAAGCAGCTCGAGGGGTACACTGCCTCGATACCAAAGAAGAGGGGGGGGGGGGGGCAGGAAATCTCTGTCGCGATGTGCAAACCCGCACCTCTCTTGTACAGCAGTGAGCCTTGAGCTCACCTTAATGACGGACTGGAACGGCCCTTCCGGACGGCTCACTCCGCTACCACCGTTAGCGGCGGCGGTGCCGGTGCCGGCGGTGCCGGTGCCGGCGGTGGTGCCGGTGCCGGTGCCTGCCTCCTCGTCCTCGTCGGGCCCGTCGTAACCCTCGTCGCGCAACGCACCTCCCCCGCCGTCGTCGATGGCCGCGTCCTCCAGGCTGGTCATCCAGTCGATGAGCTCCTCCAGCGGCTGGCTCAGCTCGCGCTCCTCGTTCTCGTCCAGGCCCCAGTCCAGGGCCTTGTAGATGACGAAGCCCAGCGAGCGCACCACCTACGTACGACAGAGGCCCCACCCCGCATAGTCTTGACGGCAAGTGCTGCTAGCGAGTAGCGGGCAGCCTGTGTAGGCCGGCACGGCACACGAGGGGGGTGAGGTGGGCAGCAAACGCACCCACACCGCCTCCGTCTCCCCACTGACGGTGTTTTACACACCGTTACCAGGCACTGATTTGAGGCCGAGTCGACCTAGGGGAGGCCTGGTACCGGTTCAAATGTGTGTTTGGCCACGAGCGGGAATCGAACTCGGGTCGCCGGGTTTGTAGCGCGGCGCGCTAACCAGTATGCTACCGCTCCTCACACGCAGTCACGCACACTTGCACACACACCCACACGGACGCATGCACGCGCACATGCATTATAAAAGATCCCTCGTAAAGCCTTAACACTCTCGGTGACCCTGCAGGGCCCCCACGGTGACCAGGGCCCTCCCACCGTGACCCTCCAGGGCCCTCCCACCGTGACCCTCCAGGGCCCTCCCAGGGTGACCCTCCAGGGCCCTCCCAGGGTGACCCTGCAGGGCCCTCCCACGGTGACCCTGCAGGGCCCTCCCACGGTGACCCTGCAGGGCCCCCACTGTGAATTTGCTTGTCGTCTAGAAATACAAGCTGCTGACATTATGCATTTCAAGAAGGCCATGGGTTGTGTAAGTTTATCGGTAAAGTCACATATGTAGAAATACCATAAAATTATATTAAAATAAATCAATCACGACGTTTACACCGCAACACAAGCGATCTTCATCGGCCCCTCCCCGATGAAGATCGCTCCCTACTGCTTATTTTAAGCCTCTGTCTGTTCATCCCTCCGGCCCTTTTTCTTACTTCTCTGTCCGTCTTTCCTCTCCCTGCCTCTTGGTGTCCCTGTATTTGTATTTCTGCTATCTTGTACCTCGTATTTGTTCACTCTGTCTATGCTGGTGTGTTCAACCCAGAGGATGAACACGAAATTTAGCACTCTTCTGAAATTCGTGGTCCGCCAAGGCAAGTGTCTAACTGTGTCGTTGGCCTGACTGGTTTTGCATCACGTAATTTTTTTCTTAGGTTTGTTGAATTCTCGTCTCTCATCTTCTTGTTGTATTTACCTCCGTGTAGTTTAACGCTCTCTATGTGTTGCGTTGATGTCACCCTATTTGTTTTTTACACCTGATGAAGATCGCTTGTGTTGCGGTCGAAACGTCGCGATTGATTTATTTTAATATAATTTTATGGTATTTCTACATACGTGACTTCACCGAAAAAAACAATGAGTAATTTATGCAGTCACGAAAGCTTAAATTCTCCATGTGTAAGAACTACTTAAATGTTTGTTTTTTTACGTGGAGCAATAAATACGTGAAGGAGATGTATTATCTACTTATTTATTTTGTCATATATATACTCCACAACGACGCTATTGATGGTTTTGCATTCCAGGAAAGTAATATATATCAATGAATAACTGCTATGATTTCATGGCATATACACGACGCTAATTGCTACGAATTAATACGTACCATCAATCAGATTCCGCAAAACACTTGGGAGCACTGAGTGTGCCACTTAACGGGTGGCAAGGCACGAGTTTGGATGCTTGCCACAGATTGGTGGCCCTGGCCGGTAAATCCAACTCAGGCCGCCGGGTTTGAAGAGCAGTGCTCCGACCACTGCACCGCCTTGTCATGGGGGTTTGATAATCGTCGAGGATTTTCTAGAATCTGATTTTTCGTCTGCGTGTAAAGTCACAACAGCTGCAAGAAGACTCGCACACACACTGGCACGAACCCCCCCTCCCCCCCCCCCCCCCGTATATGCTTTAAAACAAGACTGCTGTCAGCGAGTAGCACCTATGAAGGCCGCCACAGCACACTTGGGGGTGGGTGGCCAGCACTACGCCCAGCAGCCTTTGTCTCCCCTAGTGACGATGATTACACACCGCACCAGGTACTCATTTGAGGCCGAGTCCACCTAGGGTAGGCCCGGGCCTGGTTCCGATAATCATCACCGAAATTGGTGTCCGTGGGCGAGATTCGAACTTGGATCACGGGGGTCCGTAGTTCAGTGCGCTAACCGCTGCATTACCTCGCCGCACTCACACAAAGATAAAGAACCCCCCCCCCCCCCGCATAGCCTTTAACAGACCGTTGGGGCAAGTGCTGTTAGCAAGTAGCACCGACAAAGACCGGCACGGTGCACGAGGGGGTTGACGACCCTCACCACGCGCTGGAACGTCTCGTAGGCTCCAGCGCGCCCATGTAATCCACCCAGGTCAGGTGTCAAATGACAATCATTTCTCACGACAGCTCTCGTCCCCACCACGCACACACACAAGACAAAGATCCCCCGTATAACATTAACAGACGGTCGGGGAAAGTGCTGTTAGGCCGGCACCACGCCCGGCCGCCTTTGTCGCCCTAGCGGCGATGTTTACTACAACACCGCACCAGGTACTCATTTGAGGCTGAGTCGACCTAGGGGAGGCCCAGAACGGTTCAGATAACCATCACTGGTGCTGGCCGTGAGCGGGAATCGAATTCAGGTCGCTGGGCTCGTAGCGCAGCGCGCTAACCGCTATGCTACTGCTCCACACACACACTCACCGACTCACTCACGCACGCACACGCATGGACACGCGCGCACTAACAAACGCACACACACACACACGTGCGCGCACTCACACACACGCACGTGCACCCGCTCGCGCGCGGCCGCTCCCAACGCCGATCCTGGCGCGGCTCAGCCAATTAAACGTCAATTAGCGGAGCGAGCGGCCTCCACGGATCCGATTAGTGGGGCTGGCGAGGCCGGTGGCGGCAGTGACCTCAGGCCACAACACGGGGACCCATTCACCTCCTCCTAAACCTCCGACTCCGTGCCACCAACGTTGAGAAACCTACGGCGTTCATTTCACCGAAATATAAACCCGGACGCAACGCGATCTGGACACGGTTCCACCTCACAGGACCCCAACTGTGACCCTACCGGGCCCCCACTGCGTCCCTACAGGGTCCCCAACTGCATCTCCACCGGGCTCCCACCGTGACCCTACCCTGACCCTACCGTGACCCTACGGGGCCCCCACTGAACCGATCTCCATCTGTGCCTCCTGCGTGGGATCGAGCGTTGCACCCCCTCAAGTGCGTGGGCTTTCTTCGCGCGCTCCGGTTTCCTCCCGCTCATTGATTGCCCAATAGCATCTTCATATGTTGAGGACTGCAGAGCTTGGGCAATCGTTTGTTCGACCGTACTTCACCACGGTGGTGGGCGCGGTTTGGTGAAGGCGGTGCGGTGTCACCTTGTCACCTCCCTAGGGTTTACTATTTAACTATTTTTTTTATTTTAACAAGCAAGGCCCACTGAGCTATACAGCTTTTTTTTTTCAGAGGACACCTGGCCATCGCAAATGATGTCTCAACCAAGTGGCTTATCACCACGTGACGGAAATTTTAGAGCAGCCAAACACTACAAACGCATGATGTTGATTCTAAAATGTGGAGGCGTCAGGGTCAGGATCGAACCCAAGACCTCCTGTATATCAGGCGAGGTCGTTAACATCTCCTAGCCACCGTGGCACCCTTCAACCGGGCAGATCCGGCACCGGTGGTGTTGGCACAATGTTCATAAGGGATCTAGTGCTGACGAAGATACATGTCCGGGTTTTGTGGCAGCCCTTGGCAGAAGGACGAGACCGGGGCGGAGAGAGGGGGGGGGGGGGGGCTGTGGGCAGAGTGGGGTAGCTGTGGAGGACAGGTGTGGCCAAGTATAAGAATTGGTGGGAGAAGGAGGAGGGGAGGACAGGTAGAGCAGACAGGTGAGTGGGGAGGGCGGGAGGAGGGGTTCTGCGTTTCATTTCCTCAACGAAGCTTCACTCCGACGCCACCGCCAACGTCACCGCGCTATCTGCGCTGGGCTGGAGACCGCTTTGAAGTGGATGCTAAAGACGCCGGCAACGTCATTTCGCAAAAAGCGCGGGAGCCACTCTGCTTGCCGGAGTTACGGTCCCGACATCCCACCTCGGAGGAATTTGGCCGCAAGCAAAACAATAATAAAAAATAATAATTCAAAATAAAAACGGAATGAAAATGGAGACTCGGTCGCGGCCTTTCCCGGCTGCAGCAAGCGCGATAACAGAAATAATGACGTCTCGCCGCGCACACCTGCGTCTCGTCACCCGGCGCCGGTGGGAGGCCCGCGATCGCGCAGCGTTTCCGTTCGTGCAAAGCGAGATGCAGACGAGACGCAGACGAGACGCTCGCGCTACATTCATGGCCGAGCGATCGAGCGAGCGGACGAGGCTGCGGGAACGACGGCGCCAACGGAGACGTTCGCCAACAACCCGTGGCGAGGATCGATCAATCGATCGGTCGCCGGAGCGGGTGGAAGAGTAGGCCAAATACCCTCAGGAGGGGTGGCGGCACTCTAGAGCCACCCTCTACTGGTGGAGGAGGCGCCTTCCACTAGCAGTGGCGAGCGCGAGATATTGCAGGGCTGCACCTTTACCCTTTTGCGAGGTACTCGTTGAAGGCTGGGTCGTACGACGACAACAACAACAGCCGCCGTTCGCCACCAAGTGGCGGTGACGTCACCACGGCGCTTGTGCCAGGATAGGTGCACTGGATCGTACACGTACAAAGACGAAGATCCCCCATACAGCCTTAACAGACTGTTGGGGGAGAGTGCCGTTTGCGAGCAGCCATGAAGGCCGGCACGGCACACCGAGGGGACAGGGTGCTCAGCAACCACGCCCTAGTGGCGATGTTTACACACCGCACCAGGTACTCATTCAAGGCCGAGTTCACCTAACGGGAAGGCCCAGGACTGGTTCAGATTGGTCGGCTGGCACAGCGGTTCGTGTACTGCACCAGCCACAGCTCCCCCCCCGCCCCCATGTACGGGTAGGTACGTACACACACTTTCGTACGTACGTGACTATGTGGTCACACAGCCATCAACACAACCCCCCCCCCTCTACCCGTGGGGTCCCCCCTGCCTCCTCCTCCCCGCCCGTTCCTCCAGACCCGTGGCACGGGGCCCCGCCGGGCCGCGCCGGGCCCCGCCGGGCGAGTCCCAGCCGTAACAAGGCCGCTTGCATTCTCCCCGCGCCACGCCTGGTCGCACAACGGCTATATTTACCACCGCAACGTCGCAGCATTGTGTGCCGCGCAAAGCCGAGATGATCCCACTCAGTGGGCCCCGGTAATCGGCAGGGGCCCCCTTCAACCACAACGCCCCCCCCTCCTCCTCCTCCATCGCTCAATCGGTCTATCGCTCCCAGCCTCCCTACTTCCCTTCCATCTCTCCCTCCATGCTTCCCTGCCCTCCTTCACTCCCTCCCTTCCTTGCGCCTTCCTTCAGTCACTCCCTCGATGCCTCCCTCCCTCCCTCCTTCCATTCCTCTCCCTCCCCCTCTCCTTTCTTCCCTCCTTCCCTCCATCCTTCCCTCCCTTCCTCTTTCCATTCCTCCTCTCCCTCCCTCCATCCTTCCCACCTCCATCCTTCAATTCCCTCCCTCTCTACCCAGCCTCCATCCATCACTCCGTCCCTCCATGCATACAGAGGAGGGGGAAGAGGAGGAGCAGGGGTAGGAGGAGGAGCAGGAGTAGGAATGTGGGTCCATGGAGACTGAAGAACGCGGAGACAAAGCACAAAGCCAAGGCCGCTCTGCTGGACACCACCCACACTGCCTGCCCACACTGCTCGCTCACTCAAATGTTCTGGCTGAACGGATCTAGGAGGAGGACAGAACCGTGTGCTGTACACACACTTGTGTGTGCACATATGTACACATAGGCGTGTATGCAGCAATGTACACACCTGTCAAAGGCAAAGATTCCCCCGTAAAGCCTTAACAGACTGTAGGGGCAAGTGCTGTTAGCGAGTAGCACCTATGAAGGCCGGAACGGCACACGAGGGGGTGGGTGGCCAGCACCACAGCCGACCGCCTTTGTCTCCCTAGTGGCGATGTTTACACACCACACCAGGTACTCATTTTAGGCTGAGTCGACCTAGGGGAGGCCCAGGACCGGTTCAGTTAATCGTCACTGATTTTGGCCTTGAGCGGGAATCGAACTCGGGTCGCCAGGTTCGTCGTGCAGCGCGCAAACCGCTACACTACCGCTCCCCACACACACACACCTACACCTGTACAAAGACCTCTACACGCGCCAGCGCACACCCTGACCCTAACCTTGGCCTGACCCAGTGACCCGGTGACCTTAAACAACAGCCCGAGGAAGAGGAAGTTGCATTTGAGCAGCAGACAAATCCACCTCAAAACAATTAAAAATATTCTTGGTATTCCAGATATAATCACCCGGCTCGCAGAGCCGAGGTCACGCAACAGCAACCAACGCATGGAACCGGACTCGCACCCACACCCGCACAGGTGCGCGGTCACACTTCATAGGAGACATAGGAAGAAATCCGTGGAAGCACCTTGGCACCCCCCTTCGGACCAAGCAGTTGTAAGGTGCGCTTAGCCATGGTACCGCAGATTTCTGGAATGGACGAGTCCATGTTTGTGTTCATAACACCGGATTTCAAGTATGGGAGATTCCGCAGATTTCTTCTGTGGGGGGAGGGGTTGCGGGGGGAGGGAGGGCTGGGGGGTGGGGTGGGTGGAGTTGTGACCTCACCTCCACCTCTGGTGAGCAGGGTTCAGTTGTTTCCCCAGCTGCGGGGTCTGCGAAGTGCATGGGGGCATTGGGCACGCACACACAGGGGCATGGACACACACAAGGGGCATGGACACACACACAGGGGGCATGCTGTTAGAAGCCAGATCAAACAATCGAACAATAAATTGTTCGTACTGGTACAGTATTCTAGCAATATTTCGCACGGTGCAATTATTGTTAATATTGCTGCGAACAGTATCAGTGAACATTTTGTGAAATTAATATCATTACGATCGCTGTCACCACTCCGGTATGACCGCGGGCCAAGCGGCAGCAGGGATTCGCAATTGCCGTCCGAGTAAATTGTGTGTCGTAAACCCTCCTGCAACCCGACGCGGCCCATCAAGAAAGTTGTCCCGTCATTAACAAATATACGTGACCAACTTATCGCCTCCTAAGCAGGAGCAGGAGCAGCAGCGGTGCTCTCGATGAACAACTGGGCAAGGACGTTTCTCGATGGGTAGCGGAGCGGTTATCAACTCGTTGCGTGCGTTTCGTTAACCACGTGCCCACTTTAACTTTTGTCGTCCTTCCCCTGCACCTCCGATGGGCACGGTCGGCTGCGTATGGTGCGAAAGAAGTTCAGCGTACACCAATTGGCTGCGTCTGGGTGGAGGAGCATGCACTACACACGTTATAGACACCCACAATATTTGGTCGCGTGTAGCAGAGCGCTACCACCACATCGTCGGTGTGGTGGTATAGCCCCCCCCCTCCCCTCCCCTGATATATCCAACTTCTCAACAGCCCCCTCTACCCCTGCAGTTATTTCCACGAAGAACCGAAAATTAGGCGGATTGTTGCGCAAACGTCACCGTTATTAGTGCGATCCTGGTTGTGGGTGGCGGGGTTAAAAGTCAACCACCACGACCGTGCCAACACCCCGCCATAGGAATGTGGAATTTTCACCAAACAGGGCCGAAAAAGCAACGAGGGTTAGAGTGTCGCGCCTCCGATTGGCACGGTTGGCTTACGTAAGGTGCGAAATAAGTTCAACATGGGGGACCTGCAGGGTCACCGTGGGGGGCCATGCAGGGTCACAGTGGGGGCCCTGGAGGGTCACCGTGGGGGGTGCCATGCAGGGTCACAGTGGGGGCCCTGCAGGGTCACAGTGGGGGGCCCTGCAAGGTCACCGTGGGGGGCCCTGCAAGGTCACCATGGGGGGCCCTGCAAGGTCACCGTGGGGGGCCCTGCAAGGTCACCGTGGGGGGCCCTGCAGGGTCACCGTGGGGGGCCCTGCAGGGTCCCCGTGGGGGGCCCTGCAGGGTCACCGTGGGGGGCCCTGCAGGGTCACCGTGGGGGGGCCCTGTAGGGTCACCGTGGGGGGGCCCTGCAGGGTCACCGTGGGGGGGCCCTGCAGGGTCAGAGTAGGGGCCCTGCAGGGTCACAGTGGGGGCCCTGCAGGGTCACAGTGGGGGCCCTGGACGGTCACAGCTGGAGGGTCACAGTGGGGGCTCTGGAATGCGTGAATGCTCACTGTGAGCACGAGGTCAATGTTGACCCTTGACAGAAGTAAACTGGGGGGCTAGGCGGGGTGGGGGGGGCTGGGAAGGGGGGGGCGGCTGGGTGGCAGGCGGCCTGTCTGTGCAGCGTGGCGACGCGGCGGATAACAAGATCAACGTATGATTTGGCAACGCCGCTGCTGCTGCTGTTGCCGCTGCACAAGCACAGTTAATGCAAAGAAAAACAAATCCACATTGGGTGACAATAACACGGCGGCCTCAAAAACAACAAATGTACCATCGGTTATGCTGTATATTTGAAGGGGTTGTCCGTTACTCAATTGTCACTCATTCGTTCAATCAATGTGCAATAACAGTTACACGGAACGTCGCGGGTAGCGAGTGACCCAGCTGTGTTCAGGAGATCGGTGGTGCATCGGCGCACAACACCATCAACGTGGACTAACAGTGTCACCATTCACTCGACTATTTGGCCAAACTGTTCGTCAGAAAACATTGTTGAACGTATCATTATCGCCAGGCCACCCATGTGCACTCATTCGCTCCTAAAAGGAAGGGCCACTGTCCCGAAACGTCGCCTCGGAATTTATTTGTGCCTTTTTTACGGCCACTCACTCATGGTGGTGGGGGTGTTGCTATCGACGAGCGCACTTAGATTTCTCGGCTTTGCTCTGCACGCAGTTTTTTTTTTATAACTGTGGGAATGCGACCTCCACCCTATGATTTTTGTTTGTTTGTTTAACAACCGCCCCGGAGAAACGCACGACAACGTTGCGAGGCCCGCAGTAGACCAAAGCCCACGTGATTATTTACAGGACAAAGACAAAGATTCCCACCACCCCCACCCCTCCCCCGTATAGCCTTAACAGACTTTTTGGGGCAAGTGCTGTTAGCGAGTATCACCTATGAAGGCCAGTTCGGCACACTAAGGGGATGGGTGGCCAGCACCACGCCCGGCCACCTTTGCCTCCCTAGTGGCGATGTTTATATACCACACTAGGTACAGATTTGAGGCTGAGTCGACCTAGGAGAGGCCCAGGACCAGTTCAGATATTCATCACCGACGTTGGCCGTGAGCGGGAATCGAACTCGGGTCGCCGGGTTCGTAGCGCGTCGCGCCGACCACCGCACTACCACTCCCCACTTATTCCAAGACACACTTTGGTAGAAGAACAACAGAGCTGGAACCGTCGCCACAGGTTCACGATGAGCGTCGTCGTCGTTACTGTGGGATACAGGCTCACGGTGGTCACGACCCCAACACCACATCATCCACACAAACCATGGCATTAGCAGATGCGGTCACACTTAATGATGGTATCTATGGAACCCTGTTCAAACATCTTGACAATTCCCGTATTATTGCTGGAAAGGGTAAAGCCTATTATTGATTAACTGCTCAATCCGAGCTATTAATGCTCTGATATTTGCATTGGCTTTGTGCTGTTGGCCTTTTGGCATCGTTTTCTCTGGCCTATCGCTGTTCTTGTTGAGACAAGGCCATAGAGGAGGCTGTTGCCTCTGGTGTAGGCCAATCAGTTTCGAAGACAACGCACACATTTGTCATCAACGCAGTATCTTTTGTAAGTTTTACCATAAGCACGATGTGGTAAAATTTACGATGTGTTGTTATTGCCAAAACGATTAACGCCTCTTTTTTTCGTCATAATTTTAATGCCGGCAAAGAATGGTCCCCATAGCTATAACTGCTCAATCGGAGCTATTCATGCTTCCATGCTTCCATGCTTGCACTGGCAAACATCTTAACACGTCCCATATTCATATTCTTGGTTCTTTTGGTAAAGTCACGTAGAAGGGAAACAATAAAAAAATACAAATATTGTTTTATTTTTGTATTTTATTGTTTCCCTTCTACGTGACTTTACCGAAAGAACCAAGCATATGAATCCCTGCAGTCACAAAAGCTTTAAATCAAAACGTCCCGTATTATTGCCGGAAAGGGGCAAATTAAGCCTATTCATTTATAGTTTTGTCAGGACAGAACCATGGACAGGTTGTGACGAACACTCAATGCCCCATTCACAAATACGGAGGTGGAAGGAGGAGGCGTCGTCACATCTGCGATGGAACACCAACCACTCCGCGACACTCCTTACACGCCATCATATCTCCGGCTCATCAAAACTACATCGATGTATAACAAAACTAATCAAACAAAATCACAGTTTCCATCAGCCATACGAAAGAAGACTAATAAGACTGTGGTCAAATCATCGTATATTAACCACAGCGGGCTCGTGATCGCCACAACGGGAGTCATCGCGGTCAGCACCATGTGATGTGTCGTTGGGTATTTGACCAAATCGCCACTCACGCAAGGGCCCTTTACACCCCTACCTCAGAGGCCTCATGAGCCAAGCGCCGTGCCATCATCTGTTTTGTCGTACTGTACTTTGACACATGTACAGTAATCGGGGCCTACCTTGCAATGCGGCTAGTGAGAGCAATGTACGGCAATGGATTCTCGAATCCATCTGTGCGGAGTTTTGCACATTTACCACCCCCCCTCGGTTGTGGGGTTTTCTCCGGAGTTCTCTGGGCTGGCTCTGGCAAGAAGCCACCAAAAAAACTCTTGCGGACGATAGCGATTCATCAACTTTAACACGCTGCAGTAATAGTAGTAGACTTGCGTCACCAATATTATCCGTAATAAAAGTTTTTTTTTGTGGGGTTAGATGACATAAATATAAATGTGTAGTTAAACCCGCCACCACCATCACCACCATCCGACGCAGCCAATCAGTAAGGTTTGTCACGTCAACAGAACATGCCAATTCGTTACTGGTACACAGCACACCGGTGTGTTGGAGAGCAAACGCACAACATTTGCACAGAGCACGGCCGTTTTGCCGGTAATTACAACCAGCAACATCAGGCGACAGCCAGAGTTGTGGAGAAATCCCCCCTGTCTCGGTCTTAAACAAGGAAGGATGTCACGTTTACGTGACAAACCTTACCAATAATAGGCCATGTCGGGTGGTGGCGGGTTTAACGACACATTTATATTTGGCCGATCTAACCCCTGCAAACTCCCCCCCCCACCCTTTATTTGGGATTCACTAAAGCAATTCACTCTAAAGGTGGCAGGACCCTTCCCTGAACGAAATGTCTTCAGACTCACGGAGGCTTTCACTATGGTTAGGGAACCTTTTAAGATAGTATTGGATTCAACAACTACAGTATACTGCTAGTGCATGTCTTAACGTCGGATGGCACCGCTCTAGAAACCCGGCGACCAGAATTGTTGATATATGGACGGGTCCAGTCCTCCCCCCAACCCGCCGGATTCCCCTCCACCTCCCAAACTTCACCAACCATACTTCACCACTGTGGTCCTGTGGTCAAGTATGGTCAAACAACCCCCCCCCCCCTACATCCACCATGACCAACAACAGCACGAGGATGGGAGGCCTTTCATCCAGCAGTGGATAAACCAAAGGGCTGTAAAAGCTGTCACTGTACATGCGAACGAGTTGCCGGTGTTGTTTCGGTTTCCAAGGCAAATGTCAAACCAATTCCACTGCTGGATGAACTCGCCCCGCACCACGCTGCATGGGTCGTGTGACAAAGGCATGGGCTGGATAAGTCAGGCAGAAAAGCGATAACACATGGAGGGCAAGGCTGGCAGGGAAATGGGCAAGGCAGGGCAGAGGGGGAAGTGGGCAAGGCAGGGGCGATGGCAAGGCAGGGGCAAAGCAGGGGGTAAGGCAGCGGGCAAGGCAGGGGCAAGGCAGGGGGCAAGGGAAGGGCAGCCGAGGGAAATGGGCAGCTAATATATGGAGGGCAAGCAAGACGCGGAGGGCAAGGATGGGCAGCGAGGGTGAGGGCAGGAGCAGTGCCGGATGGAGGGCAAGGCAGGGGGTATGGGCAAGGCAGGGGGCATGGGCAAGGCAGGGGGCATGGGCAAGGCAGGGGGCATGGGCAAGGCAGGGGGCATGGGCAAGGCAGGGGGCATGGGCAAGGCAGGGGGCATGGGCAAGGCAGGGGACAGGGCAAGGCAGGGGGCAGGGCAAGGCAGGGGGCATGGGCAAGGCAGGGGGCATGGGCAAGGCAGGGGGCATGGCAAGGCAGGGGGCAGGGCAAGGCAGGGGGCATGGGCAAGGCAGGGGGCATGGGCAAGGCAGGGGACAGGGCAAGGCAGGGGGCAGGGCAAGGCAGGGGGCAGGGGCAAGGCAGGGGGCATGGGCAAGGCAGGGAAAGAAAGAGAAGCCAAGAGTCTGGAGGGCAAGACGAGAACACAATGCATCGCGGGCGAGGTTAAGAGGTAAACAATGGATGGGAGGGCAAGGCGGGGGGAGAAGGGAAGGCGGCAAGCGAAGGGCAGCCAAACAAACAAAGACAACAACAACAACAAACACGGAGATGGGAAATCGGGGGGCAAGAAGGGGGCAATGGGGGAGAAGGCAAGGGGTGGGGGGCACCACACACCTCCAGCCTGCAGCACGCACTGCACGGAGCCGTCCCTGTGCAGCAGGACCCCGCTGGGCCCCGCGAGGCGTAGACGGGGTCCAGCGGGGCTCCCCACGCCGGCAGAGGGGGTCGCGGCCAGGGCTCGACAGGATTGGAAGCACACGGCCCACGCCTGCTCCTCGTTGATGGGCTGCTCGTAGGCTCGGAGCACGGCCTCGAGCGGTAAGGGGCCCCCCTCGGTTGGGTCCCCTTCGCCGTAGGGACCCCCCCCTGCCATTACATCCCTCGCCGGCTCCGCTGCAGCCGCGGCCGCCGCCGCCGCCGCTGCCGCCATCCTTGGAGGGTGGCGAGGACTGCGGAGAATGGACCCCCGATCGGGGTCCCACGGCTCACATGCCCCCGTCTCCCCCGTCGGCGTCCCTGGGCCCCGTGTCCCCGGCCGCTGTTGTCTTCCCTGCGGGGTCTCGCGGGTAGCCCCTCGCACGACCCCCGACGTGCTTCCAGAGAGAGAGGGGGGGGCTTTTGTAGCCGAGACACCACGTGACGCGGGCGTCAGCTGACAGCCGCGGTGGGGGTGAGGGGGGGGGGTTAGTTTGTGTGTGAGTACATGTGTGTGTGTCAATGTGTGTGACATTGTGTGTGTGAGTACATGTGTGTGTGTCATTGTGTGTGTGAGTACGTGTGTGTGTGTCATTGTGTGTGTGAGTACATGTGTGTGTCAATGTGTGTGTGTGAGTATATGTGTGTGTGTCATTGTGTGTGTGTGAGTACATGTGTGTGTGTGTCATTGTGTGTGTGAGTACATGTGTGTGTGTCAATGTGTGTGTGTCATTGTGTGAGTACATGTGTGTGTGTTTCAATGTGTGTGTGTCATTGTGTGTGTGAGTACATGTGTGTCATTGTGTGTGTGAGTACATGTGTGTGTGTCAATGTGTGTGTGTCATTGTGTGTGAGTACATGTGTGTGTGTGTCATTGTGTGTGTGAGTACGTGTGTGTCATTGTGTGTGAGTACATGTGTGTGTATGTCATTGTGTCAATGTGTGTGTGTGTCATTGTCTTTGTCAATGTGTGTGTCATGTGCCACAGGATCTTTGATCTTTGTGTCTGTGTGTGTCATTGTGTGTGTGAGTACATGTGTGTGCCATTGTGCGTGTGTCAGTGTGTGTCAATGCGTGTGTCAGTGTGTGTGTGTCAATGCGTGTGCCTGTGTGTGTGTGATTACATGTGTGTATGATTACGTGTGTCAATGTGTACAAGTCTGTGTGTGTGTCAATTTGTACAAGCCTGTGTGTGTGTGTGTCAATGTGTACAAGTCTGTGTGTGTGTCAATGTATACAAGTCTGTGTGTGTGTCAATGTGTACAAGTCTGTGTGTGTCAACGTGTACAAGTCTGTGTGTGTGTCAATGTGTACAAGTCTGTGTGTGTGTCAATGTGTACAAGCCTGTGTGTGTGTCAATGTGTACAAGTCTGTGTGTGTGTCAATGTGTACAAGTCTGTGTGTGTGTCAAAGTGTACAAGTCTGTGTGTGTGTCAATGTGTACAAGTCTGTGTGTGTGTCAATGTGTACAAGTCTGTGTGTGTGTCAATGTGTACAAGTCTGTGTGTGTGTCAATGTGTACAAGTCTGTGTGTGTGTCAATGTGTACAAGTCTGTGTGTGTGTCAATGTGTACAAGTCTGTCTGTGTGTGTGTCAATGTGTACAAGTCTGTGTGTGTGTCAATGTGTACAAGCCTGTGTGTGTGTGTCAATGTGTACAAGTCTGTGTGTGTGTCAATGTGTACAAGTCTGTGTGTGTGTCAATGTATACAAGTCTGTGTGTGTGTCAATGTGTACAAGTCTGTGTGTGTCAACGTGTACAAGTCTGTGTGTGTCAATGTGTACAAGTCTGTGTGTGTGTCAATGTGTACAAGCCTGTGTGTGTGTCAATGTGTACAAGTCTGTGTGTGTGTCAATGTGTACACGTCTGTGTGTGTGTCAAAGTGTACAAGTCTGTGTGTGTGTCAATGTGTACAAGTCTGTGTGTGTGTCAATGTGTACAAGTCTGTGTGTGTGTCAATGTGTACAAGTCTGTGTGTGTGTCAATGTGTACAAGTCTGTGTGTGTGTCAATGTGTACAAGTCTGTCTGTGTGTGTGTCAATGTGTACAAGCCTGTGTGTGTGTGTCAATGTGTACAAGTCTGTGTGTGTGTCAATGTGTACAAGTCTGTGTGTGTGTCAAAGTGTACAAGTCTGTGTGTGTGTCAATGTGTACAAGTCTGTGTGTGTGTCAATGTGTACAAGTCTGTGTGTGTGTCAATGTGTACAAGTCTGTGTGTGTGTCAATGTGTACAAGTCTGTGTGTGTGTCAATGTGTACAAGTCTGTCTGTGTGTGTGTCAATGTGTACAAGTCTGTGTGTGTGTCAATGTGTACAAGTCTGTGTGTGTCAATGTGTACAAGTCTGTGTGTGTGTGTCAATGTGTACAAGTCTGTGTGTGTGTCAATGTGTACAAGTCTGTGTGTGTGTCAATGTGTACAAGTCTGTGTGTCAATGTGTACAAGTCCGTGTATGTGTGGGGAGCGGTAGTGTAGGGGAGACAAAGGCGGCCGGGCGTGGTGTTGCCGGCTTTCACAGGTGCTCGCTAACAGCACTTGCCTCAACAGTCTGTTCAGGCTATACGGGGGACCTTTGTCTTTGTGTGTGTTAATGTGTGAGAATGTGATTATATGTGTCTGTGTGTAAATGTGCTCGCTAACAGCACATTTACATTTGTATGTTAAGTATGTATGTGTAAGCGTGTGTAATTGTTAATGTGTGTGAGTACACGTTATGTGTCTTTGTTGTGTTGTGTTGACGAGTGTGAATGTGGCAATGTAGCGGTGAGCCCGCTCACGGCCTTGGTACCAAATCGGTTCTGGGCCTCCCCTAGATCGACTCGGCCTCAAATGAGTACCCGGTGCGGCGTGTGAACATCAATGGGGAGACAAAGGCGGCCGGACGTGGTGCTCGCTAACAGCACTTGCCACCAACAGTCTGTTAAGGCTACACGGGGGATCTTTGTCTTGTTTTGTGTGTAAGCGTGGGTGTGTGCGATTGTGCGTAAATATTAATGTGTCCGTAACGTGCGTGATATGTGTGTAAAAATGTGGAGGTGCGCGTGTGAATGTGTGTACGTAAGTGCCAATAAAAATGCGTGCGATTAGCGCGTTAATGCGTGTGTACGTGCGAGTACTGAATTGTGAGTACAGTGCTAAAGTCATAACCTTGCGTTATCATCCACTGCTGGATGAATAATGTACAGCGTAGGTGTGTAAATGTTGTATGAATGTTGACCAGGCACCCTGAAGTGTAAAACGTGTGCAACCCATGAAACGTTCAACTTACTGTGCCGTATCAATCCACTGCTGGATGGATAAAGGTATCGCCACGCCGTGTCGTCCGTACGCGAATGTCTACCTTGTATAAATAAATGAGCGTCATGTGCGACTGCGAATGCGCCGTGGAAATGTTTTGAGTGAGCGAACGCGCGGGCACGCATTAATAATGCACCGCAGCCTCACTGTGCTCACACCTGCGAGCCCCGCCCCCTTACCAACAGACTCCGCCTCCTTACCAGCAAACCCCGCCTCTTACATCCAAACCCCGCCCCTCACTCAAACCCCGCCAATCACCCGCCACATTAACCGCCTCGTTATCAAACCCCGCCCCTCTTCACTCCAAAATTCCACCTCTCAGACACAGTCATGCCCCCCCCCGCCACCTGACCCGCAGAACACGCCCTTATATCCGCAAAACCCCGCCCGCTCACCCGCAAAACTCCGCCCCTCGACCGCAAAACCCCGCCCTTCATTCGCAAACCCCCGCCTCTTACTTCCAAATCCCGCCCCTAACCCGCCAGCCCCGCCCCCATAAACTACGCCCCTCGCCGGCAAACCCCGCCCCTGACCGTCAGACCCCGCCCACCTCACCCACAAACCCCGCCCTTTGCTAAGAAAACAAAAAACTGGCCTTCACAGACGTGTCGACGTTTCAGGCAATGCACCTTTTTGTATATGGCGCGTTTACGAAGGGCAATTGCCCGAAACGTACCTATTATAAATGTGCGGATTTCTTTGTTAATTGTGCACCACTTCCAACGCAGCAGCGTCATCAGCATCACCAAATCGCCTGTTTACACCCCCAGGCGCTGTACAATAGGCAACCTATTGATGTTGAGCGTTTTGCGTGACATAATTGTCTAATTGTGCTGTGATCAAGTCTAAACTATTATCTGCCCCAGCCGACTCGGCACGCTACAGAGGATGTGGGTGGGGGGAGTCCCATTAATTCACACCGAATCGTGTTTGTGCCACATTTTCTCGTTGTTTTTGCACCGATGCAGTATATCCCCTACATCGCTTCACATTATCGCTTGACCCCACTCTGTCTCTCGGGAGCTCTCACCTGGTTAAAAGTAAAACTTTTACTTTTCACCGTGGCAAGGCACCACTGAAGCTGCGTGTGGCTCTTTTATTTTATTTTTCAGAAGCCACCTGGCACCACGCACAAACGACAGCCCAACGAAGTGGCGGCTTTGACCGTCGCGTGTAAATGCACGGCAGTCAAATCCTCTGAAACGCGCGATGTTGATTCGATTCCCAACCTGGAGGGGGGTGGGGGACCGGAGGATCGGAAGAAAAATCCACGCGACCATGGGGAGAGAGAGAGACACGCAAACTCCAAATATACAGCAGCAGGCGTCAGGGTCGGGATCGAACCCACGTCCTCCTGCATATCAGACGAGGGAGTTAACATTTCCTAGCCACCTGAACCATGAAGCTCCGTCTCTCCCATGTTAGTCTATGGGCATTCCATTTTCCCCATGTTCGTCTATGGGCATTCCGTTTTCCCCATGTTAGTCTATGGGAATTCCATTTTCCCCATGTTAGTCTATGGGCATTCCATTTTCCCCATGTTAATCTATGGGCATTCCGTTTTCCCCATGTTAGTCTATGAAAATTCCATTTTCCCCATGTTAGTCTATGAAAATTCCATTTTCCCCATGTTAGTCTATGGGCATTCCGTTTTCCCCATGTTAGTCTATGGGCATTCAGTTTTCCCCATGTTAGTCCATGGGCATTCCATTTTCCCCATGTTAGTCTATGGGCATTCCATTTTCCCCATGTTAATCTATGGGCATTCCGTGTTCCCCATGTTAATCTATGGGCATTCCATTTTCCCCATGTTAATCTATGGGCATTCCGTTTTCCCCATGTTAGTCCATGGGCATTCCGTTTTCCCCATGTTAATCTATGGGCATTCCGTTTTCCCCATGTTAGTCTATGGGCATTCCGTTTTCCCCATGTTAGTCTATGAAAATTCCATTTTCCCCATGTTAGTCCATGGGCATTCCGTTTTCCCAATGTTAGTCTATGGGCATTCCGTTTTCCCCATGTTAATCTATGGGCATTCCATTTTCTCCATGTAGTCTATGGGCATTCCATTTTCCCCATGTTCACCTTTCTACATCTGCTGAAGCCTCCTGTAACTCACGTGGCTTGTGTGGCCACCCCCACTCTGAACCCCCGCCCCTCTCCCCCGTCGCCGCCCACTGTGAAAACAGACTCCGCTCCTCGGTACAGCAGCAACGTGGAAGCACTCGTTTATCCCTTCCTCTACCATCCTCTTCCTCTCATTTCCCATTCTTCCTCCCCTCTCTTCCCTTTCCCGTTCCTCTTTCTCTTCACCCATGCGTTGCTACATCCTTGACCCTAGTGTCCCTTCCCGTGGTGTAGCCACGGGTACAAGATGTCTGGTGTTTTTAAGTCGAGCAATGGCACTGATAATCGGTACAATTCATTACTTTAGAAATGTATTACTTTAGTAGTCAATTACTTTAGCCATCGATAACTTGATGGACCATGACACGTGCAACCCAACCCAACCAGGACGGACGGGCGGACAGACACGCCGCGAGAGAGATCGGGAGCGAGAGAGAGCGGGGTCGCGACGGAGCGTGCCCGTTTATTCAACCGCAAGCCGCTCATGTGACAGCCCGTTACAGGGGGCGGATAAATTAGACAAATGATCTGCGGCCCTCCACGCTACGGACACGAGGGTTATGCAACACGATGAGGATTTACAGGCAGCGCCGACAACGACAAGACATTTATCCCGTGGCTTATTCTACCGCCGCGGCCCTGGCAGTCATGTGACCCGCCCGACGTTTCGATCCCGACGCCGCAGCGGGGAGATCGGACGCCGCGGGGACTGGGTGGGTGGACGCGATCGAGCGAGCAAGCGAGCGGGCGAGCGGCGGTTGAGATGGAGCGACTCGACGCGAGATGAACAAGCGGACGACTCCTTTGTTGCGCGAGCCATCGAGTGACAGAGCCACTCGAGCGGAGGCCCGAGCGAGTCGCACGCAGACGGAGCGACTGGTGTGGAAGGTAAGCGACTCGCAAAGGGCAAGGGGGCAGGCGACTAGCTGCGAGTCGCCCTTCCGGTCTTCGTGTGAGCGAGTGAGCGAGCAACTCGCGTGAAGCCCCAAGCGACCTCAATGCGAGTTGCTCGAGTCTCCGCGTGGGTCGCTCGCCACGACGAGTCGCCCCGTCCACACGTGGGCGAGTGAGCGAGCCAGCAACCCACGGGGGACGAGGGACGACTCTCGCTCACGCTGTGTGGATGACTCGCATTGGGGGGCGTGGCCGTACCGTGTCACCGTGTGACCCCCACCACCCACCCAGTGGAATGTCAACTTCATTAATTATTTGTTCACGTTAAAGTCACAATTAAAACAAAGCAAAACAACAAGATGCCGTACTTCCCCCCTCCGAGCCAAATGATAATTACACATCTCTTGTACAGCTTTAACTTCCCCCATATATTCACAAAAATAACCCCTCTTCCCCTGGACACAACAAGCACCACCACATGCATCTCTTGGTTGCCCGTGTGTTTAGTTAAAACCTTCGCACCAAATTCGGAACAGAACCCAGCTGCCCCTCTATACCTCCTGCCTCGGTCCCACCACCAGACCCGTGACCTCACTGGTGATACCGTCAACCACCCTCTTTTTTTTCCCACTGGCGCAACAGAGCCGTGCCGAGTTGGCCCTGTGCGGCTCAGGAAGATTGGGCCGGGTTGCTTTATCCACTACAGAAATCCGCGCCGTGCCGTGCAATGCCAGCGAATCAAAGTTTGGTTCCGGCTTGGCTCGGTAAATATCGAGCGGAAAAACAACTTGTACCGCGAGGGCAGCGTGACGGCTCAGCTTGGATGTGCCAGTGGAAAAAAAAACCGGTATAAGAATTCCATTGCCCCTCAAGGCTGAATATCGCTTCGAGAAAGGTCAGACTTGGGGTACCCATTGCTGCCAAACTTCTCCCTCGGACACGGAACAATCGATTCATGGAACAGATCTCCACGTAGATGAATACTTTAACCTAAAGATTGATTTCAGAGTCCAACCCCTTTGCTGAGAAGCGTAAAGGGAGGACAGGGACGGGACCACATGAAGCAGGAGTCTGCGAACTCTGATCCTGGGGCCTGGTGCCATATCTGGGCCGGAACTGGGCCAATCCTGGGTTGACCAAAACCCAGTGTCCACCACCACCACCACCCCCCTCTCGCTGGGTCAGGGAAACGAGGCATCAGACGACCCGCAAGCTACCGACACGGCCCCCACCCCCCTCCCCCTCCTCCTCGCCCCCCCCCCCCGCGAATCTTTACCCTTCTCCCCTCCTCCCTCCCTCCTCGTACCCCCGACAAGTTCAAACGCCGCACAAGGCTGCAAAGGCTCCCCCCCCATCCCCTCCACCGGCCGGCCATTATGAACCCGGCGGTGTTTTGGTCGTTCAGAAGTTCGGCGATTTCCGGCGCCTGTCGTGGGCCGGGGGTGCGGAGGGAGGGGGTGGGGTCGGTGGGGGGGGGGGCACGAGGGGGGGGGGGGGAGGGGGCGGGGCATTGGGAGGCGCACGCCGACGGGAAATTTACATCCAATAAATAGAGCGATGCTGAGCACGCGTCGTCCCGTTGGTGCACGGGGGGGGGGGGCGTGATGGCCCCGGGGGACGCCGGCCTGCCCCGTTATCTCCCCTTGGTCCCCACCAAGACGAGGATCATGATGACGAGAATCACGAAGAGGAGGAGGATCGCGAGCATCTTCCGGTTCTTTTTTTGGTACGTCTCGGCCTGCAAACGTGCGCGCAGCACACGCGACGCACACACACGTGACGCGCACACACAGGCATGTGACGCGCACACACGTGACGCGCACACACAGGCATGTGACGCACACACACGTGACGCGCACACACAGGCATGTGACGCGCACACACGTGACGCACACAGGCACGTGACGCGCACACACGCGCGCACACACAGGCACGTGACGCACACGCGCGCACCGGTTCGGATATTCGCCATGGAACTCAAGGATTGCCGGGTGCAGAGCGCAGTGCGCTAACCACTGTGCCCACTGCGCGCTCCCCCCCCAATGCACACGTAAACGCACAGACAGTATTCAAAACCGTGTGTCTTTATATGCATAGGCGTCAACAGGCAAATTTGAATTTTGCATAATATACATACGCACACACAAAGACAAAGGCCACCCATAAAGGCTTTTCAGGTTGGCGAGGCAAGTGCTGTTAGCGAGCACCTATTAAGGCCGGGCCGGTGCACGAAGGGAGGGCGGGTGTGGTGTGGCAAACACCAGGCTTGTGCTGAAGATGCTCATTTAAGGTTGAGTCGACCTAGGGGAGACCCAGGACAGGCGAGTCTTGAGGCTACTCTGGGTAAACAAGTGGAAAAAATTTTGAAGTAAAAAAAAACACTTTTGAAGTTTTTTTGTTTACCCAGTAAAGCCTCCCCGAGTCTCAAGATTATTTTTTCAGGATGGGTCCTGCCAGGGTTTTGCTGTGCTAGTACTTTTCAGGGAAATCTCAGCGATTGGGATGTTTTGGTTGATACCGGTTGCGTCTGTGTTGCGTCTGTGCTTGTTTGTTCAGCGACGGGAGGCCGGAGAACCCAAAGGAAACCCATACAGAATAGGGGGGAGAATATACAAAGTTTACATACACTCACTCACACACTCACTCACACACACTCACAACAACAACAACCGCCATTCGCCACTAAGTGGCGGTGACATCACCACGACGCTTGTGCCAGGCCATGTGCACCTTGAGGCCACGTGAAGTGTCGAACGCCTGCTGACAGGTCACGGGGCAGACCCAGCAGGTGCTACAGGTCGACTGACTGAGATGACTGAGATGACTGGCTGATGCACCAACTGTGCCCCCTACTGTGCCAACCTGCTGTGCTTTAGCCACCCGGTGCTCCGCTCGTTGTTGTGAGCGTCGCTCCTCCGCCCTCCGTTGTTGTTGGAGGGCGACTGCCTCCAACTGCCCAATAGCGTCCTTCACGAGCCTCCTCCACAGAGGCCGATCTTGACACCGCTGGTACCAGTCATTGGCAAGTCCACTCAGCTCCACATCCTCCTGTACCACATCACTCAGTCTCTTCTCTAGCCCGTGCCGCGCCCGTTTAGCCCCCTCGATCCGGCCGAACAAAAGCTGTTTCGGCATGCGGTGGCTGGGCATGCGGGCTACATGACCCAGCCAACGCAGCCTTGCCTGCCGGAGGGAGCTCACCGATGGGACCTTGCCCAGATCTTTCAAGGATTTGTGAGCTCCTCACACAATCCAGCCTGGTTAAACCCAGGATGGATCATAGGCAGGCGAGCCTAAATGTTTCTAACCGGCGAAGATGTTCCATTAGGGGGGTCCATGTTTCACACTCACTCACACTCACTCACACACTCACTCACTCGCACACATTCACACTACAGAACAGGGAGAGAACACACAAACTCCACGCAGAAAGGCACCCGAGTCAGGAATCGAACCCAGGCCCCCTTGTGGCTGTGATGCTCGAGAGTTACCACTGCGCCACTTCCCTGCAACCCCATGCATCGCCTCCTCTAAGGTGTCAGACCCCTGCTGTCAGAACCCTATGCGAGGACCCCTTTTTGCCAGACCCCTGCCTTTGCCGTCACCTTGCCACATGAATACAACTGCAGAGGTGGGGGGGGGGAGGAGGGAGGGGGTCGCTGTTCAGATGTCACTCAACGCCCACCTCCCCTCGCACGGGAAGGGGGAGGGGGTCAGGGGCGCTGTCGAACTCATCACACGCACAGGGCGGAGGTCGCGAGCTCCCGCGGCGCCGTCTAAATCCGCCAGGTGCTGCCACCCCTCCTCCCCCAGCCACCCCCCCCACTCTCCCCCGCCGCCTCCTCGCCACCACTGCCCTTCCCCTATTGCCGTGTCACACACCTGGCACATCTGGCACACCTGACACACCTGACACACCTGAAACACCTGTCCTGCGCCCCTGTGTCCCAGCACCTCCCCCCCCCCGCCCACCGGCCCCCCCGCCTTCCACAACCTCTCAATTCGCCCACGACACCACGGTCGCCCTGTCTCATGGCTGTCAGCTGATGTCACGTACCGAGCGTCAGACACACGGACACGTGGACGCACAGACACGCAGAGACGAATGCAAAGATCCCCCATATAGCCGTAACAGACTAGGGGCAAGTGCTGTTAGCGAGTAGCACCTATGAAGGCCGGAACGGCACACGAGGAGGGGGTGGGTGGCCAGCACCACGCCCGGCCGCCCTTGTCTGCCCGGTGGCGATGTTTACACACCGCACCAGGTACTCATTTGAGGCTGAGTCGACCTAGGGGATGCCCATGACCGGTTCAGCTAATCGTCAGCGGTGTTGGCCGTGAGCGGGAATCGAACTCAGGTTGCCGGGTTCGTAGCGCAGCGCGCTAACCGCTACGGACACACGGACACACATAGACACGCACAGACGCACAGGCACACGGACCCAACAGACACAAGGATAAACAGATGCATATGCACAGACACACTGATACAGGGACACATAGACACACACGTGACGCACAGGCACACTGGTGCAACAGTCACAAGGATTATCAGACGCACGGACGCGCGGACATGTGGACGGGTTTTCTGGCGTTCGCGAGCGGGAAAGGTCCCCACGATAAGTGACAATTTGCTTCTGCACTTAATGTGGAAACATTCCGGCCGTCAGACAATCAAGATCTCGGATTGACCGTCAACCACGCGGCTCCTCTGCGGTAGGTCCGAGAGAGGAAGTGCTGCCCTCTACTGTGCGTATACAGAGGCCAATGAATGGAAGGCATCTCTCAGAAGGTACAGACTCCTCTACTTATGAACATTCGACTTACGAACTTTCAGAGATACGAACAAACCTGGTCCGTATGTCCAGTGGCCTGTTCGGATCGACAGTCGTAAGTTCAACCGCCACGCAATAGATGGTGGTGGTGGCATCTACATCAGCAGAACGTGAAGAACCAGCGGCATCTACATCTACAGAACGTGAAGAACCAGCGGCATCTACATCTGCAGAACGTGAAGAACCAGCGGCATCTACATCTGCAGAACGTGAAGAACCAGCGGCATCTACATCTGCAGAACGTGAAGAACCAGTGGCATCTACATCTGCAGAACGTGAAGAACCAGCAGCATCTACAACTACAGGAGATTATACGACGTTTAAAGCCCTGTGTTTAGTGTACATGCCGTGCAACGCGTTTGGAATCAACAGGAATCAAGTTGAACTTGCGAAACAATTCGACTTACGAACAGACCTCTGGAACCAGGATCAGGTCAGGGTCAAGAGTTGGGGGTTAGGGAGAGTATCAGGGTTAGAGTCAAGGTCAGCACTTAGGTAAGGGTCAGGGTTAGAGTCAGGGTCAGTTCTCAGGTCAGGGTCAGGGTCAGTCTCAGGGTTAGTCTCAGGGTTAGAGTCAACATCAGCACTCAGGTCAGGGTTAGTCTCAGGGTTAGTCTCAGGGTTACAGTCAAGGTCAGCACTCAGGTCAAGGTTAGAGTCAGGGTCAATTCTCAGGTCAGTGTTAGTCTCAGGGTTAGAGTCAAGGTCAGCGGTCAGATCAGGGTCAGGGTTAGTCTCAGGGTCAGGACCCTAGGTCAGGGTTAGTCTCAGACCTAGAGTCAGAGTCAGGATCCAGGTCAAGGCCAGGGCCAGGGTTAGAGTCAGGGCCAGGAACCAGGTCGTGTGTCGGGGTCACCTTCTGCAGCTGCTTGAGCCCCTCCTCCGTCTTGACGCACGACTGCTCCACGTTGTAGTCGATTCGGTCGAGCACCGTGCCCTGGGGGGAAAACGGACAACGCCGGCCACGAGTCACTCCTCGTCCACCTCCTCGTCCACCTTCTCCACCTCCTGCTCAGCGGTGATGATGACCACGCTAACGATGAGGACGATAATGTTGTTGACGATGATGATGTTGTTGATGATGACGACGAAGATGACGATAACGAAGATAATGATGATAATGATCATGGTGATGACAACGATGGTGATGACGACGATGATGACAATGATAACGACGATGATGACGAGGACGGCAATGATGACGACGGTAATGATGACGACGCCGACGACGACGATGATAACGATGACAGCAATGACAATGACGATGATGACAATGGCGACGACGATGAAGATGCTGTCGAAGATGACGACGGCAAAGATGAGTGGCGATAATGACAACGACCATTGCCGTCGCGATGTCGACACCTGTGGTGCGAGTGCTGCTCAGTGTTGGTGACGGTAACGATGACATTGACGACGACGGCGCGACGATGTTGACGATGCGAGTCACCTGCTCCACCACCATGTGCGCGAGGTCGCGGAAGATCTCGTTGAGCTCGGAGATGGACTGCGCAATCTGACGGATCTCGCGCTCCCGCTCCTCCACCATCTCCGTGTTGCCCTCCACCAGCTGCAGCTGCTCCTCAGTGAACCACTGAAATCGCACAAACGAAGACAACCACGATCGCACAACAACAACAACAACCGCACAACAATCACCGCGGCCGCACGGCAACCATCGCAATCACACGCAAAGAAACAGCACAGCAGCCAACTGCAGCCGCGACGAAAACCAGTGAAATCGCACAACCACACACACACACAACACAACACCCGTCGCAATCACACACACACACACGCGCACAACGCACCATCGCGACCACACCACAGCAAGACGACGACAACTGTCGCTCTCAGCAATGGCCAGAGCCTCACACAACCGCACCGCAACGACCACCACGCAGGAGAACGACTCCCACCACCACCCCCCCCCCCCACCACCACTCCCGCCCCTACCCACCGCGGGCAGCCCGCATGTCCACCACCGCACAGACTGAGCACCGCACGGGTCGACCTCCGGAGGGTGCCGCACTCACGCGGTCGTAGAGGTCGTCGGGTTCCGTCTCCTCCATGAGCGGTCCCCCCGTGCTGAAGAGGACCTGCGAGCGCTCCTCGCGGTTCTTCATTCCTGCGGGGTCAAGGTCGCGGTCAGGGTCGGGGGTCAAAGCCGTGCCAAGGCAGTGGTGACGCTCGCGTCTCGTGGCAAGGAGGGGGGCGGGGGGTGGGGGGTGGGCGGGGGCTGGGTTCGAGCCCCGACCAGGGGCGCCTTTCTGCGTGCGTGTGTTCTCCCCCCTGCTCTGCAGTGTGAGTGGGTGAGTGAGGGGGTGAGTGGGTGAGTGGGTGAGCGAGCGGGTGGGTGAGTGAGTGAGTGGGTGAGTGAGTGAGTGGGTGAGTGGGTGAGTGGGTGAGTGAGCGGGTGAGTGAGCGGGTGAGTGGATGTGTGAGCGAGTGAGTGGGTGAGTGAGTGGGTGAGTGAGCGGGTGAGTGAGTGGGTGAGTGAGCGGGTGAGTGGGTGGGTGAGTGGGTGGGTGAGTGGGTGAGTGGGTGAGTGAGTGGGTGAGTGAGTGGGTGAGTGAGTGGGTGGGTGAGTGAGTGGGTGAGTGAGTAGGTGAGTGAGTGGGTGAGTGAGTGGGTGAGTGAGTGGGTGAGTGGGTGAGTGAGCAGGTGGGTGAGTGAGTTAGTGGGTAAGTGAGTGAGCAGGTGAGTGGGTGACTCAGCAGGGAAGTGACCGAATATGTTGTTGTGACCTGCAGTGTGGTGAGTTAGAGCGTGGATAAGTTGGTGTGCGAGTAAGTAGTTGGGTAGGTGAGTGAGTGGGTCAGTGTTGTTGTGACCTGGAGTGTGTGCGAGTGGCCAACACCGGTATCTGAACCGGACCTGGGGCTCCCCCAAGTCGACTCAGCTTAAATGAATACCTAGTGACGGTGTGTAAACATCGCCCGCCCGCTCACCCACTCACTCACTCACCTCACCATCTCACTCGACCACCCACCCACTCAAACGATACTCATCCTGGCCTCTTACGTTCCCTCACCGGGGCCAGGGGGGCGGTGTCGACTCAAAACCACCTCGGGGAAACCCGGCAACGAAAAACGCGGCGCAAGCGTCCGGCACACACCGGGAGGGAGCGTGACGCGGTGGGCGCTGGCCTGGGTGCGGCACTACTCACGGCGCAGGTATCCGGACTGGGCGTGGCGGAAAGCGGTGGACAGCTCCTGGAGCCCCTGTGCCAGCGAGCTCACCACGTTGGCGAGGATGCGGCGCTCCTGCTCGCCGCGCCCACGCGCCCGGTTCTGCAGCGCCTGGACGGCGCGCTGGCACCTGTGGAACATCTGGCGCGCGGCACGTGTGCATTCGGGTCCCGTGCCAATGGGAATCATTTACGTGCTCTGAAAGAGGGCCATGGCCCGGAACGTCGCCTGTTATACAGAATATTGTTTACTTTTAAGGCCCGCGCCACCGCATCGCGCGTTTTCAGAAGCGCTTCTGCAGGCCGTTTGGAATGCTCTTCCGTCCGATATTAGGAAACCACTGGAGCCATGCACTTTTAAATGATCGAGATTGAAGACTCATTTCTTTAGAAGTGCTTGTTGTGTTTAGTTTGTTGTCCTTCCCCACACCTCCGATTAGCGCGGTTGGTTTACGTACGGTGCAAAAGAAGACACGCAAACTCCAAATATGCAGCAGCAGGTGTCAGGGTCGGAATCGAACCCACGACCTCCTGTACACCAGGCGAGGTAGTTAACATCTCATAGCCACCGTGATGATGATGAGAGAGAGAGACACGCAAGCTCCAAATATACAGCAGGTGTCAGGGTCGGAATCGAACCCACGGTCTCCTGTACACCAGGCGAGGTAGTTAACATCTCCTAGCCACCGTGATGATGAGAGAGAGAGACACACAAACTCCAAATATACAGCAGCAGGCATCGTCAGGGTCGGGATCAAAGCCACGACCTCCTGTACACCAGGCGAGGTAGTTAACATCTCCTAGCCACCGTGATGATGAGAGAGAGAGACACACAAACTCCAAATATACAGTAGCAGGCATCGTCATAGTCGGGATCGAACCCACGACCTCCTGTATACCTGGCGAGGTAGTTAACATCTCCTAGCCACCGTGATGATGATGAGAGAGAGAGAGAGACACACACTCCAAATATACAGCAGCAGGCGTCAGGGTCGGAATCGAACCCACGACCTCCTGCGTACCGGGCGAGGGAGATAACATCTCTTGGCCACCGTGAGGTGGGGGAGGAGGTGGGAGGAGTGGGGGGGGGGAACCCAGGCGGTGAGAGGAAGAACCCGCTTGCTGTACTGCCACACCTGCGTGGTCTCCTGCGTGGTGATCTCGATGGCGTGCTCCTCCTCGCTCGTGTCGTCCAGCGTGGGCCGGTTCAGGTGCTTGTCGTGCAGCACCGCCAGCTCCTTCATCTTCTGCTTGATCCGCGCCACCTCGTACTGGATCTGCCGGGACCATCGGCACGGCAGGCCGACTGGTTAACCGCCGTCCGCGGGGGGGGCATCGCCATCGCCCGCGCGGGAAGAGTTCGTGGTCAGTGCCGAGCGTGTACGTGTGTGCCTTTGTCGTTCCGGCGGTGTGGGGAGCGGGAGTGTAGCGGTCGGCGCTGCGCTGCGCTACGAACCCGGCGACCCGGGTTCGATTCCGGCTCACGGCCAACACCGGTGACGATTATCGGAACCTGTCGTGGGCCTCCCTTAGGTCGACTCAAATGAGTACCTGGGGCGGTGCGTACACATCGCCACGAGGGAGACAAAGGCGGCCGGGCGTGGTGCTGGCCACCCACACCCCCTCGTGTGCCATGCCGGCCTTCATAGGCGCTCGCTAACAGCACTTGCCCCAACAGTCTGTTAAGGCTATACGAAGAATCTTTGTCTTTTTTTCCATGCTGCGGCGGGGAGCGGTGGCACAGCGGTTAGCGCGCTGCGCTAGGAGGCCCGGCCGCCCGAGTTCGATTACAGCTCACGGCCACTAACACCAGGAATGATTATCTCAACCCGCTCCTGGGCCTCCCCTAGGTCGACTCAGCCTCAAATGAGTCCCTGGTGCGGTGTGCAAAACATCGGCACTGGGGGAGACAAAGGCGGCCGGGCGTGGTGCTGGCCACCCACCGCATCGTGTGCCGTGCCGGCCTTCATAGCTGCTCGCTAACAGCACTCGCCCCAACAGTCTGTTACAGGCTACACTGGGAGTCTTCGTCTTTGTGTCACCTCGTCCACGCTGTCCACCCAGTCCGGTGGGAGTGTCTTTGTGACGGCAATGGCTGCCTCGGGGTCCATGCTGAGACCGGACACGAGTGCCATGCGGTCATCCGCCATCTACGCACGCACGCACAAACACGCACGCGCGTAAACAGGTACACATACACGCGTAGATGGGTACACGCACATGCGCACACCTACGTACACACGCATACGCATGCAAGCACACACGTACACGCGAACACACGCGCACAAACTCGTCACACGAGGAGGTGGGTGGCCAGCACCACGCCCGGCCGCCTTTGTCTCCCCAGTGGCGATGTTTGCACACCGCACCAGGTACTCATTTGAGACTGAGTCGACCAAGGGGAGGCCCAGGACCGGTTCAGATAATCGTCACTGGTGGTGTTGGCCGTGAGCGGGAATCGCACGTGGGTGGCCGGGTTTGCAGCGCAGCGTAGCGCTAACCGCTACACCACCACTCCCCACGTACACTCACATTCATATTCACAGGAGTAGCGCGTTCCGCTTTAGTTGTTGATGTTCACATTTTGAAACCGGTAGGCTGCCCCGGTTAATCAACACTGCGGCGTGTACAGTGTTCACCATAAAATAGTACGAACCTCTGCTTCACTCACAGCGGACGTGAAAGATCCCGTGACGCCGTTCGCAAGAGCGGGCCATCGTGTGCCACCGCCGTCATGGTTAACATTTTTGTTTAAACTGACACTGCAAATGACTCAAGTGGGATTACACACACATAGCTGTTGCAGCAGCAGCAACATCGCCAGGCTAATACGAAAACTCGGCAGGACCCTCCTGAAAACAAAAAAGAGTCCAGAGACTCGGTGAGGCTTTCCCGCGTGAACAAAATCGCAGTAATCAGAATAATTAACCTCCCGTGACAAGTTTGGGACACTCAAAATCAGACAGCCCCGCGTCGAGATCGGGGACGGTGAGTTATGGGTGATTGTGCAAGAGGTGAGCGAGTTAGGAGTATGGTGATTAAGGGAGGGGTGAGCAAGTTAGGGGTACGGTGAGTAAAGGAGGGGTGAGTTCGGGGTGAGGTGTGAGGGGCGGGCCGAGTGCGAGCAGGGGGCTACATGGACCCACGGGGGAGGTCGTTACATGGATGCGAGAGGTGTCGTCACGGAAACGGCGCGGATGGCACCATCATCGGATTGGGTGTTGCCATGGCAATGTGGTGGTGTTGTCATGGAGATGGTTGATATTGTCATGGAGAACGGATGTTGTCGTCATGGAGATGGGTGGTGTCATTTAGATTGGTGGCATTGCCATTGGCACAGGTTGGGTGGCATTGTCATGGAGACGGGTGCTGTCACGGAGACGGGTGACGTTGTCACGGAGATGGAACGAGTGGTGTCGTCATCACAAAGAAGGGACCAGGAGTTCTACCTCGTCCAGCTCCTGAGTGGTATGGTTGCCGGGGCCCCGGGAGGCAGGAGAGGCAGCGGAGCGCGGTAACCACGGTTACGGCCGCCAGCACACGGCATGGGGAAACACAAACGCGGCTCAGAGAGACGAGACAATTCAGGGAGACACAGAGACATAGCATAGAGACAGGCAGGAGACACAAGAAAGACGGAGTCAGCAATTACCACTCAAGAGATCGACATACCAGACACAACACAGCTCAGAGTTACACACAGATCAGACATAGACACAGAGATGGATCAGACAGTGACACAGAGACACAGATCAGAGGGGGTTGTTGTACACACTCGCATGCATCAACATCGTCCAACTACACACGCAATTCCTCATTTTGTAAGCCATGCAGTGGTTACCAGTCGTTAACCAGTCTGGCGGTTAACCAGTCTAGGGGTTAACCAGTCCAGCGGTTAACCAGTCCAGCAGTTAACCAGTCCGGTGGTTAACCAGTCCAGTGTTTAACCAGTCTGGTGGTTAACCAGTCCAGCAGTTAATCAGTCCGGTGGTTAACCAGTCTGGTGGTTAACTAGCTTGGGAGTTAGCCAGTGTGGGGGTTCATCAGTGGAATGGACAGAAACCCAGGTCTCCCTTGCAGTGCACCGGGGGGCCAGGCACGAGCGGCGTGGCGACGTCACCACTACTCGGTGGCAAAAGCCGGAGGTGGGGGTTGTTGTTGTTGTTTACGCAGTGGATTAGGGGAGGGGGGCGGGGGGGGCATCACGATCCATGGATACGCTCACGACAAGCGTATTCTGATCGCACTGCAGAACGGGGGGGGGGGGAGAACACAGAAAATCCACACGTAGAAAGCTCCAAGCAGTTCCCGCTGGCAGGGGCTAGAGCTCACCGACGTCCACCCCACTCATGCAAGGGAGAGCTGGGTCACTCGTGCAAGGGTGCCCCCACTACGGACGCACAGCGGTGCCGTCAAAGTGTGCGTGCGCGCCATGCACAAGTGTGTGTGTGTGTGCGTGCACGTGTGTGTGCGTGCACGTGTGTGTGCGTGCACATGTGTGTGCGTGCACGTGTGTGTGCGTGCAAGTGTGTGTGTGCGTGCACGTGTGTGTGCGTGCACGAGTGTGTGCACGCACGAGTGTGTGTGTGTGCGTGCGTGCACGAGCACGCGATCATTTGTCAGTCTAACACCGGCGAAACGGTGTTAAATTACCGGCGAAAAGTCACGGTACTGGAATTGTAAATGTTGTGGGTTTACTCTCCAACACACCGGGGTGCTGAACTCGTAACGAATTGGCACGTTTTGTTTACGTGACAAACCTTTAGTAATTGGCTGTGTCGGGTGGCGGCGGGTTTAACAATATATTCATATTTACGCAATCAAACCCCCCAAAAAATTATCTTATGGATGAGTTTTTTTGTGTGTCGATGGGAGCGGTGGTGTAGTGGTTAGCGCACTGCGCTACGAACCCGGCTACCCGAGTTCACTTCCCGCTCACGACCAATAGCAGTGACAGCGAATATCTTAACTGGTCCTGGGCCTCCCCCTAGTTTGACTCTGCCTCAAATAAGTACCTAGCGCGGTGTATAAACATCGCCGCTGCGGAGGTTGAAGGAGGCCAAACGTGGTGCTGGCCACCCACTCTCTCGTGTGCCGTGCCAGCCTTAATAGGTGCTCGCTAATACCGCTGTTAAGGCTAGACAGGGTATCTTGGTTGTTGCACATGTGTGTACGCGTGCGTGCATGAGTGTACACGTGTGTACGTGTGTGCGTGCGCAAGTTCGCGCGTGGTTGTAAGTGAACAGGTGGTTGTAAGTGAACACGTGGCTGTAAGTGTACACGTAGCTGTAAGTGAACACGTGGCTGTAAGGAAACATGCACACAGCACATCTCACGGGCCGAGACTCGAGGCAGCTTCCACCTTGGCCCTTGCCCCGGGGTCGGGGACTCCAACTCAGGCCCCGACAACATCGTGGTCGAGGGCATCCTCCCCTCCACCGCCGACTCCCGTCAAAGCCAAACCGGTCGGGTCGGGTCGAGTCAACTCAAAGAATCGGGATTCGACGCAAAGCGAGAAGTGCTGGCTCAAGTTTTGAATCCACACAAGAAAGGTGATGAAAGGTCAAATCGAGCCGAGCCGATTTCGGGACCCGAGCCGTTTGTTGATGTAGCCGAGTCGAATTAAAACGCCTTGATCACAGGCGCTCTGTAAATATAAAGACAAGGTAAGAAAATTCTGAGAATCCCAGAGCGGATCAAAGCGGTCGGAAATGAGAGCCGACCAAGGCTCGAGATAAAATAATGCCGGAGGTTGAGACGAGATAAGCCGAATCAAAACGAGTCGAGTCAAACCAAATCAAGGTGCCGAATGAATGAGAGAGTCCGGATTATAAGGAAAAACCCGACGGGATTCGAATCGAGAGATTTTGCAAGTCGGATATGAGATGGGAAAAGGAGTTGAGTTTTTTTTTTACACGCAAAAGGTTTTTGTGCGACAGCCGTCCCCGCTTGGGAATCCGAGTGAGGCTTCGAGCTTTCGCCACGCACTGCTGCTGTGAGTTGGTTTGGTTTGTCAGCGTGTCCAATAATAAAAAACGAGCAGCGTTCATTTTGACGAGGAGGTCCGAATACCATCAACCGGACAGAGCCGAGGCGAAGCAGGTCCATCGGGGTCAGATCGAATCAGAGACGCAAGACGAGCTGAAAACTAGACAATTACAGCGGTTCCCTCGGTTAACGATTTTAACCGGTTCCACGAAAACCATCGTTTGTTGAAATTATTGTGAATACAATATAGGAAATGCAGGCTAAAAGGCTTCATTTGTTCCAAGACGATCGGAAGTTGACATTTTTCACTCTAAAAACTAATTGTTTTCCTCACTTTCTTGTATTTTATTCACATGAATTTTAGAGGCCATTTTTATTGATCTTATTAACTTTTAAGCAAAAAAACCCCCACTATGTATTCAAGAGAGCTGTTTCCATAAGCAACGCACCATCAAACAGCGGCCAGTTGCTGTCAAGACGCTCATAAAAGGGCATCGCTGATTGGCCGAGGTCTGCCGAGTCCACTTAGGAGCGCTTCGATTGGCCGAAATTGGCGGCCGCGTGATATCATAAACACACACATCGTTAATCGAAAATGTCTCGTTAATAAAGACAATGGGGACCCTTACGGGAGGCGGATTGTTCGTTGACGGCATCGTAAACCGAGGAACCAGTAGCACTTGGCGATACTCTCACCTTTCTAGGTCTACGCGCCGTGAAGAAGAACCGCTGCTCGAAACGTCACTAATTGTACAGGGAACTCCTCCACTTACGAACGGGCGATTTGGTCGTAAGTCCAACTTTACTCTCGCCGATTCCAAATGTGTTGTTGCGGCGTGTACACTAAACACGGGGCAATGGCTTTGAAAGTTTGTGTGATCTCCTGTAGATGCAACTGGTTCTTCACATTCCGCAAACGTATGTAATGACATAGTGACATCTACTGGTTGGAAAAGGGTTGCACGGATACAGGCACCACTATAAACATAATCCAATCCCAAAAGGGAGAGGTATCTGGGCCAAAGGTATGGGGCGGGGCTGGCCTAGATACTCCGGGAACCGGCTAGAAGGTTCCACGAGAGGGCGTGGCCGGAGGCGGAGCCTAGCCGTGCCTGCGGCAATATAAGCGGAGGCGGACTCGTGGTCGGTGTGGGGAGCCTTGGGTCCGCTCTGCGTCGCTGCTCGCCGTCATCTCTCTCCGTCGTTCGGCCACGTGGCAGATCTCCTGTGAAGTCCCACCACCCTCGCCGGCATACCGTCAACCAGCGGCGAGGCCGGGAGTGGGCGGACGGAACCACGCTGTGGGATCGACCACGTGTAGCCTGTTGGGATGCTAATATCTACGTGTGTACTCGGAGAAGGAAGAGGATAAAGTTGGCCTGTGGTGTGCCCGAATGTGAATAAGAAGGGAGTACCCTCTACACGACGTGTCGCGGAAGTTGCTAATCACACGTAGATGGCACTGGTTCTTCATGTTCTGCAGATGTAGATGCCACTGATTTTTCATGTTCTGCAGATGTAGATGCCACTGGTTCTTCATGTTCTGCAGATGTAGATGCCACTGATTCTTCATGTTCTGCAGATGTAGATGCCACTGGTTCTTCATGTTCCCCAGACGTAGATGCCACTGGTTCTTCATGTTCTGTAGATGTAGATGCTAATTCCCTTTGGTGCTCGTGGTTCTTCTCAACTCTCTTGAAAAACTCGGTCCGAACAGGCAACTGGACATACGGACAGGTTTGTTCATATCTCTGAAAGTTCGTAAGTCGAATGTTCGTAAGTAGAGGAGTCCCTGTATATTTCTTTCGTTTTCAAGGCCACGGAAACACACACACGGTTATAACTGTGAGGAATGCGTCGAGTCTGGTTTTACTCGAGGCAGATAAGAGGGATACCACAACTACAAACAAAACCCCGACACAGCTCGAGAGAAGCCGACTCGAGTCTCCTCCACGCCGCCGTGGTTCGCGAGAGTAGCCCCCCACTGGGGGAGCGAGTCCCCCATTGGGGGTGTGAGTCCACCACTTGGGGAGTGAGTCCACCACTGGAGGTGTGAGTCCACCACTGGGGCAATGAGTCCCCCAGTGGGGGAGTGATCCCACAACCGGGGGTGTGAGTCCACAACTTGGGGGGGAGAGGGGTGTGAGTCCACAACTTGGGGGGAGGGGGTGTGAGTCCACAACTTGGGGGGGGAGGGGGTGTGAGTCCGCAACTTGGGGGGGAGGGGGTGTGAGTCAGTAACTTGGGGGAGGGGGTGTGAGTCCACAACTTGGGGGGGGAGGGGGTGTGAGTCAGTAACTTGGGGGGAGGGGGTGTGAGTCCACAACTGGGGGGGGGGAGGGGGTGTGAGTCCACAACTGGGGGGGAGGGGGTGTGAGTCCGCAACTTGGGGGGGGAGGGGGTGTGAGTCCACCACTTGGGGGGGAGGGGGGTGTGAGTCCACAACTGGGGGGGGGGGGAGGGTGAGTCCACAACTGGGGGGGGGAGGGGGTGTGAGTCCGCAACTGGGGGGGGGGAGGGGGTGTGAGTCCGCAACTGGGGGGGAGGGGGTGTGAGTCCACAACTGGGGGGGGGGAGGGGGTGTGAGTCCGCAACTTGGGGGGGGGGGGGGAGGGGGTGTGAGTCCACAACTGGGGGGGGGAGGGGGTGTGAGTCCACAACTGGGGGGGGGAGGGGGTGTGAGTCCACAACTGGGGGGGGAGGGGGTGTGAGTCCACAACTTGGGGGGGGGAGGGGGTGTGAGTCCACAACTGGGGGGGGGAGGGGGTGTGAGTCCGCAACTGGGGGGGAGGGGGTGTGAGTCCACAACTTGGGGGGGGGAGGGGGTGTGAGTCCACAACTGGGGGGGGAGGGGGTGTGAGTCCGCAACTGGGGGGGGAGGGGGTGTGAGTCCACAACTGGGGGGGAGGGGGTGTGAGTCCACAACTGGGGGGGGGGTGTGAGTCAGTAACTTGGGGGGGGAGGGGGTGTGAGTCAGTAACTTGGGGGGGAGGGGGTGTGAGTCCACAACTGGGGGGGGGGAGGGGGTGTGAGTCCGCAACTGGGAGGGGGGGGGGTCCCACACTGGGGGGGTGGGGGCGGGCGTGAGTCCCCCATCCCCCACTGAGGGAGTGAAGTCCCCCAGTGGGGGAGGTGGTGGGGAGGTCGTGAGTCTGCAACTGGCGGGAGGAGGCGGGGGCGGGGGGGACTCACCGAGGCGCGGCGTCGCGCCGCGGTCGTGGATGATGAGAAGGTGGTGGTGGTGGTGGTGCTACTCACTTGCTCGGCCAGCACGTGCCTCGTGTGCACCGCGTTATTCCGCATCAGCACGAAAGCCTCGGTTAGACTCCGGGTCGCCATGGCGAGCGTGGGTTTGGGGGTAGGAATCAAAGGCGAGCGAAACTTCGGGGAGGGGAGGGAGGGGGTAGGGTGGCGGGGAGGACTGGGCCCGAGAAACCGGGGACTGGAATACTCGAGAACGGAGAGAGACTGGGACCAGCTAAGGACTGAGATCAACGACTATGGGACTGGGGGTTAACCTGGGAGCGGGGACCGTGAAACCGAGATCTCGAACCCAATGAGCCGTGGACTGGGGACTGGGCCCTCAAGAACCCTCTGATCGAGGACTGTCAGCTCGGCCCAGGACTTTGGAGACTAGAAACTGGGCTCCTCCTGGTGCTGGGTACATCGGGTCATAGGACCCCTGGGGACCTGGGAAACAACCCGAGGATCCTGATCCCCCTTGCGTCTGGGGGGTCTTAGAATATCGGTCCTTGGGGTCCTAGTCCTGGAGACTTTAGGGTAACGAGAATCCTGGGGAGGGGGGGGGGGGTTCTGATTCCGCGCTAAGAGTCTGAATCCGGGCCCCTAAGGTTCCTTGATCCTTGACCTGGACCAAGGGGTCCTTATTCTAGGGTCCTAATCAATGGGTTATAATTCTGGGGTCCAAGGTCTTAGGTCATAGAATCCCGGCCCTAGGGTCTTAGCGTTCTGAGGTCTTCAACCTGCTCCTAGGATCCCTGTCGTGGGGGTCCTGATTCTGGGGGACCTAGGGGATCCTGGGGGGGTCTTGGGAAGTCCTAATCCTGGATTCAAGGGGTCCGATTGACTAGATGGGGGGGGGGGGGGGTTCACCCCGCACTGACCAGCGTGGTGAAGTATGGTCCCCCGCGTGTTCCGGGAGTCCCGACGCTCGCAAGATCTATTCTTCCCTAGCGATTTCCTGATCCCTGCGATTTGCGATCCTGGGGATCCCCGGTCCTGGTCTCCCTCCCCGGTCTGCCGATCCTGGCCCGTGGTACCCCCCGATCCTGTGAGGGGGGACCCCACTCCTCTCTCTCCCTGCAGCTAACCCGGTGCTTGGGGGGGGGTGGGGGGGGAATGTCCCGAGCGCGTTACATTTCGTAGTCCCGCACAGGCGCCCTCGGTCGGCACGGGACGCGCCACCCCCCGCCACCCCCATGAAACGTCACGTGCGCGGCTCCCGTCCAATCGCAGCGAGGCATCGGGTGGTGCTCGCGTCGCCTATCCGCGCTGGGAAATTTGGGAAGGCGATGTTCTCGTGACGTCAACGCGACCGTGTGTGTGTGTGGAACGTTTATTGACTCGGTGACGTCATCGCGCTCGTTCTCGGTGACGTCACGCGACTGTGTGTGTGTGGAAAGTTTTTGTCTCGGTGACGTCTTCGCGCCCGTGTACGTGTGAGTGTTCGTTTGCCTCGGTGATGTCATCGCGCCCGTGTGTGTGAAACTTTTTGTCTTGAAGACGTCATCACTACCGTGTGTGGAACGGTTTTCGTCTCGGTGACGTAATCGCGCCCGTTAAAACGTCCTTGTCTTGGTGACGTCGACGCGTCCTGTGCGTGGAAACGTATTGTCTCGGTGACGTCACCGCGCACGCGATGGCTTCGTGACGTCACCGCGGTGCGCCTGCGTAATCACGCGATAGAATTTTTGTTTGAATCGATTGGTCGGGTTGTGGGACCACCATACCAGCCTCCGTCTCTGCTCGTCGAGTTAATGAAAACAAAAGCATCCGTCAGTTTAAACACCTTGCAGCCGTAGGTCTTGCGCCACCAATATTGCGGTATTAGCGAGCACCTATTAAGGCTGGCACGGCACACGAGAGAGTGGGTGGCCAGCACCACGTTTGGCCTCCCTTCAAATTCCCCAGCGGCGATGTTTACACACCGCGCCAGGTACTTATTTGAGGCTGAGTCGACCTAAAGGCGGAGGCTCAGGACCAGTTAAGATATTCGCTGTCACTGCTATTGGTCGTGATATGAGCGGGAAGTGAACTCGGGTAGCCGGGTTCGTAGCGCAGTGCGCTAACCACTACACCACTGTTCCCACAAGGGAGTCAGCTTGCATGTGCGAATGGACTAGTGGTCCACGGGAGGTAATGACAGGGGAGTCAGCCTGCAGTGCGAATGGACTAGTGGGCACGGGAGGTAATGACAGGGCAGTCAGCCTGCGGTGCGAATGGACTAGTGGCCACGGGAGGTAATGACAGGGGAGTCAGCCTGCGGTGCGAATGGACTAGTGGCCACGGGAGGTAATGACAGAAAAGTCAGCCTGCAGTGGGAATAGACTAGTGGCCAAGGGAGGTAATGACAGGGGGAGTCAGCCTGCAGTGCGAATGGACTAGTGGCCACGGGAGGTAATGACAGGGGAGCCAGCCTGCAGTGCGAATGGACTAGTGGCCACGGGAGGTAATGACAGGGGAGCCAGCCTGCAGTGCGAATGGACTAGTGGCCACGGGAGGTAATGACAGGGGAGTCAGCCTGCAGTGCGAATGGACTAGTGGGCACGGGAGGTAATGACAGAAAAGTCAGCCTCCAGTGGGAATAGACTAGTGGCCAAGGGAGGTAATGACAGGGGGAGTCAGCCTGCAGTGCGAATGGACTAGTGGCCACGGGAGGTAATGACAGGGGAGTCAGCCTGCAGTGCGAATGGACTAGTGGCCACGGGAGGTAATGACAGGGGAGTCAGCCTGTAGTGCGAATTGGACTAGTGGGCACGGGAGGTAATGACAGGGCAGTCAGCCTGCGGTGCGAATGGGACTAGTGGCCACGGGAGGTAATGGACAGGGGAGTCACCCTGCAGTGCGAATGGACTAGTGGGCACGGGAGGTTAATGACAGAAAAGTCAGCCTCCAGTGGGAATAGACTAGTGGCCAAGGGAGGTAATGACAGGGGGAGTCAGCCTGCAGTGCGAATGGACTAGTGGCCACGGGAGGTAATGACAGGGGAGTCAGCCTGCAGTGCGAATGGACTAGGTGCCACGGGAGGTAATGACAGGGGACGTCAGCCTGTAGTGCGAATGGACTAGTGGGCACGGGAGGTAATGACAGGGCAGTCAGCCTGCGGTGCGAATGGACTAGTGGCCACGGGAGGTAATGACAGGGGAGTCACCCTGCAGTGCGAATGGATGAATCTGGCCACGGGAGATAATGACAGGGGTAGCAGTTGTGAATGCGAAGGGACTGGTGGCTATGGGAATGATCGAGAAGGAGCGTGGTCAGGTGACGGAAGAGGACGGTGGAGTTTGTCGGTGGAAGCGAGCATCCATAGTCAGTGAGAATGATCGAGAAGGGGGGCGTGGCCTTCGGTCAGTATAAAAGTAGAGGAGTCCCTGTATCTTGAACTTCTTTCGCACCGTACGTAGCCAACCGTGCTGATCAGAGGTGCTGGGCAAGGGCAACAAACTGAGCGGCAGACAAGCAATGGAACGCTTCTTGGAGAAAGGGGCCGTCCACCGGGGAGATGGAGCGATGATTAAAATCGGCTCGTAGGTGCAGGAAAGGTCCTGGGTGGATTGCTACACTGCAGAATCGTGAGAGGCGGACTTGGGGAGGCCTTCGTCCAGCAGTGGACTGACCATGGCTGACGATTGATGATGACACAAGCAGCGGGTCGATGTTTATTCCGTCAGGGTAGAACGCGTGAACACATTCGGGGGGGGGGGGGGGGAAATCACATTTACAACAAATGTCTAGTTCACTTACAACTGGGGTTGCCGCGATAAGGATTCTTCACGATACGACAATACGATATTGATTCCCACGATGATGACGATAGCAGCAGTCTCCCATTGCGGTAGTCTGTTCTCCTATAATGCGTATTTTAATAACGTGACAAATGTATCGGGGAACACATCTTTTCATAACGCGATTGAGTGAACAGATTTACGTCACGCGAGTGTAAGCGGTTGTATGGCTGCCTTCAGCGTAGCATCACACAAGGCGGGATGCTGCTGGATGCTTCTCCATGCTACCCACGGGCCTGTCTCTGTTCAGCCTGCATATGCATCTCACGTCTGTGCTTTACCCGACATAATATATTATTTATAACGCTTTTTTCCATAGCGCGGTGTTCTTCAGGAACGTAACCGCCGCATTATAGGAGAAGAGGAAGCTTAAATGTAAAATCATTGCATCGTATTGCGATCCCTCTGTGTGGGTCAGATTGCCACGCGAGTACAATGCCACTGTTGTGTCGTAGACCCCTCCTCCACCCGACACAGCTGAATCATCAGCTGTCTGGGGTTGATAAAATGAAGTTGTCCTATGGACAGATTCGCCTCCGACCATGAGGTCGTGGAATTTCCATCACTGGCTCAGGGCGGTAAACAGAATTTAAGCGACACATCAATGCTTGCGCATTTTTGCCGGGAAATGACCTTTTGACTTGAATTTAAATAATAGCTGTTTATTTGAACCTTCAATCATCGTTCACAACGTACGATTTCGTAGCCAACATCACAATTCGTAATTTATTTTTGGGTGTTACGTAACGACCTGCTCAAATTTGTGTCGCAATATCCTCCACCACCCGACACAGATTATATTGTCAAATTCAATTGTCACGCGTACGAGCGTCGAACGTGCCAAATATTTTACTGCGAGGAGAATCGTTGTCCCCACTTACACAGTGAGCTGAAACCATGATAATTGGGGAATAGGGCTCGGAATAAAGCGGTGGTGCAGCAGTTAGAACGCTGCGCTATGAACCCAGCGGAACCGAGTTCAATACCCGCTCACGAGAAATAACGGTGGCGAATATTTAAACTCCTCCTGGGCCTCCCCTCAGTCGACTAGCTTCAAATTAGTACCTGGTGCTGTGTGTAAATCATCAGTAGTGGGGGGAGGCAAAGGCGGCCGGGTGTGGTGCTGGCCACCCACCCCCTCGTGCACCGTGCCGGCCTTCGTAGGTGTTCGCTAACAGCACTTGCCCCTACAGTCTGTTGAAGGCTGTTAAATGGGAATCCATGTCTGCGTGTGCACACATTAAACGGGCGACACTGGCGGTGGGTTTTCCCATTGACGTAAGGAAGCCGTTGGTTTTACATTTAAGGTTCCTTGCACCCCTGCCGAGTGGCTCTCCTGGATTGGTGTTGCCCTTGGTGTTGCGCGTCGCACCACCATGATCACCCACGCGGTGCAGACACCGCCGAAACGTCGTAACGATGAAACGTTTGTGACGTTTTTTTTTGTGTGTGTGCGTTTAACTTGTCGCCCTTCCCCGCACCTCCGATTTGCACGGTTGGCTACGTACGGCGCGGAGGAAGTTCAACATACCGTAGCAAACACACGTTAACGAGACGCACATATGGACCGGTCGCTGCGTGGCTTCCCGCCTGAAAATAAGCAAATAAAACGGATCCCCAAAAAAATAACGGGCGATTTTTTGCGTTTGCGATTTCGATCGTTCTTTTTTTTTTCATCAGCAAGTGAAACATTTACGAAAGGAAACGAGAGAAGAATCACAACGACACGACGACAATGCGGCCAAGGGGACGATGGGATCGGCGCGAATCGTATCGTAGGAGAAACATCGCGGGGGTCCCCCCCCCGGCCCCCCCCCAAAAAAAACCCGCGACCCCCCACTCGACGCACCAGCGGCGTTCTCACAGTAAGCGCCGTGTGCCCCGATCTGTGAATCATCGACGACGACGACGCCGCCGCTGCATGGCCCGGACATTAGGGGTCCCCCCCCCCCTTGTGACGTCACCGCTAAGCAGGCTGGCAGGCGAAGGTTCGGCCTTGCCGTCAGAGGGTCCACGGAACGGAACAAAAAATACTTGACACGGTCACCATGACACGGGAGTGGGGGGGGGTTTCTATACCAGCGATAAAGATGATAAATATTCTTATTTTAGTCCATCGCAACACAGTGATAGAGAGGAACCCACGTGGGCCAGGTGTGATATGGTGAGCAATAGCACGTGACTCCACATTTCCTCCCCACCCTGCCCCCCCCCCCCCCCCCAAAATAAAATTAAAACGAGCAGCGAATGAGTGTTGAAATGTAGTCTGTGTGTTTGTATATTTGTCTATGTGTCTCGTGTGCCGTGTCAGCCTTCATAGGTGCTACTCGCTAACAGCACTTGCCCCAACAGTCTGTTAACGGCTACACGGGGGATCTTTTTCTTTGTTTTTTGTGTTCATATGTACTTATATAACATATGTATGGATGTGCGTAAATGTGTGTGTGCCTATAGCGCTGTATAGGACCTTCATCAATGCTCGCGAACAGCATTTTGTCTTCCTGTGTGCATGTGTGTATGTACGTGCAATTAGTGACGATGGGAGCGGTGGCCGCAGCGGCTAGCACACTGGGCTGCGAACCCGGCGACCCGAGTTCGGTTCCGCTCACGGCCATTAACACTGACAGCGAATATCTGAACCGGTCCTGGGACTTCCCATAGGTCGACTCGGCTTGCCAGAGTACCTGGTGCGGTGTGTCAAAACATCAGCACTGGGGGGAGACAAAGGTGTCCGGGCGTTGATCTTAGCCACACCAACCCACTGTGCACTGTAACAGCACCAACAATCTGTGAAACGCTACACAGGGGGATGATCTTGCCCGTGTGTATGGATGTAAGCATGCGCGCGCGTATACATCCGTGTGTTTGTGCGTGCGTACGTGTTTCATGCGTGTTCATGCGTGTACGTTTAGCAGAGCCCCCCCCGCGTACTCATCGTCCTCCTCGCCCCCCCCGCCGGGGGAGGTGGCCCCCGCTTGGGGCCCATCGCCCCCCCGGACCCGGCCAGTGGAGACTCCACTTTCCTCTTGGACGGCACCCCCACCACTTGCAGACTCCGCGCCAGCTTGGTGTACTGTGTGCACACGTCACCGAACGTCAAACACCCATCGCCACGACCACCGTCATCGCTACCATCAGCATCGTTGTCATCGCCACGCCCGTCACCACCACCACCACCGCCATCACCATCACCGGACTTACAACAACTAAAAGCACCATCATCATTACTACCACCCACCACCATCAACACTCCTGCCACCACCACTACCATCACCACCCCCCCCCCCCCCCATCAACCACACCATCACAACAGCCAGCATTAGCACCATCATCATTACTTGTACCACCACCGGCGTGCAAGTGCTGCGCGTGTGAATCCTGTGCGTGCGTGTGCCCCGCGTGCCGTGCGTGTGTACTACGTGTCCGTGTGTGTGCTTGCGAGTGTACTGTGAGTGAATGTGCTGCACATGCACCCCACGTGCCGTGCATCTAGTACGTGCGTACTGTGAATGTGTGCTGCGCATGCACTGCCGTGCGTGCGTCTACTACGCGTGTACTGCGAAGGTGCTGCACGTGTGCTACTATGCGCGTGTGCGCTGCGTGTGTGCGCTGCGTGTGTGCGCTGCGTGTGCGTGACGCACGTCATTGTCCATGTACTTGAAGAGGCGGGGAGCTACACACGGCGGAGACGGCGTCGGGGTCCTGCTGGTCGAACGCCTCCAGCAGCTGCTCCAGGGCCAGCACAGTCCTCGCTCGCCGTGAAGCCCGGGATGCTGCGCCACAAAGACAAAGGTCCCCCACCCCCTCCGTGTGGCCTTAACAGACTTTCGGGACAAGTGCTGTTCGCGAGAGCACCTACCGAAGGCACGACGAGGGGGTGGTGGCCAGCAACACGCCCGACCCTCTGTAGGGTGCCCTCTGTGGAGCGCGGTCTGTAGGATGCGGTCTGTATGGTGCCGTCTGTAGGGTAAGGTCTGTATGGTGCCGTCTGTAGGATGCGGTCTGTATGGTGCCGTCTGTAGGGTGCGGTCTGTATGGTGCCGTCTGTAAGGTGCCGTCTGTATGGTGCTGTCTGTAGGGTGCAGTCTGTATGTGCCGTCTGTATGGTGCCGTCTGTATGGTGCCGTCTGGAGGGTGCGGTCTGTAGGGTGCGGTCTGTAAGGTGCCGTCTGTATGGTGCCGTCTGTAGGATGTGGTCTGTATGGTGCCGTCTGTAGGGTGCGGTCTGTATGGTGCCGTCTGTAGGGTGGCGGTCTGTATGGTGCCGTCTGTAGGGCGCGGTCTGTATGGTGCCGTCTGTAGGGCGCGGTCTGTATGGTGCGGCTTGTACGGTTATCCATCAGTACGGTGTTCCGTCTGTAACGGTGTTCCGGTCTGTATGGTGTTCCGTCTGTACGGTGTTCCGTCAGTATGGTGTTCCGTCTGTACGGTGTTCCGTCTGTACGGTGTTCCGTCAGTATGGTGTTCCGTCTGTATGGTTGTTCCGTCTGTACGGTGTTCCGTCAGTATGGTGTTCCGTCTGATGGTGTTGCCGTCTGTACGGTGTTCCGTCAGTACGGTGTTCCGTCTGTACGGTTTTCCGTCTGTACGATGTTCTGTCAGTATGGTGTTCCGTCTGTACGGTGTTCCGTCAGTACGATGTTCCGTCAGTACGGTGTTCCGTCTGTATGGTGCCGTCTGTATTTAATCTGTTCACCTGTAGCTCTCCCGCACGCACTTCTCCGCCGCGACGTAGTCATTGCGGTGCAGGTGAACCAGCACCTGGGAGATGGTTTTCTGTGACGGCACAGCCACGCATTGCAACATCACCGCAAACGTTCTGCAGGCATCGCCAAGCGCCGTCGCAACACCACCGGCAGCATCTCCGTAGCATCATCACAACATGACCATCGCCGCAGCATCGTCACAACATCACCACAAGGTATGGTGGGCTTTCTCCCGGTTCTCCGGTTTCCTCCACACAAAGCCAAACTCTCACGAATAGATTTCAATACACGGCCAAACATCCCAATGCAGTCTTGAGACTCGAGGGAGGGAGGGAGGGTGGGGGGAAAAGAAGTGAAAGGAGTGGGGGTGGAATGGAGGGAGGGACACCCACCTTGTTGCAGGTGGCGTAATTCTCAAGGTCACGACACATGAGCTTCTCCTTTTGCAGAGACACAACCGCCTCGTCCAGCCTGGACAAGGAGACACGGGGAGCGCGAACACAAGGGGACATGGGGATACAGCGGACACAGGGACATGGGGGACACAGGGGGACATGGGAACACAGAGTTATAGGACAACGGTTGTATGGGGAAAACAGGGCCATAGGAAAATAAAGACATGGGGGCACAGAGACACAGAGGCATAGCGTTGCACAGGTTCAGACATATGCAACGGATGTGGAACATTGCACGTTAGTGGACATGTGTGTGCACATTTGTACATGTGCGTACGTGCGCATGTCTGTGTACATGTTTGAACGTATGTGTGGACGTGTGTACACGCGTATATGCGGGTTTGCAGGGGTGGTTGTACGCGTAGGGGGCACAGGTGGTCTGTCCCCAAGACCTCCTGCCACCGGCGAACCTTGTAAACTTCGGGTAATAGCCTTAAAGTACACCTAGCCTGGTACAGGCGCCGTGGTGACAACACCGGAAATTAGTGACGAATGGCGGCTGTTGTTGTTATTTGTGTGTACGTGTGTGTGTGTGTGCAGCAAACCGAGTTCGATTCCTGCCAACATCGGTGACGAATATCTGAACCTTCTCCTGGACCTCTCCTAGGTCGACTCGGCCTAAAATGAGTACCTGGTGCGGATGGGGTGCTGGGCTACCCACCCCTCCATGTGTCGTGCAGGAGCGTTAATCGGCAGCTCGCACATAGCACTTGCCCCAACAGTCTGCTAAGGCTATGTGGGGGGTCTTTGTGCTCACGTGTACCTCTCTCCTCGCACCAGGAGCCGCGAGATCCGGTCCAACATTTCTGCGGCTTGGCGCATCCGTCTTCCTCATTCTGACAAGAGATGGACACGCAGGTGGGGGGGGTCGCAGGTGGGGGGGGTCGCAGGTGGGGGGGGGGTCGCATGTGGGGGGGGGTCGCAGGTGGGGGGAGGTCGCAGGTGGGGGGGGAGGGTCGCAGGTGGGGGGAGGTCGCAGGTGGGGGGGGTGGGTCGGGGGGGGGGGCCCCGTCACGCGCGGTGGGGGGGGGGGGTCACGCGCGGGGGGGGGGGGTGTCACGCCAGGGCGGTGGGGGGGGGTCACGCGCGGGGGCGGGGGGGGGTCACGCGCGGGGGGGGGGGGTCACGCGCGGGGGGGGGTGGGTTGGGGTCACGCGCGGGCGGGGGGGTCACGCGTGGGGGGGGGTGGTCAACGCGGCGGAGGGGGGGGGGGGGGGTTCCACGGGAGCCGGGGGGGGGGTCACGCGCGGAGGGGGGGGGGGGTGGGTCACCGCGGCGTGGGGGGGGGGGTCCACCGCGCGGGGGGGGTCACGCGCGGGGGGGGGGTCACGCGCGGCTGTGGGGGGGTCCACGGCGCGGGGGGGGGGGGTCACGCGCGGGGGGGGGATGCACGCAGGGTCATGACCTCAAACTAGCACATCCCCGGTCTAACACACACACTTCACGCACTCTACCGCACCCCACACATCCCCCCCCCCCTCGACACTCCTCACCCTGTCGGCTCACCCTTCATTCCTCTCCTCACCCCATCTCTTGACCCCTCACCCCTCCCCCTCACCTCGTACACAGCCCCTGCAGCCCGGAACAGCTCGATGGCCTTGTCCAGATTCACCGTCTCCACCAGCCTGGGGGTCAAGAAGTCACGTGTAGTGTATCCCGGCTGTCCAGTGTGTGTGTGTGTGTGGAGCCCAGCTGTGTGCTATGAGTAACCACCCCAGATATGTGTGGCGTACTCCAGCTGTTTCCCGGCTGTGTGTGACTCAGCTGTGTGTGTGTATCCCGGCTGTATCACGGCTGCGTGTGACTGTTTGAGTATACCTTGGCTGTATGCCGGCTGCGTGCGTGTATCCTGGCTATGTTTGCACGTGTGTGTGTGTGTGAACGTGTTTCTGCTGCGTGCGTGCGTGCGTGCTGCCTGGAAGCCGTACTTGCCGGCGCGCTCCAGCGCGATGGCGGCAGTGTCGGGAGTGCCGTTCTCCAGGTACATGGTGCTCGCGCGCTCAATCAGGTCCACGGCCTCGGGCAGACGCTGCATCTCCTGCCACGCGCGCACGCGCAGGTGCACACGCGCAATACTAAAGCGAGTGGCAGCTATGACGGACGGCACAAACGCGGCGCACGAAGGGGGTGGGTGGCCAGCACGACACCCCCGACCGCCTTTGTCTCCCCAGTGCTGATGTTGTACACGTTGCGCCAGCTCCTCATTTAAGGCCGAGTCGATCTAAGGGAGGCCCAGCACCGGTTCGGGTGTTCACCACCGATGTCGGTAATCTCGGCTCAGCGGGTTCGTAGCGCGGTGCGCCAACCGCTGCGCCACCGCTCTCCCACGCACACAAGCCCGCGCGCACGCACACACGCGCACACACACACACGGGCGTCGTTACCTTCAGCATCATCCCCGCCTGTTCGTACGCCCTGCGACGAGACGCACAAGCACACAATCAACAGGCGTCGGTGTTCACCGCAGCCATTGACAAATACCCGCCGCCCAGATAAACATTCGCGATTGAGCGCCGCGATCCCGCGTGAAGAGCCATTTCCCCGCCTCGTGCCGTTCGCCGTGCGATTACTTCCCGTCTCGTTTGGTGTGGCCGTGGCGGGGCCGCCGCGAGAGCCTAGAATGCGACGCTGCCGTTTTTCTCGGTGCGATTTCCAACAACAAAAGCGTTCCCTTTTGGGGCAGTGACGCGCTACCCGTCGCAGCGCGTCGCGTCGTACGCTTGATCACGATGGCGCGAGTTAACTCAGTTAAAGAGAGTGGCGGGAAGGGGGGGGGGGGTAGGAAGGAGGGGGAGCGGAGCCGCTGCCCCGAACAGCAGGGGCACCACGGTGGGGGTGAGGTAGGTATTTAAGAGGGGGGGGGGGTGACAAGGAAAGGAAGGGGGGTGTAACCAAATCACCCTCAAATAAAATAAACATAAAAGGCGGCTAATGAGCGTTCGTACTTCCCCTCCACCCCTCCGAGCTCGTCTCCCGTCTGGTCGCAAGGGGCTATACGCCTTGTCGTCGGTCCCCGTCTCCCGGTCCTCCATCCAGCTAGCTAATTTCAGGTGTGGTATGGAGGGGGGGGGGGCAATCTGGCCTCATATTCCTCCTCCTTGCCCTTGAGCTTATGGCTCAGATGCTCCATACCCACATGTGCGAGGGGCTTACAATCGGAGTTTGATGTGAACTTTAATTTCCATCGACGTAAACATCGACTCCGCGCGTGCATCACGAGCCCTGGTAACTCGTTTAGCCATCGGCCTCCCAAAAATGCCCTGGTGCTAACCCTGGCTGTCCCTGGGGCCTGCTGTTGTTGGTGCTGGGTTGTTGCTGCCCTGTCTGCCCCAATGTCTTCGTTGATATTGTTGGTGCTGCCCTGGTTACCCGAGGTCTTGTTGTTGTTGTTGCTGCTGTTCCAGCTGCCCCTCTGTTGGTGCTGCCCAGGCTTGCCCCTACATCTCGTTGATGTTGTGTTTTTTTGCTGCCCTGGCTGCCCCTAGGTCTTGTTGTTGGTGTTTACCGCTGCCCCAGCTGCCGCTGGGTTGGGTGCTGCCATGGCTGCCCCTGGGTCTTGTCGTTGGTGCTGGCTCAGGGCTATGCCACAGCGTTGCTCTCTCTCCTCTATTCCACGTTTTTTCTGACCCCATCCCCTGGCACACACCCCACCTTCTAGGATGGGTCGAGCCAACCCCACGCCCAAACAGGGTTTGGACTCGCGACCTTCCGACTGCGAGCTACTCGCTCCACCACTGGGCCACCCGGAGGGATTGTAATACAAATCATCGTTCCTGTCGTTGTGGAGAATATAACAACAATGCATCCTTCACATATCCGTCTGTCCGCATAAAAAAATGTATTTATTACACGACCCCATTTTACACGACGGCCTTTTTGGCACAGCATAGTTTTAGGTGCATTGTTTCAAGACGAGCAAACTCTGGACCAGTGGTTTAAACTCTGACCGTATCATTCCAGTAAGTTTTAGGCAATGTTACAAATTGGCATGTTAATGTCTTGTAGGTGCATTAGTCGAAAGGTTGAGCTTTTATATGGCTGCGGGGGCTGCACGTGATTGGCCGAGTCCACCTGCGACCCCGTACTTGAACTCGGGTTCTGCTACATATCAGGTCAGGAGAGGTTTGACCGCAGCATGAGTAGCAGCCAGAATGTTGAGCGTCCCGCAGTGAATACTTACTTTGCAGAGTGGAAGAGCCTGAGAGCGGAGGTTAAGGATGAAGGTTCACGTATAGGAATGCACTTAACAATATTATTTGTTATACATTTATTAAGCTGGCACGGGTCAGGAGGGACGGGTGGCTTTTTCCACTGCACAAAGCCTCGCTGTGCCACCATCGTCACACGTGACTGGAAGACACGTGCAGTTGACGCGTCGACGCTCTGTTTACATTGTACGTTACAAGCGTTGCGCGCATCGTTAGCCACGTCCCTGGCGCTTCTCGGGCCCCCCGAACCCGATTCAAATGCCTTGCGAGGCCACCGTAGCACGGCCCGGTTCCGGCTCGGCTCTGCAAACAGCCAGCGGTGGAAAGTCACCCATGCCGTGCTGACTGCGTGCTGACTGCGTGCTGACATGGCTCGGATGTACCAGTAGAGAAGGGTTATTGTTGAGCGCGGGGGCAGGGGGGTGGAGGGGTGGGTTACCACTCCCATCAGCGCGAGCGTGGGTTGTGGCCACCGGGCCAAGCAGGATACGCCTGGTTGAATTTGTGCGACTGCGCCTCCTTGAGGTAGGCCTCCTTGGCCTGATCGTACTGCTTGGCGTTCTTAAACGCCACCGCTGAGACACACACACACGCACGCACACACACACAAGAACACAATTACACACTCGCAGGACAAAGACGAAGATCCCCCGTATACCCTTTAACAGACTGTTGGGGCAAGTGCTGTTAGCGAGCACCTATGAAGGATGGAACGGTACACGAGGGGGTGGGTGGCCAGCACCACGCCCGACTGCCTTCGTCTCCCCAGTGGCGATGTTCACACACTGCACCAGGTACTCATTTGAGGCTGAGTAGACCTAGGGGAGGATAATTGTCACTGGTATTGCCCGAGAGCGGGAATTGAACCCGGGTTGCTGGGTTCGTAGCGCAGTGCGCTAACCGCTACACTACCGCTCCCCACGAGTAATAGAACACACGTGTACACACACAGATCCCCATGTAGTCTATAGAGGCTGTGGGGGGGGGACTGCTGTTGGCGAGCACCTATGAAGGCCATGTATGGCACACAAGGTGGCAGTGGAAGCAGAATCAGAAAAGCTTAATATTTATACTGGAGAAATTAAATGAGCTATGATGCTCTTTTTTGTCTAGTAGTTGTTTTCACACACGTCCAGTAGAAACAATGGTGCAAGTTTCTTAAATCCACCCATCCCACCGCTTGTCCACCCAGTGGTATGAATGGGTACACAACAGTCAAGTTAATGGGCGGGCATGTCGCGTGCGACTCTTCCTCCTAAAAATCATCCTCAAATTATGGAAATCTGACTTTCGGAATCGGCAATTGATTGTGAAGATCATCGATTACCGCTATGCAGATTATCATTTAACAACCCTTGGCAGTGGTTGATGTCAGCGGTCAATGTAGGTGTCTGCGTCAAGGGTTTGGGTCAGAGGTTTGTGTTGGTCAGAGGTTTGTGTCAGGCAGGGGTCGAGGTCAGAGATATGGGAAAAAAAAAAGATATTTTTATTTTGCCAGGTAAGGCCCCACTGAGCTATACAGCTCTTTTTCAGCAGTGACCTAGCCACAAATGATCGCTCAACGAAGTGGCTTATCACGTGGAAATTTATAGCAGCCAAATACTCTAAATGCAACGTTGATTCTAAACGTGGAGGGGAAAAAACTGGAGGGACCCGGAGAAGAATCCACGCGACCATGGGGAGATAGACATGCAAATTGTAAACATACAGTAGGCGTTGGGGTCAGGCTCGAACCACGACCCCTCTGTATTACCAGGTGAGGTAGCTAGCATCTCGCCACCGTGGGTCACGAGTTGAGGTCACATATAGGGGTCAGGTTACCACCTGCTTTGCTGAACTCTGAAGCGGCTCCGTCATAGTCCGGCTTCCACTTGAGAAACCCAGTTTTGAGACTGAGGAACAAGGGGGAGGGGAAGGGTGGGGGGGGGTCATGGGGTCACAGGGGGTCACAGGGGGTCACAGGTCAAACTATGGACATCATGTCATGGCCGGCAAAGGGCAATCACGTAGGGCAAGCCAGAAGGGAGCAATATCTCACTGAACATATTCGTGTAGGTGGAAAGTGACGGGTTGCCACAGCCATAGCGAAATGTCATATTGGATGTGGTGTGCCAGGTATGGAAATACTCTCCCACACAGGTACAGTCACCGTCAAGTCACAGGAACAGACACTATCAGTCACTCAGGGAGAGTCACACAGGGTCAGTCACATAGGGACAGTCACTGTTACACAAGATCAGTCACTGTCAGTCACACAGTCATTGAGTCACACAGGGATTGTCAGTCACACAGCAACAGTCACTATCAGTCACAATCACAGTCACACAGGGACAGTCACTGTCAGTTTGACAGGGACAGTCACTGTCAGTCACACAGAGCACGTCACTGTCAGTCACACAGCGACAGTCACTATCCGTCAGACAGGGACAGTCACTATTGGTTACACAAGATCAGTCACTGTCAGTCACACAGAGCGCGTCACTGTCAGTCACACAGCGACAGTCACTATCAGTCACAATCACGGTCACACAGCGACAGTCACAGTCAGTCACACAGAGCGCGTCACTGTCAGTCACACAGCGACAGTCACTATCCGTCAGACAAGGGCAGTCACTATTGGTTACACAGGATTAGCCACTATCAGTCACACAAACAGCGTCACTGTCAGTCACACAGCGACAGTCACCATCAGTCACATTCACAGAGATCAGTCACTTTCAGTCTGACAGGGACAGTCACTGCCAGTCACACAAGATCAGTCACTGTCAGTAACACAGGGAGCGTCACTGTCAGTCACACAGCAACAGTCACTAAGACAGGCTCAGTCACTATCGGTTATACAGGATCAGTCACTGTCAGTCACACAGAGAGCGTCACTGTTGGTCACACAGCAACAGTCACTAAGACAGGCTCAGTCACTAACGGCTACACAGGATCAGTCACCGTCAGTCACACAAGGAGCGTCACTGACAGTCACTGACAGTCAGACAGGATCAGTCACTATCAGTCACATTCACAGAGATCAGTCACTTTCAGTCTGACAGCGACAGTCACTGTCAGTTACAAAGAGCAGTCACACAGCGACAGTCACTGTAAGTCACACAGCGACAGTCATTAACGGTTATACAGGAACAGTCACTGTCAGTCACACAGGGAGCGTCACTGTCAGTCACACAGAGAGCGTCACTGTCAGTCACACACGAACAGTCACTAAGACAGGGACAGTCACTATCGGTTACACAGGATCAGTCACTGTCAGTCACACACGGACAGTCACTGACAGTCAGACAGGATCAGTCACTATCGGTTCCACAGAATCAGTCAGGGTCCGTCACACAGGGAGCGTCACTGACAGTCACCCTGGGGCAGTCACTTCGGCTCCACAGGATCAGTCACTGTCAGTCACACAGGCAGCGTCACTGTCGGTCACCTAGGATCAGTCACTGACAGTCAGTCAGGATCAGTCACTATCGGTTCCACAGAATCAGTCAGGGTCCGTCACACAGGGAGCGTCACTGACAGTAACCCTGGGACAGTCACTTCGGCTCCACAGGATCAGTCACTATCGTTTCCACAGGATCAGTCAGTGTCAGTCACACGGGCAGCGTCACTGACAGTCAGGATCAGTCACCATCGGCTCCACAGGATCAGTCAGTGTCAGTCACACGGGCAGTGTCACTGACAGTCACACACGGACAGTCACTGACGGTCACCCAGGATCAGTCACTGACAGTCAGTCAGGATCAGTCACTATCGCTTCCACAGGATCAGTCACTGTCAGTCACGCGCGGGTCGCTCGGGCATCTTCCTCCCGCACCACTTCTCTGCGCTCGCCAGATGCTCCAGCGCCTCGTTGATCTTGCGGTCCGCCATGGCCTAGAGACAGAAGCGGCGGTGGTGGTGGTGAGGGGGTGGACGAGGGGGTGGACGAGGGGAGACCCCCGGCAGGACCCGGGCGGTTTGCGGGGGGCGGCGGTCGACTCCGTGATGGGGCGGGGGGGGCGACTCCTCAATCCCCTTCCACACTGCGGCGGCACGCGATTGGCCGAGACACAAACCCCACCCACACTCACCTCACGTCACGTGGCCTTCGATCCAGGGCTGTTGACGTCGGACGAGAGCGCGCGGGATTGGCCCGCTGGGTTCCCCCCACCACCTCACCCAATATGGCCGCACGCCGTTCAAGGCGGTGGAGGGGGTGAAATCTCCCGAAGACGTCAGGGCGTTCCCCGTAGTAAGATGGCGGAAGCGTATCGCTGTAAGGCTGCCACGTTGCTGCGTCCGCCGTAGTAAGATGGCGGAAGCGGATTGCTTAGCGTTGCCGCGGCCCCCCCCCGTGGTAAGATGGCGGAAGCGGATCGTTGTAATGTTGCCGCGGTCCCCCGTGGTAAGATGGCGGATACAGATTGCTGTGACGTTCCGCGGTCCCGTGGTAAGATGGCTTCATTAGCCCCCACCACCACCACCCTCCTCGTGACTCTATGTCACGTGATTATACTGAACCAATAATGTGTCGATAACATCGGCATTTAAAGGAAAACACTCAACAGGCGACGTTTCGGACAATGGCCCTTCCTCGTAGCACATATATGATGAGACATATGCCGAGTTTTAGTGAGTTTCTCTCGTGGTGGAGTAATTTACCAATAAAAAATGTGTTAACTTAGTAACACGTTTGCCTTACTCAGTAGCTACTAATAATGTATATATGTGGATATTTAACAAACTGTTTATCAGGAAACAGTTTGACAAAATAATTCTCATCAGGACCCCGTGACGTAAACAAAATGCAGCCTCCGACGCTTACCATCATCCACTCTATCTGGCCTATTTATCTGTGATGAAGGGCCATTGCCCGAAACGTTGCCTATTCTACATATATATTTTTTTCTCCTTTTAAAACCACACACGGAGTGTTACTGATGAGCGCGTTGAGTTTAATGTTAAACGCACGTGGAGGGGTGGGATAATTCACTAGGTAACACAATTTTTGTTCCTGGGTAATAATTGTTATTTTCTAATTGCTTATGCCTCAAAAGTATAGAAAATGGCTATTATTCCCCACAAACTTTGCTTTTGTGACCAGGACTTTACGTGAAGGAATGACACAAATGCACACCACGTTTTCTCATTGAAACTAGATACATTTAAAAAAATATTACTGTCTTGGTCACAAAAACAAAGTTTGTGGGGAATAATAGCCAATTTGTGCACTTTTTAGGCCTAAGCAAATTAGAAAATAACACTTACTACCCAGCAACGCGGCCACGTGTAATCGAGCTGTGGCAAATAAATCGACTTAAAACCTAAATCGACAACAATAATAATATAATAATCGACTGCTCCTGCGGCGGTCCGTTCATTAAATGTGACAATCGGATTGGTTTCGCTGCGCTGCGTGGTCATACGATGAGTTAGCGCAATCGAATGGATAAGTTGGTCCATCCGGTATGACAGGCGCCAACGTTGGCGAGACGTTACCTTAGGGGCCGTCCATAAATGACGTCACGCGGTTTTGGACGATTTTTGACCCACACCCCCCAATCGTCATACGGCGTCACGAAAAGTCAGACCCTCCCTCAAATATGACGTCACAAAGCTCTGCCCCCCCCCCCATAACAAAACATGCTTCAAATCGCGTTAAACTATTGTCATTGTAGTGCGTATTTAATGTGCCGCTGCACTCTGATGTTGTAGGAGAAAACATTTATTAAAAAGTCTATTTAATTAAGTAGAACGTGTTGTCTATATTTATTTAAAGTTGCGCATTTTGATGTGACGTCACATTTCTCACCCCCCCCCCCCCCATCGTCACACATCGTCACAAATGTCTGACCCCCCCCCCCCAGATGCGTGACGTCATTTATGGACGGCCCTTTAATCGCCTGCTGTATTTTTAGAGTTTGCGTGTCTTCCCGTGGCCGCGTGGACATTTACGAACGTTGCATTGAGATTATTTAGATTCTGTTGCTGCTATGAATGTCCAAACGATGGGCTACTTTGTTGAGCTGCTTATCATTTTGTGGTGGCCGGGTCCTGCGGAGGGAGCTGGTAGGAACGTCGGGTTGCTCGGTCAATGGCCAGGGTCACACAGCGGCACCACGGGGTGTATTCCGCACAATATGCCCGACTGTGAGGGCGGGCACAAGCCGGCGTGAGTAGGTTAAACGTTGAGTTTTATAAGGGCACCACGGGGTGACCAGCTCCTCCCCACCCAGCCCCACCCCTCCCACCCACCCCCCCACCCAACCCCACCCTCCCCACCCAGCCCCTCCCCACCCTCCCCACCCAACCCTTCCCCACCCTCCCCACCCAGCCCCTCCCCACCCTCCCCTCCCCACCCAGCCCCACCCTCCCCACCCTCTCAACCCTCCCCACCCAACCCTTCCCCACTCTCCCCACCCAGCCCCTCCCCACACTCCCCACCCAGCCCCTCCCCACCCTCCCCACCCCTCCCCACCCAGCCCCTCCCCACCCTCCCCTCCCCACCCAGCCCCACCCTCCCCACCCTCTCAACCCTCCCCACACTCCCCACCCAGCCCCTCCCCACCCTCCCCACCCAGCCCCTCCCCACCCTCCCCTCCCTCCCCACCCAGCCCCTCCCTCCCCACCCAGCTCCTCCCCTCCCATTTTTGGATGCACGACGGACGGACACAATAATCCCCTGTGGGCTGGTGGTGTAACCAAGAGGTTCCTACCAGTATAAGTTAATACCTGGGTGGGGCTTTGCCTGGTTAGGATGGGGATGGTGTATTTGTATGTGTTTGGGTGATTTGTTAAGCTTACTTGTATTTTTGCACGATCACGCTTTTGTACTGTTTGTTGTAACGTTCTTACCCCGTGCCCCTACCTACTGGACATCTGTGAAAAAAAGAGCTTTAGCGCTCATCGGATTCCTCCAGTGTCAATACAATATTCTGATGCTCAACGTTGGCATGTTTACCGGGTTACTCATTTAAGGCCGACTCCACCACGGGGTGGGGTGGAGGGTCCCAGGACCAGTAACAGATATTCATCGCCACTGTTGTTTGGGGCCGCCCATAAATGACGTCACGCACTTAGGGGAGGGGGTCAGACATTTGTGACGATGTGTGACGAAGGGACAGGGGGGGAGGTTGAGAAATGTGACGTCACATCAAAATGCGCAACTTTAAATAAATATAGACAACACGTTCTAGTTATATTCTTGGTTCTTTCGGTAAAGTCACGTGACTTTACCGAAAGAACCAAGAATATGAATCCCTGCAGTCACGAAAGCTTTAAATCAAAATGTTTTTATATTGTTTTTTTTGGTGGGGGGGGGGGCAGAGATTTGTGACGTCATATTTGAGGGGGGGCTTGACTTTTTGTGACGCCGTGTGACGAAGGGGGAGGGGGTCAAAAATCGTCCAAATTCGCGTGACGTCATTAATGGACGGCCCCTTGGCCGTGAGAGGGAATCTAATTTGGGTTGCCGTGTTGGTGAGAGCGCGGTGCGCTAATCACTGCGCCACCGCTCCTCATTGTAAAGTGCCACGTGACCCGAGAGCCCCCGTGGGGGGGGGGGGAGATCCCGCGCATTTCCTAGGGAATCGATTCATCTTAATCGGCAAGTAACTCAACGCCGTTTTCGATTAATGTATTATAAGCCGCGAGAAAAATCGACACATTGTTCGACACTGGAATCGTTTAATCGATGCGGATGGTGCCATTGCGGGTTACCGTTTATAATCCTGAGGTAAACTGTGATTAAAACTTAAACCGAGAATTACAACGTAACTCGCTTGATTCATTTTTCAGTTTGCAAAGTATAAGCAATATTACGAATAACATCTTTCAATGTTTTTTTTATTGAATTAACTTTATTTTAATAAACGCTAAACTTAAATTTTGTACAACTTAGACGTGTGAAGTGTGTGGTCATTTATTTAATATGAACATCATACAATAGTACCTGTACAAATAATAACAGTGTTACAAAGCGATTCAGCCCATTATCCATCATGGGTATATACAATTAGTACGACTGTGCACTGTGAATAATGTCATAGGCATGTGGAATTTCCACCACCGGCTTGATATTTTTATTCCCTTATGCGTATGTGCGTATCCAGCACTGCTAATTTTACAAATCCACTGCTGTATGAGGGCCTGACCATACTTCACCACGTTGGTCAGTGCGAGTTTGTTGAGGGCAGGTAATTACATGGGTGGTCCAGATGTCTTGTGACCCCCCCTATTTCATTTTTCTAAACGTTAATATATTTTTTAAAGTGAGGTTTCTTTAAAACAAATAAATATGCAAAGGATACAAAAAATATGTTTTGGGTTAACTAATTGGGAGTCGCATTACATCTGGACCACCTTGTAAAGCATGAACAGCTTCCTAGGGGACACTGGGAGACAGCGGAGAGAGATTAAACGGACAGTGGTCAGTTTTTGAAACACAAGCACAGCGATGATTGCATCGATGTTCAAAATACCTTTTGGTAAACGTTCGAATTTTCTTTGTTATGGTCACCTAATTCCTGCCCCCAACCCTGCTCAATGGATCCAACACGAAGCACTTTGATTGATCGATGCTGCGATGCTCATTGATTCATACCAGCCATCCTGTCATTCATTGGCTTCCTCATCACTAATATATAGGTATTAGGACGGCCATAGTTCTTATAAATTTAATATCTTGATACCTCTACTAATGTCAAGGACTCAATTCACTAGGTTGACCGTTACGTACATGTTATGTATATCGTTTATTGTTAAATTTGAATCGCAGTTCCTTTGATTACTGTTGTTAGATTGTTTTTACAGCTTTATGTTGGTGTTTTTGAAAACATGGTTAAGCCATGTTTCTTGCGGAAGTGCGGAGTTGGCCTGATAACTTTAATCGAAATTGTCTTATGGTTGTTATTGTTTGACTTGCATCACAATGGGATTTTTTGCACACAGCGTTGTAATACGGTGGGTTTTTTTTCTGGAAGATTTGCTGGTTTATCCAGGATGTTTCTGTTGCGTGTCGTCGCTTTTAGATGTTCTCTGTTCATATTTTGTTTGTTGCGGTTGCACCCGACTCAAGAGCCGCATGGCTCACAGGGCTATACCTAATAAATGAAACTTGAAAACTTGAAACTTGAAACAATGGATTTTATTGCACTGCCCTAAGCTAACCACCACATATCCTCCTTCCATAGAAATATACATCCTTGAGTTGAGTTATGACAAACCGTGCATCCCCTCCATAATTATTTGCACACTATGATGCCTCTGATTTGTGTTCCCATCCATGTGCTAAATTAAGGCTGATTGTTATAACCAAATAATGCAGAATTTGTGGCTGCGCACTGTTTTCCTTCGCTTTCAGAGAGAGAAAATTATTTACCGAAAGAATCAGAGAGTATGGATTCCTGCAGTCACGACAGCTTCAAATCAAGATTGAGGTGTAGTAAGGCAGGCAAAACCACCGCCAACAATTTCCCAACCTCGAGGTCCTTTTTTTCGGATGTTTGGCCAATTCAGAATCAAAATCTTTATTGCGACTGGAGGAATCCGATGAGCTATGAAGCTATTTTTCACAGATATCCATTTCCATCAATGATTTATGATAATTGTTTTTTTACCCTTTCTGGCAATAAAACGGTTTGTGTTTAAGATGTTAAAACACCAAACAGAAACCTTTTTCAAGGAATCGTGTCAGCATTAACCACTCATACTTGTGGTGAACATGCAAACACAATCATGCTCTGGTAGTATATGATGCATTGTTTTTGAAACTGATTGGTCTGCACCAGAGACAGCTTTCTTTAGAGCCTAGTCTCAAACAGTGTTATACCAGAGAACGCCAATAGGCGAACAGCACCAACACAAATGGCCTGATAAATCCACTTTCTGTACCGCTATCAGACTGGCAAGCAAGGTGATGGCGACGTTGACACCGATTAGTAGCGAGAGAGCTTCACAAATGTATGATAACCACCAACCCACTCCACTCCTCCACAATGCTGGATTAGGGATTTGTGCAAACATGGAATGGGTCCGGTCATCAGGATCTTTGGCCATTTCCATCAAATGTATTGGGAGGCGATAATAAAATTACGTAACCTGAAATAATTACTCTCGTGAGTTATTTTATGTTTTTATATATTGCAGACGAGCCAGCCGCGTGTCAGCAGGAGGTCATGCAGGGCACCAGGGCGTCGGGGTCGGCGCTCTTCTTCCTGAGCCTCCCCGAGTTTGACCGCTTGGTCAGGACCATACTGACGCTGAACCTGCCGTGTCACCCGGGTCCTCACGACGACAATCGGGCGCAGCAGATCCTCCGATGCCGGTCCGTGACCTCGGACTCCACAGAGGACAAGAATTTACACTTATCTGGCCCGATGGCTCAGCAGTAGAGCAAGCGGCTCGCAATTGGATGGTTGCGAGTTGAATAACTTGATAGCCCATCATCCCTCCCGGGGTAGATAAAATTAGTAATGGGTTGTGGGGAAGTGAAAAGAAGTGGTCCTATGAATGTATCTGCCTCATGAATGTGGAATTTCCTTCACCGGCTCAGGATTGTAAACAGGATATGACTGCCACCTCAATGTTTGTTTGAGCAGAAAATCACTTAGGGCGTTCGATAATTACCTTTTACAAACGGTGTCTGGAGTTCCAATCTCCATCTAACTCATCTCATTGTTGGTGATCATGCATGATTTGTTGTTAACTGTCAACCAGCTCTGTAGCCTTCTCAAGGCGAAAATGTAAAGCCAACAAAGCACAACCATAGCGCCTTCATGATAGCATTTGTGCTATAAGAATGGCGCATATACCAAATGTACTGATTAATCAATTAATCATTCACATATCAGAACTTACTGAGAACTCATTGGAAACCGATGTCTATTCTTGCAAGCGAGACCCGGTTTGTTTTGTGTTCCTTAGGGAGCTGCTGTTTCTCAACCCAGAGGTACTTACAGCCCCGCTGCTTAACACAACAAACAATATCATCATCGTTACATCCGTAAGTGCACAACATCCTCACAGCACACGCATTGCGCACAGTGAGCAACATACAACCGTACAGTCTGATTTAATATTCGGGCTGTTGTTTCCACATTAAGTGATTACTGGTTCATGAATTTCGGACCCAGTAATTCTAAAAACTTTACAACCATATTTTAGGGCGCCGCGGTGGCGAGATGTTAACTACTTCGCCTGGTATACCGGAAGTCGTGGAGTTCGATCCCGACCCTGATGCCTGTATATATGGAGTTTGCATGTGGTCGCGTGAATTTTTCTCTGGCTCCTCTGCTGTTTCCCTCCACATTTAGAATCAACGTGCATTTTAGAGTATTTGTCCGACATACATTTCCACGGGATAAGCCACTTAATTAGGCTATCATTTGTGGTCATGTCGCTTATGAAAAAGAGCTAAAAAGCTCAGTGGGCCTTACCTGGTAAAATAAAAATAGTTTAGTTTTATATAGAATTTTAATATGGGGAATGCATTGTGAGCAGCAGAGGGCAGTGCAGAACAGCATTGGGTGTTTGATTTTTTTTAAATATTGTTGATTGTTTTTTCCATCAGATAAGTTTCCTCAAGTCTGGAAAAATCCAGGGATTCGTGCAACGTGTCAGGGCGAAGGTGAGATATATTCTGGTGTATGTGTGGGTAGTGGTGGTGTAGCAGTTGGCACAGTAGGGGGCACAGGTGGTGCATCAGCCAGTCGTCGCAGTCGACCCGTGGCACCTGGGTCTGCCCCGTGACCTGTCAGCGGGCGTTCGACACTTCACGTGGCCTCCAGGTGCACATAGCCCGGCACAAGCGTCGTGGTGACGTCACCACCACTTAGTGTAGCTGTTAGCGCACTGCACTATGAACCCGGGGAGCTGAATTCAATTCCTGGCCATGGCTAAAATCATTGCTTACGTCGACTCGGGCTTAGATGAGTACCTGGTGCAGTGTGATTCGGCATGGTGCTGGCCACACCAACTCCTTGTGTGCTCTTACGGCCTTCATATGTGCTCACTCATCACACTTGCGCCAACAGTTTGCTTTAGGCTTTTGGGGATATTTTCATGTTTTTTTTCTGTGTGTGAGTATAAGGAATGTGACATTCATTTTAAGATTCTAATATTCCGAGAGAAAAAAATATCCCACAAATCGCGCCTAGGTTACAAACTTGAGTATAATTCAACAAAAGTTTTGTTTTGGATTAATCCGAAGTATGTCACAGGAAATGACATCACCTGTCACTTCCACATGTTTCCCGCCAGAAGTGGTGTCACGTAAGATCGGGTGACATCACTATTGTTAGCACGAAGACCGGGCTAAATGTTTACATTTTACTGATCCACAAATGGCAAACAACATCCGAAATTGTCCTTAAACATCTGAAAATTATACATTTTATGTCTGAAACCGATCCCTAACAAATATATGTCGAGTAGGTTCAAATGAGCCGCAGACGTACTCTTGGCAACACATTTATTTAACACTAACACACGGGGTAACTGCCTCTTAACAGAATAACAATGTATCGTGGTGACAACCAGGCTAACTACACCAATTACAACGTAGCTTGTGACTACGGACCGGACCACAGCTCGGGTCCAGGTCCACGTGTAGTAGACTCGGTAGAACGTAGACATAGACAAAGGCTTCTTCAGGATGAACGACAACAACCCCGGTCCCTCTGGGGACACGGTTTATATTCTCTGCAGCGTGGCTGGCTCTGCCCTTGGCCACGACCACTTTCCAGAATCCCTTAAGACGGATCTGGACCCGGACCACGTGACCACCCCGAGCCCCCACTTGGAGCCCGTTTGTAGACTTAACCGGTCACGTGTCCTCTCGGGTCAACCAGAGCCTTTAGTAACCCCTACGGCCGGCACTCCCACACCCTATCCTGTAGGGCTGTCACTGCACGCCAAGCGTGATGTCATCCAGCGCTATCAATGAGCGCTGACCGAGCCCCTCTAGGGCCGGTACTACACCCACACCATAGTGGTATCCGCGATGTCGTTACATCGCACGCCGTGCCTCTCTAGGGCTGGCACTGTAGAGTGACATCCTGCGATGTCACTACATATGTATATATTGTGTGATGCAGGTACAGGATGTTCAAAGAGCTATGCCGGCCGAGGTGCAGATGTGTCTCACCTACACGCTCATCGCTAGACTAGCGCCAGGGTGGAACAAAGTCGGAGACCTCCTTGTACAAGGTCAGACGCGACGACGGTGGTGGTAGTGGTGAAGATGGTCAAACGTCACTCAGCCAGTACGGGTGTCCCTCGATTTACGAAAGGGATGCGGTCTTAACAACAAAAAAACGCGTAAAACGAAATGTCGTAAAAACCAAATGGTTTTTATCATTAATGTAACGCAGACAATTAGGGATGTGTTTCGGACAGTCATTCCATAACCTAAGAATCTACACCTATATCACGTTGCACAATTGAAAAATAATAAATAACATAAGTATGAAAACGATTGAATAATAATTAATGGAAAAGATAAATAATTAATCTTTTCAGGGAACTCACCAAAAGATTTGCACGTAGGAATGACTGGTAAGGTGATGTGGAGGCGTTACTGTTGCACTGCAGGGATACTGTGACGCTGTCGTGGATGGATGACGCAGCCTCCCGGGTGCTTCTTGTTTGACCTCATGTCAGGTGCCGTGTTAAATTTTGTTTACACGGAAATTTCGTAAACCGAACGTTCGTAAATCGAGGGATACCTATACTCTCTTGGTTCTGGGTATGATGATGAGATAGTTGGACGTGCTCCGTAGCACGAAGGGGTTTTTTGTGGCCAGTGGATTGAGAAAGGTTGGAGTTGGTGCAACATTTTTAGAAAATCCATATGGCCGCGCCTAATGCCCAGGACAACGCCTGAAGACATTTTGAAGCCGCTGAAGAAGTTGAGGTAAGGGTGGCATTGACGTTGAGGTAAGAATGGTGATGAAATAATCAAGGCGAATGCTGACAATGCTACAAGCCAGAGTGTTTGATGTGTCCGTGGTCAACATTGAATGGATGTGCCATGAGGCCCTGATATGGTGGTTGCATATCTTCAATGCGTTGAGGATTTGGTTGTCGAGTGAAAATATAAAGTCAAAGGTGATATCGAGAATTGATGATAATGATGGTGGTGATCGTAGCAGTAGTGATACTGATTACGGTGACTGAATGATAATGATTAATATAATGACTGGATGGGGATGGTGCTGATTGCGGTGAATGATGGTGGTGGTGGTGATGGCGATTATAAAAGTACAATGGGTGGGGGGCTGAGTTACGGGTCCCAGGCTAGGACTCGTACCTCAGCATTTACAAACTTTTGAGCCTGCGTGTCAAACCCATAACATTGTCTTCACGTAGTTTTGTCAAGAGTATTATTCACAACATGTCGGTAATTGTGTCACAACAGGGAGGGAATTCATGATGAAGACGTGCAAACAAAACGCTGTGGGTAAGTCGGAGAGGAAACTGAGGGTTCAAAAATATGAGCGATTGATGAAGTACACTTTATTTGATAGGGGTTTATTTTGTGTGCAGTCATTCATGTCGAAGCTGACACAATCAACTAGCTACACTTGAGAACCCAGTTTAATCATAGGTGGCTGAAATCCAGATTTAGACCCAGGATCTCAGTGTTTGCCAGCTTAGTGTCTGAGCCATTCAGCCACCTCTAAGTGGGAAACCACTTTGAATTTTAAATTCACTTATCAATCCAATAATTAATTTAATCTGGACACACCACATCTAGTACACCTCTTGTTATGGCTGTGGCTACTCGCCTCGTGCCATCCACTCGAGTCTATCAGCGACCCAGAAAACACTCTGGGAAAAATGAAGCCCTAACTCGAAACCCAATACATGGTACGGTATATCTATAAAAAAATGCATTCTCCCCATATTTGTCTCTTCACATACCAAAAGTGTTTTTTAAACAACCCATGGAGCCGCAGGAAATTTTATGCGCATCAGCAGAATTGTTTCATCACAAGCAAACTCTGCAGATGAGTTTTGACATTCATTGTTGAATCAGCAGAGCCAGGCAAGGACTGTTATAGTAAGGAATGGGTTCCTAGTTTTACGCAAAACCGTATAAAAACACACACAACACAATCGCACAGCATTGTTGTCCTGGTAATATCCGATTGTCTTGGCCAGGTCTGCAGGTGAATGTGACTGACAAACAGGTGTGCATCGCCGTTGACGTATTCACAGTCCGGCTTCCTCCTCCCGCGGTAACCAGTCCTTGAAACAACCCACCACGGTCCACTTTTCTATGTTTACCAATATTCCCCCCACCCAAAACAAAAAAAACACATTCATCTACTACCTTGCCTTGTATACAGGAGGTCGTGGGTTCAATCCCGACCCTGATGCCTGTTAATTAGGAGTTTGCATGTTCTTCCTGTGGTCGTGTGCATTTTTTCCGTGTCCTCCGGTTTTTGCCTCACACATTTAGAAACATGCTTTGAGAGTATGTGGCTGCTATTCATTTCCACATGATAAGCCACTTCATTAGGCTATCATTTGTGGCCAGGTTGCTTCTGAAAAAGAGATAAATAGCTCAGTGGGCATTACCTGCTAAAATAAAAATAGTAAAAAATATATAATAGGTGTAGTATTGGGAAATGGCTCTTCTTCATAGGACGCAGAGGGCCCATAGAAACAGAGTGAATATAAGAGTTGGAGACTGCATGATAAATAAATGTTAAAAATGTTTCCCGATGAACAGTTTTAAAATTGGCGTATGAACAGTAACACGAGCAGTAGCTCTGAAGTAACAGACAAACCCTTCAGCAGTCAAAAATATATTGCGAAATAAACTAACATCTATTAAAAGTTACATTTCAAAATGTTGCTGCCACATTTTATTATGGGTAACTATGTTGAATTGAGCTCAATAAAACCATAATACACTCTACCCCTCTGACCTCCCTATGTGCTGTGAAAAAGGGTCGTTGCCCAAAATGTTGCATATTATATATATCTTATTTTGCTTTGTAAGGCATTGTTATTGATGAATATGTTGAGCTAATTGTGCCAAAACAGAGTTACCAGATTATTTCTTAAATAATCCACTTAATAATGCATTTCTGGGCCCAATTATTATTTCAATAACATTTCAGAGTCTCTGGAGAAATGTTCTGATCATAGGGACTTTTAAATGTTTAAAGTTCCTGAAAATTGCATGCAGGACAGAGGAATTTACAGGAGGCAATTTGAAAGCAAGTTTTATTCAGTCTCTTTTGACATTGCTATCCAATTTGACTGAGAAACTCAAACATATAGTGTACCACTTTTTATTGGTGTTGACACCATTCAAATAAAGGTTTAGAAGATACATGCTTCAGGAACCTGATGATTGGTGAACACACAGTACGCCTTCCACTAGATTTCCAAGCTCACTACTTGAAGAAGCTGAAAGTGCTTTGAGCGAAACGTCATCGTATGTTGATGTTTAAATCAGTCACGAAAAGTACTACGCCACCGGTGAGCAACTATATTGATCAGAATTTTATCAATAACGATTGGCACATATAAAAAAAAGTCTGTGAATATGACAAGCGTGTGTGGTGGTGGAGGGTTAATGACTAGGATTTTGTCATGAAATTACCACGTGACCAAACCCAAAAACAATATACATCATTATTTTGGCAACGGAAACCTAGGTTTTACTTTGATGATGAAGCTGAAGATGATGGTACATTTCTTGCTTTCTCACCTGTGCAAGCTGGAGGATTTTAACATCTCCACTGCGGTCATTCAGAGGTTCCTGGCATCAGACTTTGCAACTATATCTCCTGCCTCTATCTCCAGCCGCTGGTGCTATGTTCTACCAAGGTGTGTATGCGTTGGGCATCCAGTCATCACCATTATCATCGTCATTTGATGTCCTCTTGGGTATGGCTGGATGAATAGGAACTTATAAGTCTCTGGCTATTGAACGGTGGCACCAAAGCAATTCATCAACTGATAACCAACACTGTTGAATGACTAAAGCAGCTAGACAGAAAGTTTGTAACATTTGTAACCATACAAAAAATCACTTGCTTATCTCTGCCACGCCATATGAAAAAAGATGCCTGGTTAATTAAAGTGTGTTCATAAAATGTGGTTGGAGCTGTGGTTAACACATTGCACTAGCAACCTAGAACCTAGCAACCTGAGTTTGATTCCCAGCCATGGCCCGCATCAATGGTGACTGATATTTTACGAATGGATTTTTCGTCTTGTGACATGATGCCGATGGCATGATTGAAATACGTTTTGGGGTGATTTTAAAAAAAAACTACTTTTGTGTTTGTGCCTCTCTCAGCATGAAGAAAGGAGAGATTGTGTCAGTCACTCACGCACTCCTGCCCAAGAGTTCTCTACAATCCTACAATGACCTGCGCAAGCACTGGAAAAATATGGTACTTCTTTGGCAGTGTTTTCTCAACGAAATTAGTGATGTGGTGGCCGCCCTCTCATCCGTGTTTCCCTCCTTTGCCTGGCACTCCGTTGTCACATGAAAGAAACAATTATCAAAAACACCTCTTTGAAAGTATTTTGGGTGCTAGTTGTTGGTGAGTTGGGAGATGAGTCTCTGTGTCTCGCCTAAGGGGAGCAATCGTGCAATGGTTAGCGCGCTGCGATACAAACCCGGCAACCCGAGCTCGATTCCCGCTCACAGCCACCATCAGTGACGATTATGTGAATTGGTCCTGGGCCTCCCCTAGGTCGATCTACTTTAAATGAGTACCCGGTGCGGTGTGTAAATATCGCCACTGAGGAGACAAAGATGGCTAAGCGTGGTGCTGGCCACTCATTCCCTCATGCGCCGTGTTTGCCCTTCATAGGTGCCACTCGCTAACAGCACTTGCCCTAACAGTCTGTTCAGACTATACGGGGGTTCTTTGTCTTTGTGTGTCTCACCTGGTGTGTGCGTTTGTGTGTCACACCTGTGTTTTACTGGAATAGCACGGCTACCGCCTGCCGCAAGAAGAGCAGGACCGGACCATTTATTGCCACATCAACTTCAAACTCCTTGGAGAACGGCTCTTCAGGTGAAACGAAAAATAAGATTCCAAAACTTTTTGAGCTTCCTCCCACGGAGGCTCGTATGGTAGCAGCGGCGTGAGCAAGCAATCGCAGGGCTGTTATGGTTGTTTGAATAAGGTGGAGGAGCTGGCATGCAGTGGTTCAAGTGCTGCACTGTGAACCCAGCGATGTGAGATGGATTCCCGGCCATGGCTAATATCGGTGGATATGAGTGGTTTGAGAATAATGAAATGCAATGATGCGAGATTAGATGGTGACGACGAAATTTATGAAGATAATAATAATGATTGTAAGCTTTGCATTTTTATGGCGCGTAAATAGCACTGCAACTCAAAGCTCCTGACATAATATCTTACCTCAAATATTCCAAGAACACCCCCAGTGGCAGCTGTCCCTGTGCGACATAATGTCTGCCAGTAGGGGTGGGGTGGGGGGCAGCGGTGATTGCTCTGTGTAATCCCAATTGAATAATTTGCAGATCACTTTTTAAAATCGACAAATTTGGACCGTGACGCCATCACCCGATGGCCTACTCATTTCGAATGAGACCACATGATCTTTAACGTCCACAGTGAAGCAGATGGCGTGCAGAAGTTATCATAAATACACCCGCAGTATTTACCAGGGCGATCTTCCCTATTTGAACCACGAATCTCCTCAACGAGGGGCGAACGCGCTACCGCTGGGCCATGCCGTGATCACCAAAAACAACAACCGCCGTTCACCACTGAGGCAGCGACGTCACCGCGGCACTTTCTGACGCCACGTGAAGTGTCGTTAGGGCCTGCTGGCAGGAGATCACGGAACAGACCCAGGTGCCGTGCTCCTCTTCCCTCCTCTCTCCCGCACAGCTACCCGCTGTGGTCCCTGCGCAGTGATCCGGTGCAGTTTGTGGGCCGTGGCGATCACGGTGGCGTGCTGCACACCTTCCTGGGCGACCTGCGCAGCCGCCTGCCGGCGCTGTGCGGCTTCCCCATGCGCCTGACCTCCTCGCCCCTTTACTGCACGCCCGAGCTCTCCTCCGTGCGGCTGCGGGTGAGAGACAGACTCCCTTAGCTTCCTTCCGCTGGCACGTCCTAACCGAGGCATCTCAGGGAACGCCCCTCGAGGTACCGGCAAATTACCCCTGGCTATTAGCAGTGCCGGATTAAGCTAGTGCGGGGCCTGTAGCATATGTTATAAAGGGACCCTAAATAAAAAAAAAAACACTCGGATGTATTTTTTCATTTTATATACAGCCAGATAATACGACAAATCGCTAACCTTAAACAGCCAGTCGTTCATAAAAGTTGAAGGCAGTATAGTATTATAGTAAGTGCAGAATCACTGAACCGGAATTGATAGCTTGAAAGCATTTAGCGTGGGGCCCTTGAAAGTGCGGGGCTCGTAGCATGTGCTACTTTTGCTCCTGGGACAATTTGGCACTGGCTATTTGTCGAGTCATGCCACAAACCCAACCGTGATACGCTGGCCTCACGAGGCATCTAAATGTGGTTCAGGCCTATGCAGTGCCAGGAGGTTTGGGTTTATGATGCATTCCTTTTGTGGGCATCCTGCGATGACTTGGACGTCACCGTGTCATCTACTCACGTCTTGACCCGTTCTGCGTGAGGTTGTTTTTGTTTATTCTTTACAGGAGGCTCACAGCTCCCAGCCGGTGAATCTGTCAAGTAAACCTCCTCCTTCCTACAACAGTACTCCCCACTTCTTCTCTTCCCAAGTGCAGCAGTCGTCCATCTCGTTAAACCTGAATCTTAGCGACTTTGCCAAAATGTTTGAAAATATCAGCTCTCCAGTTTCCACATCCCCTAACTCGCACCAGAACCGTAGCATAACCGCAGCACAGCAAAAGCCGCAATCCAATGATGTTGCTGCTAAGCTTACAACAACATCATCATCTTTAACATCATCATCAACATCATCGTCGTCATCACCATTGCAGCAGAGGCCCAAGCCACAAAATGGGTGGGTGGCATCATCTTCTCAGGGGCAGTTAGGCAAGCCGAGGACGTGGCAGCCGGGCTCAGGGTCGGCCATTATGAACGCCACGCAGCCGCCAAGTCTGTTGGACAAACCGCGCACGTTGCTGGGACTGCCAGTGTTCGGCGCGAATGCGGGCGACGCGTTCCTACCGATCTTCAAAGGACGCTTCAAGACGAGCCAGCGTCCTGCGGGCAGGTCAGAGCCACCAAAGAGGATGAACTTCATGCAGCACCTGTTGTCTGGGAAGGACGGTGGAAGTGGTGGCGGCGGTGCCGGTTGTGGCGGTGGTGATGGAGGCGGTGAGGGTGGAAAAAATGGCGGACGAGTGGAAAAAACAAAATTGTTTGTCCCCACGTTCTCGAAAGTCAAAAAGCAGGTGAGGAAACTGGTGAAGGAGGGAGCGCACGGTTAGCACTGTCAGAAGTTCGTGGCAGACTGGCGCAGCACGCAAGGGAGCGGGTTCACCAATTGCGGTAGTCTACGGCGGACTCTGGGATTGGTAGTGGAGTAGTTGGTTGATGTGTTGCGCTATCAATCTGGTTTTTCCCGAGTTTGATTCCGGGCCGCAGATAAAATCAGTGGCGAGTAACGTATCCACAAAGGTTTGGTTCTTCCCCACTTTACCGACCTGCCCTAACCCGTATGGTGAAGTACGGCCTAACAACCCCTATGCCCGACACGGTATGATAGAGACCCTCACACAGAAGTGGATTGATATAAAGGGACTGTAATTACAATTATTTTATTATAAATGTTTGAGGCAGGAGCTAAGCCCTGTTATATATGACACCCGCCCATACGCTAACAAACGCTGTCACATGCCCCACCCCGCCCCCACTCTTGTGTTGGTACAGCCCGTGAGCAGTACCATCTCGACCATGCCAGACAAACCAACGAGGCAACAGGGGGGGGTGACTTCCCCAGCCAACGCTGTGGTGACGACGAAACCAATCTCCGCGAGACGCCCTCTGCCGCTCTCCTTCACCGCCACCACGACCGCCCCTCCCGACGAGACCGTCCCAACTCGCGACGCAGTCGGCCCCGCCGCCTGGCAGACGCTGGGGTTGCTCCCTGTCGGAGGGGCCTCTGGTCGTGGCCCCCCCCCCCAAACTCTCAACACTTACAAAGCCCAAAGTTGCACCGGCCGACTGCTCGACCGCCGCGGTGAAGAGGAAAGCGCAGGCGCAAGTGAGCGGGGTGTTAGTCGCATGTGTTGCCGACCGCTGTGTTCCACCGGTTTTAGTTGTCGGCTAACACTATGTGATTCACCAACCCCAGCCTGAAAAAGCTGCGGATCGCAGGTTGTGTGCCACCACATACAGCATTCACGCTATATTTTCACCAAAAGCGTTTGAACCAATTTCTCGACAATTCCCAAAGGAGCAAAAAAAAAATCTAGATTTCAAGTTTTCGTGACTGCAGGGATCCATTACTCTTTGGTTCTTTCGGTAAAGTCACGTAGGTATAAAATAAAATTAAATAAATGAAATCACGACGTTTTGGGCGCAACACAAGCGTCCGTCATCAGGTGGGACAACCACAGCAAGAAACAATTGCTGAAGTGGGCAAAAGGGTTGCTGTAACAAGAGGCTATATAGGTATGAGAGCGGGGGGAAAAGCAAGGGGGAAAAGATAGAGAGGTGGGGGGTAGGGGGGTGCTGAGAAAACGTTTAGAGGACGAGGAGACAAAATACCGGGGGGGGAGGGAAATGGGCGGGGCTGGGAGTGGGGAGCTGAAGCAACAGGAGATGCGGGGGGGTGGGGAAGTGAGCGGGGCTGGGAGAAGGGAGCTGAAGCAACAGGAGATGCGGAAATGAAGGCAACACCATAAAGCAGTTAAGGTTTACCTGGTTAATAACATCCTTCCAATGATGGCTCAATCTGTATCCATCTTCTCGGTTGAAGTTATGTTTATATATCTGGATGGCTTCATGAACAAACCTTTGATAGTAGCCCGAAGGTTTGCAGAGTACCTTGGTCTCGGAAAAAACAATATCATGAGAGCCCACAGCGTTATAGCAATGGTCAGCCACGGCGGAGGTATTAGTCCTGCCGTGTTTCAGATCTGACTTGTGCTCTCGAACACGGTCCGAGACATGTCGTTTCGTTTGCCCAATGTAACACCCACCACAGGTGCAGCTTAGTTTGTAGACTCCAGGATATATTGCATGTCAGGAATGACATCCTTCAAGATGGGATTAGATCACGGATTTGGTGTACTGTACTGAATCGGACCGGGATCTTGTGTTTTAATATTTTGGAAATCTTCTTGGTAACGCCTGCTATGTATGGTAACGTGATGGTTTTGATCGGAGTCTCAGGGAGTTGTTTCTCCATGGTCTGGAGAAACAACTTTGCGAATAATACGGTCCGAGTACCCAATAATCTTGAGGGCCTGGTGTACGTGTTCCAAGTTCACTGGCTAGGTGGTGTTGGTCAGAAATGCAGTGAGCCCTATGGTGTAGTGTTTTGATTAGGGAATTCTTCTGTGCCAGATGGTGGTGGGAATCAGGTTTCAGATAGGAATCTGTGTGGGTGGCTTTCCTGTAGACAGAGTGTCCCAACGAGCCATCAGGTCTCTTCTCAAACAAAACATCCAGGAATGGTAGCTTACAAAAAAATAAAAATAGAAATTACCCTTTTCGGCAGATGTTCAAACTCATTTCTAGAGAATGTATTTGAGTGTTCAGTTTGTTGTCCTTCTCCTGCACCTCCCATTAGCACGGTTGGCTACGTACATTGCTGAAGAAGTCCAACATACATACAAACACCAAATAGACACCTACACTTGCCTGTTATTTTTTCTACCATAATGTAGATACTGGCAAAAAAAAAGGTCCAAAAGAACCGTTTTGGATGTTCTAGTTTCCACTTAGCTGAAGTGTGGGCCTCCAAGGAGGCTAACGTTGATGTGGCAATACACTGGTTTATCCAGGATGTTTCTGTTGCGCGTCGTCGCTTTAAGATGTTCTCTGTTCATATTTAGTTTGTTGTGGTTGCACCCAACTCAAGAGCCGCATGGCTCACAGGGCTATACCTAATAATTGAAACTTGAAACCACACCGAGTGACCGAGCGCAATTATTTTTGCGCTTGGCGGAGTTCACTCTCGGGGTCTGCGTGTCTGCGAGCCAGGTGCAAGATACGGAAACCAAGCCTAAGAAATCTCGCCCCAAGCCGACTGTGCAACAAGTCAACGTGGAGGAGATGGCAAGTAGTGACCAGGTATGGTGATCACTCACTCATGCACTCGGTCACTCACTCAGACACTCACTAGGTCACTCGCTCGCACACTCCCCCGGTCATCATCCTTACCACTATCACCACGGTCATCGTCAACACCGCTACCGCCGTCACCACTGCCAACAATGCTGTGACCACCACCGCCTCCGCCGCCATCACCACCGTCAACACCATCACCCGTCTGTCTCCCCCCACCCGCCCGTAGCTGAGCAAGGTGAACGCCGTGACGCTGCTCTCATGGCTCAAGGGCCGTGGGATTGCCGCTCGCTCGGCCGACAGGAAGGAGGAGCTCATCAGGAAGGTGGTTGCATCCATCAACAGCGGCAAGAGCAAGAGCAACAAGGGTAGCAATGATAGCAACAGCATCAGCAAGTTCTTTCCCGAGTTGTGAACAACCTGCCGCGCTTAGGTCTAGCTTGAGGGAGCGACCAGTGTGTCAATGTTCGTCAGTTGAGCAAAACTCATCTTTACGCTGTGGATATACGTTGCGGTGACTTGCGAGCGTAAGGACGGATGGGCTACGATTCATATGCACGACGTGTGGCGGCGTCGAGGCTCGTACGCAACCTGGGTTTGAATTTCTCCCGCGGCTAACATCAGCCGTGAGCGATGTCTGAACCGGCCCTTCTCTTGCCACGTTATGTTCCCAACCTCAGGAGTTGCTCACCTTGCCCTCCTCCTTGTTTGTACACGTGTGTACCACCCATGGAGTTCAATGGCTGTTCAGTTACATTTGAAATAGTTGACTCTGCCTAGCAAGGTGCTTTCGGGTTGACGTTTCAATACACCAAAGTTCTGCTCGGGTGTTAATTGCTGTGGAGCATTGCGTTACGAAAGTTTGTTGCTTGAGACCTGAGGTGGTTGGGTGGTGGCGCGGAGACTCAGGGGTCAGAGACGCTTAGCCGGCACAGCTGAGAGATCTCGAGCTCAAATTTGGGTTTTAACCTCCCATCCGTGATTACAGCAGGTTTTTTTGCGGTTAGAAGTGTGCGCAAGTGACCGACTCTTGTGGTGATGTCACTTCTTTTCAACGTGAATAACCACTTGGCCACGATACTGTTAATCATTATCAAGATGGCATCATGGCCAAAACTGCTGAATCCACCACCGCACCTCATCGCATTGCGTTACAATGTTATCTACCGTCCGCTCGATGCTGCAGCTGCTGCGCAGTAGGGACGCGCAGCGACCTCCAAGATCAGCCCTGACACTCTTCCACCATCTGCTCTTAAGTACACTCACAAAGACCCACAGACTCACACAGAGACCCATAGCTCTGACATAATAGTCTCCCAACATCTGTTATATACACTCATACAGAAATCCACAGACTCACACAGAGACCCACAGACTCGCACAGAAACCCACAGACTCACACAGAGACCCACAGACTCGCACAGAAACCCACAGACTCACACAGACCCACAGAATCATACAGAGATCCACAGACTCACACAGAGACCCACAGACTCGCACAGAGATCCACAGACTCTCACAGAGACCCACAGACTCAGACATAGACCCACAGACTCGCACAAAAACCTACAGACTCACACATAGACACACAGACTCGCACAAAAACCCACAGACTCACATATAGACCCACAGACTCGCACAGAAACCCACAGACTCACACATAGACCCACGGACTCGCACAGAAACCCACAGACTCACACAGAGACCCACAGACTCGCACAGAAACCCACAGACTCACACGGACTCACAGACTCAGAGATCCACAGACTCACACAAAAACCCACAGACTCACACAGACCCACGGACTCGCACAGAAACCCACAGACTCACACGGACTCACAGACTCAGAGATCCACAGACTCACACAAAAACCCACAGACTCACACAGACCCACGGACTCGCACAGAAACCCACAGACTCACACAGAGACCCACAGACTCGCACAAAAATCCACAGACTCATACAGAGACCCACAGACTCGCACAGAAACCCACAGACTCACACATAGACCCACAGACTCGCACAGAAACCCACAGACTCGCACAGAGACCCACAGGCCCGCACAGAAACCCACAGACTCGCACAGAAACCCACAGACTCGCACAGAGACCCACAGACACACACAGAGGCCCATAGACTCACACAGAGACCCACAGACACACAGAGACCCACAGACTCACACAGAGACCCACAGACTCACACAGAGACCCATAGAGTCACACAGAGACCCATAGATCTGCCCTGACAGTCTCCCAGTGTCCACTCTGAGGTTTCCTCTTCCCCGTGGGCACCAGACTCGTAGTGACCGCTCCCAATGCCGGTCTTGGCTATCGGCTCTCAGCCCCCCCAATCCTGCACACGCGTCCCACGTTAGAGTTGTCTCACCTGTAATTGTTTTGCTACGGTGTGATTCGTCAATAAATTTCCCAGATAATCTCGTCTTCCTCTTGCAATAACTCTTCCAATCGCCTGATGGCCTCCTCTCCCCAGTTCTGTTTTTGCAAATCACATGTCTTAGAAATGTAACTGCCTCTTTGACAACTGCAGGATATTCAACAGCCGCATTCAGGATTGTAGCGACCGGTAGCGTGATGAATCAAATACGTGACCAAAAAAAATCGCTTCAATCTCCATCTGTCATTTCCTTTTAGTGACAGGTTGTGCAACTGGTTGCAGAGACGCCCACGTGGAAGCGTTTCGGACGCGTGCAACCGAGTTGCGCAACTGGTCTCTCAGGTGTGGACTTGGCCGAATGAAACGGCGAATGGATAAAAATAAAACAGCAGGTCTGTGAAAAACTTCACAAAGTATTGAAGGCTGATCGGGATCAAAACTGAAAGAGAAACGAGCACGGTGCAGAACATTTGGAAAGCCGTTCACTGGGGTTGGTTAGCGCACTGCACCCTTGGACTGAAGTTCGATTCCCTGCCACGCCTTGACGTGGGAGGGCGAGTGATATCCTGTGCCTTTCCCGCCAACTTCACCGAAGCCGCACCACTGAACAAGGTGGTCAAGTGTTGTGCAAAAACACCCACGTGGACACCAGGGTCACCAACAGTGGATAGGGGGTGGGGGTAAGGTGGCAATTTTCCTTCGGGGCTCCCCGCACAAAAGAGGGTCTCACAACGGGTCCGTTGTGTTTGTCGCTACTTATTAAACTTTACTTAAAAAAATATACCAGGTAAGCCTCAAATGAGTACATGGCGCGGTGTGTAAACATCGCCACTGGGGAGACCAAGGCGGTTACTCTCCAGACTAATACGCCTCTCACTGGCTAATCTACAAGTCCTCCGTGAGTGAAGCTTGAATCTTCACCGGTATACAAGCTGGAGCCGACCCTTGCCAGGGGTACGGCCCTGCCCTCGGGGTGAGTGTGGGTGAGTGAATGAGTGAGTTAGATGGTGAGTGAGTGAATGAGTGAGTTAGATGTTGGGTGAGATGGTGAGTGAATGAGTGAGTTAGATGTTGAGTGAGAGTGTGGGTGAGTGCATGAGTGAGTGAGATGTTGGGTGAGATGGTGAGTGAATTAGATGTTGAGTGAGTGAATGAGTGAGTTAGATTTTGGGTGAGATGGTGAGTGAGTGAATGAGTGAGTTAGATGTTGGGCGAGTGAATTAGATGTTGGGTGAGATGGTGAGTGAGTGAATGAGTGAGATGTTGGGTGAGATGGTGAGTGAATTAGTGAGTTAGATTTTGGGTGAGATGGTGAGTGAGTGAGTGAATGAGTTAGATGTTAGGTGAAATGGTAGGTGAGTGAATGAGTGAGAGAGATTTTGGCCAGCACTACGCCCGGCCGCCTTTATCTCCCCAGTGGCGATGTTCACACCGCACCAGGTACTCATTTGAGGCTGAGTCGGCCTGGGGGAGGAGGCCCAGGACCGGTGCAGATAATCGTCACTGGCGTTGGTCCAGAACCTAGCACACACACACGCACGCACACGCACACACACACACACTTACACACACCGGTCACAAAGCATGCGGAAATTTGACTCCGCCTGTTGTAAAGTTTCACTCTTACGCCCTAAATTTGCATTCACTTCCTCTATTTCGTCTATTTGTACGTATGTAGGGTGTGTGTAGAGGTACGTGTGTTTGCAGAGGTGCGTATGTAGATGTGTGTGTGTGTGTGTAGAAGTGTGTGTGTAGAGGTGACAAAGACCCCCCGTATAGCCTTAGACTGTAGGGGCAAGTGCTGTTAGTGAGTAGCACCTATGAAGGCCGATGCGGTACACGAGGAGGTGGGTGGCCAGCACCACGCCCGGCCGCCTTTGTCTCCCCCAGTGGAGACAAAGGCACCAGGCACTCATTTTAGGCCGAGTTGACCTAGGTTCAGATAATCGTCACTGTTGTGTCGTGCCGGCCTTCATAGGTGCTACTCGCTAACAGCACTTGCCCCAGCAGTATGTTAAGGCTATACGGGGGACCTTTGTCTTTGTTATATGAATGAAGAGCGGTGGCGCAGTGGTTAGCGCAATGCACTCCTAACCCAGCGACCCAAGTTCGATTCCCGCACGCGACCGCCAACGCAATCGGCGACGATCATCTCTGAACCGGTTCTGGGACGCGCCTCTAGATCGACTCAGCCTCAAATGAGTACCTGGGGGAGACAAAGGCGGCCGGGCGTGGTGTTATCGCCCTCGTTGCGCCGTACCCGGGCCCTTAATAGGCGCTCGCTAACAGAGCACTTGCCCTTGCCAAGGCTACGCCAATCGGGGGACCTTTTGTCTTTGTAGATGTGTCCGGCCACACAATCCCATCACCATCATCATCCTCCTCGTGCCTCCCTTTAGGGGGCGTCCATAAATGACGTCACGTGATTTTGGACGATTTTTGACCCCCCCCCTCGTCACACGGCGTCAAAAAAAGTCAGACCCCCCCCCTCAAATATGACGTCACAAAGCTCTGCCCCCCCCCGCCAACCATATTTTCATTTTGAAAATAAAACATGCTTAAAATCGCTTTAAACTATTGTCATTGTAGTGCGTATTTAATGTGACGCTGCACTCTGATGTTGTAGGAGTGTTGTTATAACAACACAATTAGTGTTGCTATAGCAATTCTATATTTATTTGAAGTTGCGCATTTTGATGTGACGTCACATTTCTCAAACCCCCCCCCCCCCACATCGTCACACAAAATCACAAACATCTGACCCCCCCCCCCCCAGATGCGTGACGTCATTTATGGATGGTCCCTAAGGGGCCCTCCATAAATGACGTCACGCATGGAGGGGGGTTAACCCAAATGCGTGCATATGGGGGGGGGGGGTCTACTGACAATGTACGGATAGGAAACGGGGGGGGGGGGTGGGCGATAAAGCATCGATAATAATTTGTCTACATTGGCCTTCAAATGAGTCAGATAGTCCGGTGGTGTGGACTATCTGTTTGCTTAAACACGTTAATATTATCGTATATGGTTATTTCGGTAAAGTCACGTAGATAGAAAAATTAAAAAAAATAAAGTAAGAAAAATAAAGTGAATAATTAATTAAAAATATCACGACGTTTCGACCGCTTGCGTTGCGATCGAAACGTCGTGATATTTGTATTATTATTTTTAATTACATTTATTATTTTATTATTATTCATGTTTTTTCTATCTACGTGACTTTACCGAAATAACCATCGAATATGAATTCCTGCAGTCGCGAAAGTTTTAAAGTCGCGTCAATGTTATTAATCCTTGATCGTTTATGCGTGGATTCAATATCGGCCGTTCTATAAGATTTGGGGGGGGGGGGGGGTGGGGGTGTAAAAAGTTCGCGTGCCTACAGGAGAAGGGGGGGGGGCTCAAGTTGTGACAACTCAATGGGTGGCCTCTTACTCACCGGCGCGCTCGCTTAAAAGTGCCACTTGCCCCCAGCATCCTGCGCAGGCTACCTGGGGAACCTTTGCCTTTGTAGCCTCTTCTTCCTCCTCCTCCTCTCCCCCCAAACACTCCCCACGAACCTTCGCAGTCTTACGACTACGTCCACAGGTGCAGGCGTGGCAACTCGGAGCAACCCCCTTCACCTGTACAGGCGCTAGGTGTGTGTGTTTTATTACAGCAGCTCCTGTCTCAGTGTTTCTGTGTGTGTGTGTGACTCGACACACGAACGCAGATCTACGCTTACATCGACAGATATACATACACACTCTGGTGTGTTTAACCACACACACACAAACTCACTCTGGTGTGTTTACCACACACGCACATTCCCACACACACTCACTCACGTGTGTTTTTACCACACACACGCTCACTCACACTCCCACACACTCACTCACGTGTGTTTACCACACACACACACTCACTCTGGTGTGATTACCACACACACACACTCACTCTGGTGTGTTAACCACGCACACACTCCCACACACTCCCTCTTGTGTGTTTACCACACACACACTCCAACACA